TTTCAGGCATTCTGACTCTTTCCATCTGTAAGGTCTAATAAATCAAGAAATCACTGAAATATAATAGTGTCTAAAGATTTGATTAATTCATCTGCTGTCATTTTCTCAGTTGAGATATACTTCAAAGATATAATCTTCTCATTCAGCTGTGTATATAAGAAATGAAATTATATATTAATATACTTACTGTGCACAGTCATCACTGTCACAGTGATCAGATCAATTGAATTCTTATTATCAGTATAAATCTTGATTGAGTTATTCAGAATGAATAACAAGTTCATTATTATATTATATAATTATATTGTCTCACACACTGTCTTACTAAGAGTCACATACTCAGCTTTATTTGAGCTGAGAGATATACAGGGCTGCTTGACAGATCATCATGATATAGAGACACTCATAACTTTAAAGATAAACTCAGATATAGACTTCTGATCATCATTAAGAGAACTGACTCAGTCAGAATCTGTGTATTTAACTGATGCATACATTGCATTTAGCAAGTCACTCATGTCATTGTTCAGACTCTTGTAAAATATACTCAGATTCTTAGTACTGTGAAGATAGTGTATAACATGTAGTAGAGCTTTTCATACTTTCAGTGTAAGAGCTGAGTTCTTCTGTGCTAGAAGAAATGTCATATGAGTAATATTCAGACATAATTTAACTGCTAAATACTGCAGACAGTCAACTTTATATTGATATTAAGTCTTTGTAAATCTGCTTTTCTTCTCTGATATAGAGAAGTCATCTAGATATAAGTCTTTATTCATGAGTGAGTAAACAGTAACTGCATTATCAAGATGAAAATCTTATATCAAGTATATAATATATTATTCAAGTGTTAATTTAATCTCATTCTTCATACAACTGACTTTCATACTCAGATATCTTTTAGATTTCTTAAGATCTTTAATCTCAAGCTTTTCACTCAGCATGTTCATTAATTAATCAGTATTCACAGACTGCTCAGCTATAATATGAAGATCATTGATATAGATTATCATATATAGATTCTTTCACATGTCATGTCATCAGAGATCAGAGTTGTACAGACTGAGAATAAATTTATATTCTCACAGCAGAGTTGTGAGATAATCATATCAGATTTTTACTGCAGAGTTCAAGTTATATAGAGATCTCTCAACAGCACACATCATCATGCATGAAGTGTCTGCTTTGAAATCAGTGAATTGACATATGTAAACTGTCTTCTCTAGTTATCTGTGTAGATAGATAAGTATAATATTAACTTAATACAGAGTTCATCTGCATTTCACTGCAATGATAAACATCATACAATTCATTATATTCATTATAACAGAGACATATATTTTCTCTCTTGAGCTTTTCTTAAGTCAATTATCATAGACTACTCATCTGAACTTTCATAATATACTGTCTTCATCAGTATTGAAGTTCTCAGAGTAATTCTTCTCTATGAATACTCAGTAGCTGAGAGTCACAGGTTCATCAGCAGAAATATCAGAACACAGTACAAGTGTTCAGATCTTTCATCTCTCTAAATCAGTTATTTTATATTGTATTGAACATCTTCATCATTCTTCTATACTCTCTGATTAACCTACTGCATTCTTAAAGCTTTTTGACAAGTCATTAGTAATCAGTGAAGAGATGTAAGTTATAAAGATCTTTACAGACTGCATTCATGAAATATGTGATTTTAAAAAATCAGAAGTGTCAGAATTCTTCATTATATAGATGATAGTAATTGAGTCAGTGTTAACTTTCACAGTTATAGTAACAGTCACATTCTTTGACATTTCTTATGCTTTTGTGAGGAAAATCACATCACTCATATCAATGAGCTTATCTGACATAGAACTTCACATACAGTAGATCATACATTCACAGAATTCAATAAGTTTATATAAATCAGCTCAAGCAGACAGTTTGTCTACTGACTTCTACAATTCATGAAGATGAGTGTAGACATCTGACTCAAGCTTGTGAAAATGTGAGATCTGTAGTGAAATGTTTATCAGAACTGAAAAAGAGATTGTATGAGAGCTGCAGATAAGTTTCTTATCTTCTGCAACTGTAGATTAATACTTCTCATTGTATAGTATAGTAAACATAGACATGTTATTAGTTATTGTAATAACAGTGTTCAATACATTCACTCAAAATTTCTTAGAAATGTTCTTGTCAATAATGATCATTCTCATGTGTGTCATAATCATGCGGATCCTGCGTTCAGAGATGCTATCTTGATGTAAAGAATGAGAAGTCATCAGCTCTTAAATTGTATTATAATTACTGAATAATATGATGATCTTTGCAGATCTGAACACTTCATCAATATCAGTTCTAATGTATACAGGCACTGTAAACCTCAAATTCTTTGTAAATTGAGCTCAATGAGTATAATAGTCATAAGCTTAATCTTTGCTTTGTATGAAATAGACTCATCTATACCTCATCACATTGTCTGTAATCAATATATAGTATTTAGTTTCCTGATACAACTCAACAGAGTGATCAGATATCTCATTTAATATGCATCTGTCACCTGCAAGATTAATATGAATACATTGCATGAATTGAGTTGCTTGTGACATGAGAGTCTGAGAAAAATAACATGTTATACTCTCTTTCATACAACTGTCACAGAAAAAACTAGTCTTGAAGCTCTTGATTCAGATATCTGACAATGAATTCTTTATTAATGCAATGATGACTTCTGTATATATATAATCTAAGTCTGTATACTATTCAGCAAGTGTTTTAGCAATTGTGAGAGAGTAAGTCTGATTATTATTAGTGAAATTATTATTGTCAGCAGTAGTTACAGCATTCATATATATATATAATTTCACAGTGTAATATACTGTTCTTGACTTATAATAAATGTTAACTTTCAACATTCTTTTAACAATCTTATATATGAAGCTCTGAGATGTGTGAATTACAGTGAAAGTAATGTCATTTGAGACTCTCATGAGAAAGTAAGATGAAGTGAATAATAATAATTCAAATTAAAAGCTCTGATCTTCAAGCTTGACAAATGACAACAGATTGACTGTGAGATTGAGAATTCAGTGAATATCACAGATTGTAATATTTCCTTCTTCAGATTCTAAGAGAAGATTGCTAATTTTCTTGATATAATTATAATCTTCATCTGCAGTGTTAATCTTGAGATCACTGATATAAGTCTTATATTGAATAAGAAACTGCTTTTCCTCTGTCATATTGAAGCTTGCACATGTATCAAGAAATCAAGGCTTGAATATAGTGCTGACAGTCACTGAAAAAGTGATCACAGTATTAGCTGTAGTGAGTTGAGAGACTAGAAGATCAGAAGATTCATTCTTTTTATTATTCTTATTCTTATTCTTCTTCTTATCTCTCTGCTTGCTATATTCACTGATATTACTACTATCATTCTCTTCAGATGTAATGATACAGTTCTTGTTTATCTCATATCACTGTTCAGTAGTAAGTTCAGAGTGTAGATATCAGTAAGTGTTCTTTGAGTGTCAGTTTGTACTGCATATATTGCACTTAAAGCTGTTAGTAGATGATATAGTAGAGATTGTAATAACTATATTAACTTACTACAGCTTGAGATATTCATTCTTAGACTTGCTTATATAATTTATCATCTGTTTCATAAGATCTTCAATATTAATATTGTAAATAGAGTCTTGATCAGTTATGTAGAAATTATTCAAATATATCTTAATAAAAGACTTTTAATAATCTTTTAAATCAATAAGAAAGAGATCATGATAGAAGTCTTTTAAGTTATTTACTAACTTCTTGTGATATATAATTAAATAATAGAATCTTCTCTGAAATACTAGATAATCATTTTTCTTAACATATAAGATAATTAATTCTTTTATGATATTCATACATTTTTTCACAAGTGAGACAGTGTACTTAACTTCAATTCTTTCTTATAATACAGCTGTATTATCTGGCTCAAGAGTTTCAATAATTGTATATACAGATTCTAATAAGAACTGCAATATACATTGATACAGTATTTTGATATAAATACTTTATTTTTCAGCACTTAACATATCTTGACTGATATTATCTGAACAGACATGTTGATTCTTTATAAAAATATCAGATTCATTAACAACTTCAGTATCTGTAAGAATTTCTGTACATCAGGTCTAATAATTGATATTATTAAACATAATTACAGTCTTAGTATTTATAACTTTTTGAACATTCTTTTAATATTTGTAGATCTGAGATTTAAAATTATTCATAGCAGAGATAATCTCTCAATACATACTTATTCTATCACAGAACATTATAAGGTTGTTTAATAATATAAATATCATGTTATCTTGACTCATTCTAGATATAGAACTGCTGACAGAACACACTTCTGTAAATACTGTATATATAGCACTTGAGCTTGAGATTTCATCATTGAATTTATAATGAGTGTTTATATCTTAACTAGTAAATAACTTCATAACTCTCTCTGTAACTTCTATATACTAAGTAATGTTATCTTTATCTGATTCTTTATTAATAGAGACCTGTTGAGCTGTCTGAGTATAAGAATGAAAGTGTAGAGTCTTCTTTCTATTACTCTGAGAAGTAGATAAGCTACTTATCAGTCATCACAACCTGAGTATAGATATAAGAAAAGAGATTCAGATGAGATCAATCTCATTCAGTTGTTAACTTAAAGAAAGAATATAATCTCTTAATTTCTAGATACATCTGCTTGTTCTGAGTAATGAGAATATCTTCTATTTAAATCAACATAGAAAAGTGAATCAATCTGCAGATAATTGACTACAGTGTAATCCTTCTATAAAAACGCGTATAAGGGGTCTTATTAGAAGAAAAAAAAAACGCGAACGTTCCGGGCTATAACCTGTAAGTGGGAAAGGTTGCTCCTTCTATTATTATGGGAGCAGCTAGCTACGTTATATAACATAAGAGATCACGTGCAGGCGGAGCGATCGCTAGGGCAATGCCACCAAGGCGCTACAGAATGTGTTGGAGCTACTACACAAGCCCTAACCCACGTGACCCACACACATATATTTAGCTTTCACTAGCTACTAGTTAGATAACAACAATCAACCATGTTCAACCTCTCTCACAGGTTATGAAGCCCTTGCACTTCTACGAAGCATTATAACCATGCAATAATCATACAATAAGCTTTTCAAATAGCTGCTTCTTTCATTCAAATACCCCATGCCAAATGCCTGTCAATACAAGATCAATCAACCGCGAAGAGATCCCAGAGAATCAGATAGCTGGATCCTTTCCAACATCAATAACCGCGCGAAGACAACAAGAATAATCAAGCCCAAGATAATCCTCCAGAACACGAAGATATGACAGACTGCAATGAAGCCGCCATTCCGAGACAGCATATTGCTCAGTTGAATGACAAGAACACCAAAAATCCTGATAATGATGCCCAATAACAATGCCAATAACAATATCAATATCAAAAATACTGTGGATCCGGAGGTCAGATTTCACAAAACCATAACCATAATCAAAACCATAACCCCGTGGTATCAACGATATCATGGATATAACCATAACCCGTGGTGTCAACGATGTCACGGACATAATCATAACCATAACCGCCAGTATCGACGCCAAAACGATGGAAATACCGATAACGATGCCAGGCCACAGTGCCTACGATGCCAGGCCCCAGTGCCTATATGATGCCAGGCCACAGTGCCTACGATGCCAGGCCCCAGTGCCTATATGATGCCAGGCCACAGTGCCTACGATGCCAGGCCACAGTGCCTATATGATGCCAGGCCCCAGTGCCTACGATGCCCATACCGATGACCATGATGCCAGGCCACAGTGCCTACGATGCCCATACCGATGACCATGATGCCAGGCCACAGTGCCTACGATGCCCATACCGATGACCTATGCCTATGCCTATGACGATGAAAACCACAAAAATAATAAGAATGAGATCCCGCGGCGTTAGAACAACTGGGGGTAATACCAATACTGAAAGAATGGATTTGAGCGTTCTTCTTGCATGTTTTTTATGTTTTTCATGTATGGAGCTAGTCCTTATGAGGAAACTAGACTCTACTTTTTGTAATTAATTTTTATTGCAGATTTGAATGATTTGGGCGCTTTTGACTGCGTGGATTAACTGGCCTGCGTAGCATGGGGGGGTGTTGGAGCTACTACACAAGCCCTAACCCACGTGACCCACACACATATATTTAGCTTTCACTAGCTACTAGTTAGATAACAACAATCAACCATGTTCAACCTCTCTCACAGAATGGATTGAAAGATTGAAAGTCAATTACTAACTGATTATTACTGTATTGTGCGAGGTCGGGGTCATGATTATGTAACGAGGTCAAGTGGCGCACTTAGCGAGGTCAAGTTTTCTGCTTCCTGACAACACATCATGGCGATACCGTCTCAGCTTGATTATTAATGTACACATTACAGTACATGTTCCCTCTATATCCTCAGTCCTTCCGTGTTGCTCCTGGATTCTCCGTCATCGGGAAATGATTTATTTTCAGGAGAAAGCTCATTGGCATTTTATCCAGCCAGAGCTTCAGCAAACGTGCGCCAGCTCTGTGCACTTGCTCCATACACGAGGCTCGAAGTGTATGGGGCGTAGTTTTCGGTGCTTGATTGCACATACCCTCCTTGAATGAGCAATTCCTTTGGTCAGGAGAGAGGAGAGCCTTTTTCTAGATACCGCAACCCCCCAGGAAATTGTTCGCTGTTTTCCCATCACTGAGACATTTGTTTCAAAAGCAATTGAAGGTCGTCAGTGAACTTTCAGAACTGATGAAACGACCACTTGAAGACTAAATAGTCTTAGAGGAGAAGAGCAAGGATGCAAGCTGACTTATTAAGGTTGTTGAAATGATGACACAACCATATTTATGGCAGGTTTTTGTCATTTCCATTTTGCCTGCCCCTTATCTACGATAGTTAAGGTATGACTCTAGGAACTTTTTCCCTTGACTATGATCTATGGCTGCGGATGTTGAATATGGTATCCAGACGCTTCCCGCCAGATACCATGGCCCGGTAGCACAAGTGGCTACCGCCGGAATTCAATCAGTGGACACATGGTCACGAAATGAGTTGTTTTCCACTACCTCTACTCGTACTCAAGTCCTTCATTTATGGTTGGCGGTTTTAATCAATACACATTGCAGCCGATTTCAACCTAGATGGCCAAGGTAGATGTGAAGGCACGCTTGAAAATTTTCACATTGGGACATTTTAACTAAATCGGAATAGATCCGATCTGCCCTATTTTCTTCTTTCTTTCCTTACCAATGACCTTGCTCTCTCCGCGTGTATTCCAAAATGTTATCATTGTACGGATACGTAAACAGAACCAAAACGGCAAGCCAAACACTGATATTGTCGGAAGTTGCAACTGCCTGCTCTTACGAAAGGGATGTACGAGGTTGAAGCAGGAGAAACCCAATAACTATGAACTATTGATGGACTTTCTTATACCACCCTCACTCTGGTATACGAACACGTTGAGTACGTGCCGATCATTCTTTCCCGCTATTGCTCCTTCGTTACCATCCGTTTAGAATGTGGGGCCAGTTCCTGTGCCATAGCGTTCAACTGTGTCTTATGAATTGGTACTGTCAACGCTTCGAATTTGAAACCAGCAGCCTTGGCTTCAGCCTCTACTAAGCTGGTTCGTATTCCCTTGGGAAAGATTCCAAAGAATTTTGTGTTGTTTGGGCTTATTCGGACAGCAGTGTCTACTTCACCGATGTAGATTTTGGGTAACGGTTTTCCGGCATTCCGACTCAGCCGCTCAAGGTCCCTTTGCAGTTGACCGCTGTCTTTGGTTTTAAGAAGCTGTGTAATCATTTACCAATTAGAAGGTATTCAAATTTCGCACTATGAGAGCCGGCATTTATTTTACCTTTTTTTCAAAGTCAGCTACCGTTTTAGAGAAGGGTTGCTTCTTGCGCCGTGCGATCCCTCTTGCGTTCAGCCAAGACTCCTTGGCTTCCGCTTTCACTTCAAGCAGGTCATCTTGACTCATTTTCGAGACTCTTGTCGTTGTCACCGTCAACTCTCTGGCGCCCTTTCTTCCCGCCTTCGCTTCGAAGATGGCAAGGATATTGAACACCTGCTTGTCCGTATAGCCGAGTACGCCGTCCGTGATTTGCCGCCCTGAGGCGTCCATAATAGAATATCCAGGGATGAACTCTAGAGTCTTTCCTTGGGGTACCTTTACTCCTAACGCAAATCCAACATGTCGCTCTCTCAGCATAGGAATGAGATGCGACTCGGCAAGTTCTTCCAGCAATTGTCCTTTGATATGGTTCATATTGGGCCCTTTTCTGAGGACCCTATCCAGGGCGATTTCGTCCAACTTGTCCAGGATAGGGTATTTCTTGGAGAGTGTTTCCCAAAGGACTTTGGTCTCCGGAGCGACAAACCTGGGAAGGGTGCCGGGCGAGTGTACAACGGCTTTCACACCCGCCGCAGCTTCCTGGGCAATTTTTCCTTCAACCCGACCGAGCTTCGCTAGAGCTTCTTCGCCAGCCTCGATTGATCTGATTGCCGCTGGTTGTTCGCTAGCTCGTGCAGACGCATTCAAGACTTTGCCCCACGAGGCGGCATTTTTTCCGTAGAGCTTGACGAGTCGTGCCTCTGTGTATAGCGCTCTACCCCCTTTAACCATTCTACCAGCGACAGGTAAAAGGATAGATGCGGCAAGGATGGCTTGCTCGACATGGCTCAGCTCGTAGCCGAATAGATCGCGGCCTGCCCACAATTCATACAATGCTATTGCGTTTCCCAAAAAAGGCACCAAAGACAATGTGAGCTCAATGGCTGCGACAGCCGCCGGGCGGTCGATGGTCCCCTGGCTTATGCTTTTGATTTTCGGCAAACGAGGAATTAGATTGAGAAGGACAATCATATCCGGCCGTTCGCTTAGAAAGTCGTGCATGGCAGCTGCAGACGACTGATCCAACAGGCTTTGTGTGACGACTTGTCGCTGGAACCAAGTCTGAAATTCGTCTCTGATTGCCGCCGTCAGCCTGGGGACTAGCGGATTTGCTTCCCAGATGTGCGTTACGCCTGTGTATTCGTTCTTATACCATACGAAGAATTCATTTTTGGAACGAGCCCAAGCATTTGCAAACACGTAGTGGTCTGCATCCTTCCTTTTATGGCTGCTCAATCGATCATAGCTCGTCGTTTCGTATGCCACCTTCTCTGCGGCTTTAGTCGTCGCGTGCTCGAACCACTTTGACATCTTGTTGATCTTGTGCTCCCATGAAATGGCCATTCCGCCATATGTCTCGACAATCTTCGCCCGTGCTGTTGTCCACTGCTCGTTCATGATGTCCACTCGTTCTCGGGCGATACCAATCTGCGACGTATTCGTGGAGGCATTGGTGAACAGTTTTATCAGCTCATTTTTGGCTTGCTGCAGTACCTTCTCAAGATCGGCTTCTGTGATCTTTTCCATGATGCTTTATCGTTATGTCACAAAAGATATGTGCTGATTGACAATGGTATTCCCAGCAGAGGTTTTTTTTTTAATATCAATTTTCCGGGGATCAGTCATGAATAAGCTGACTTTTTTTCTTCTTTTCCTTTTTTTTCCTCTCTTCTTTACTTTTTCGTTTTCCCACTTGTGGTGGGCAGTGCACAGTTCTAAGTTTGTGGCGGCATCATGGGATATTGCGAACGGTCGAGTCTGGGTGAGTCCAATGCGGCTTAAAATTTGAGTTTTGATAGCTCCCATTCCTATCACATTATCAATCTATGCAACAATCTTCAGCTGGGTGCGCCGCTTCATTCATCACGAATGTCTCAGCCTCTGTAGTCGAGTGTTTTGGAGGCTTTCCCGCATGTACCAAGGATTCATCACCTCCATCGGGCTCGTTTTTTATGTTGGCGGCGCCGCCTCCACGGGAAAAAATGTGCTGTTGCCTACCCAGCCTTGTGAAATGGGCCACGAGGCTCGTGTGATACCTTCAGCTCTAGAAATTGGGGGAGGCCGTTCTGTCCAAAGCAATATATAAAGTGGGTGGATTGCCATTTCACCAGGCACTGTCGGTGGGTTAGGACTCATTTTCCTCCGCCAATTTCCATCGTTTCAAAGAACCACTCTAGCCTTCAGGAGAAAGCCTATGCAAAGAATGACTGAACCGCTGTTCAATTTCCTCTTGATTCGGCGTAGGTAATTGTCACTCCTCCTGGAGCAAATATCATCGCTGACCTTTCCACCACCCAGCTCATGTATCTCAGGATGCTCGCAAACCTAGCATCCCTTTATTTCAAGATTCGCCCTTTCAAAGGGAGCTTTTGGCTGCTCTTAAATCACAAAACCTTAGAACCGAAGCATTGAAAGTTGTCAAAAAATTTATCTCCAGCAAAGAATTCATTAGCGACCCTAGCGGATCAGATTTTCAAAAGAAGCTACGTGAATTTAAAGTGCTGATTGATGAGGCTAGCAGCGTCAATGATGATCTACAGTATACTGTAGTTCTTGAATTGACGAAACGCGCGTTTGGAATAGCAGCATCAGACCTAGTTAAGAGTGAGGAATTCGTTACTCTGCTCCGCAATCTTCGCGATTCTGTGGTAGCAATCAAATATGACCAGGTACTTTCTGTTCCCTGTCCAATATCTTTTGGCCACTCCCTAGCTTGAATATGATTTCTTTCACCGAATATCAAATTTAACGTTAATTTCCAAGGCGGAGCACTCAAAACCAGTTGAAGCTCTTGTCACCCAGATCCGCGACCTCGAGCTCATTGAAAAAGCAGTCCAGCTGGAAAAAGATACGCAACCAGCTGTTTCAAATGATAACGCAAGGGCGTTTAAAGAACTTGTCACTGGACACACTGAAGTGACTGCTCCTGTAACCGCTCCTGAATGGAGCGAAAACACGGCCTATAAGGTCGGCGATCAAGTTTCGTATAGTGTGCATGTGTATGTTTGCATCCAAGCGCATACCACCGTCCCCGGATGGGAACCTCCGAAGACGCCCGCTCTGTGGGTACGCGTGAGCAGACCCAATCCAGATGGAGATCCCACGCCGCCAACAGAAGACAGCCTCAATCTCTTTGGGTACCGAAAACGATCACTGTTGCTTCCGACTGAAGCTCAATTAAAATCGGTACTCTCAGAGCCCGACGACAGTAACGAGGATCCCACTGATGACACCGAAAAAGAGGCAGATCGCCTTCTCAGCCTCCACAATCAACTTTATCGGGCTGTGAAGGAGTTGACGGCAATGGATCCGCGGAATTTCCAGATCACTAAGCAGGAGCCACATGATGGGTTTATCCCTGATACTAAGTACTCGGCGGTCTCCTTGTTGAAGAGTAGACTCGACCTGCAAGCAACCCTAAGGGGCCTTAACGTTGACCAGTTCCGAGCCGCTGCTGCACGATCTGGCACCACTCCCGTAGATCCGCCCGACGCACCGAAAATTGCAGCAACAGTCACCGATCCGGTTTTGGCAGCGGATCCATTGCAGTTACAAGACGGAGCTGGTTCGACATCCGCCTTGGGTCTTACTCGCGAGCTGCTTACCGCCGGTGCCGGCTTGCAAGGGATAGGAAAATTTCTGCCTCTCTCTGCGAGGCAAAATGCCTTGAAACTTCAAAAAGAAGTGTCTTTATCTGAGAATACAGCAGCCCTCTTGAAAAAGGAAGGGATTGAGCCGGATACGGTACCATTACCTGGTATGTCCCCAACGGTCAAATATGATTTGAAGTATAGCTAATGTTTCAACCACAAGACATTGTCCGACTCTTCCGTCAGAAGATGCGCGAGGCTGAACGAAATCTGAAGATGCTAGCACCCTCCTTCGAGGATATACGGATTATTCGAGTTGGGAATACGTTGGTGAGCGCGAGGACACCACGGCCTAGCAGGTACAGCCAGTTCTTCACTGGAATCAACTTTGGGTTACATGTGCCTAAGCTTCCACTGCTGCCACCTCCAGATCCAAGGGTTCCGCACACCATTGGCAAGGTAAACAAGGTCGGCGTTGGGGATCTCCTTGTAGTGAAGCAGCGGTTAATTGGCTATGAAGGCGCTGATATTGCCCATATTGAGAATGTGTTGAAAGGCGAATCAAAGAGCCGTGAACATGTCCGGACAGACAGAACAGAGACCGTGACTAGTCTCGAGACCGAGACTATCCGTGAAGACACCCGAGAGCTGGCTTCAACGAGCCGGTTCGAGATGGGTCAGGAGACTCAAAAGCAAATCAAAGAGGCTTATGAACTGAAAGGGGGCGTCCAGGTGACAGCGAAGTACGGCCCTGCGGTGGAAGTCTCCGCAAAAGTTGAAGGTGGCCACAATCGATCCAAGGAGGAATCTACCAAAACAGCAACGAAGGTAAGCAGGTAACCCCGATTTTTGTAGTTGCTGTTTTGTGTTTTTTGGCTTGGATTTTAACATCTCTATAGTTTTCACAGGACGTTACAGAGAAAGCTATCAAGAAGATTACAGAACGAGTCCTCCAGAAGACGACTACAACAACAACAGTAAGTGTCCGTGAGCACACCACGGTAGGATACTTCTCTGACATTTTCTCGTAGTCTGAAGTCGTGGAGAAGAATTTGCATGGTATCAATAATTCTACCGGCAACGCGAATATATCTGGTGTTTACCAGTGGGTGAATAAGGTGTAAGTATCATCCAAACAATATTTTGTTTCCCATTTACGAGAGCGATTTGTCTTACTTTAAACTGTAGATATGAAGCCCAAGTTTTCAATTATGGGTTGCGCACTCTATTGTGAGTATCTCTCTCCCCGCCTGGTTTTCCATGGAGGCGCATATGCTCACTGAAATAATTAGTGATTTCATGGTTCCGGAGCCTGCTGCATGGGTAATCAACACTATGACCAAAGCTGCGGAAACCCGAACAATGCTGGAGCAACCGCAAAAGTTTGCCCTGGAGCCGTCCCAAATTTCAGAAGAAGGCGAGGAAAATTACGGCCATTGGGTGAAAACGTACGAAGCAACCGATGTGGAGCCCCCACCTGCAGACTACATTACAGCGACCGACCAAGTCAACAAAGGTGATGGTAAGCCTGGGCAAGACTACCAGCACAGTGGCCAGATTACAATCGATTCAGGTTACGAAGCCGTGCAAGTATCCATCGGCTGTACGATAAACTACTGGGAAGCGAATTGGGTGGTCGACGTCATCGTTGGAAATGCGGCACACCGATTTAAGGAGGGCTCCGGTTTTATTTGCACTCTTGCGCTTATTAAAGAAAGAGGGACCATTCCATGGGGAATAAAGACATGGAACACTTCTAGCACAGTTGTGACGGTAGATGTCAAGTGTGCAGTCACAGAGGATGCGACCAATAAGTGGAAAGCAGACACGCACAAAAAACTGGTGACTGCATATAGAGCAAGGCTTCAAGAGTACGAGGAGAAGTTGGCGACCCTGCAGCTGCAGGAAGGAATTATCATTGAGGGAAGGTTAGTTTCTCGCCACCCAACAGGTTGTGCTCATGCTTATTGTTCCATCCCAAAGAAACCCAGCCGCAAACCAAGCCACAATCAAACAGGAGTTGAAGAAGAATTGCATCTCCATTATCAGCGGACAACATTTCGACCGCTTCAACTCCATTGTGACCGGCCCGTGGGGGTATCCTCAAATCAACCTCTACGAGGCTGAAGCTGAAGGGGAATACGTCCGTTTCTTTGAGCAAGCGTTTGAATGGGAGCAGATAAGTGAGTGGAAACCATTGCATATCTCCCCCGAAAGCTTCCTGTAGCGTAGACTAACGCATGGGCCAGTGTACGTTATGTACCCATACTTCTGGGGCCGTAAATCGTATTGGGCCGAGCGGCTGGCGTTTGAGGATCCAGACCCTCAATTCGATGAGTTCCTGAAGGCAGGGTTTGCTCGAGTTCAAGTCCCAACGAGACCTGGATTCGAGGCCGCTATCGATCAGTATGCTTCCTACCCTAGTTTCTGTTATTCTGGATTGTGCTACCTCCAAGTGCTGATGAAAGACAACCCGATAGTTTTATGCAGTTCGGCGAGCTCTGGAACGGCGGCCCACTCCCGGCCATCTCCAGCAAACTTTTTCTTCCGATTGCTGATGAGATCGCCGAAAGAGCTCAGAAGCCAGGCCAAGAGATCCCGCAAGGCGAGCCTTGGAAGCTGCGCATTCCAACGCAACTTGTTAAGCTAAGGCAGGACGATAAATTGCCTAAATGGACAAAGAAGGATGGCGAATGGGTTCCAGAAGAGTGATATTTCATAATGGCAACGAAAACTGAAGGTGACGTCTGAATATGTAGTCGGCTTTTCGGTACCTTTTTCGGGTGAAATTTTTAATATCCTACTATATTTCGGGTTATCTTGACAGGAGAGCACTCCTGACCACGTTCAGAATAACGTAGTCATATTTTCAATATGAATATTCTAAAAACATAATATCCGCACCAGTATGTAGGTGCATGCCCATTGAATGTCAAGATTTCATAAACTTTACTTTCATACAGGAGCCGTGATACTATACTCAAGTGATATCAAATATGTCGACTGGATGAACCATCAGTGCACGATCCTCATGCCCTGTGCTTTAACTTAGATGTTGCCGCGCGCATATTTGACGCGCTTTTGCACCAAAAAGGAAAACAGAAAAAAATTGCAAGAAAAAAGGCTCATCAACTTCGGCGTGAACTCGCGGATTAACGAGAACCCAACCATAATGATGTAACTTATTAACGGTACTTGAGCATTAAAACAGGAGAGCGGTTAGACGAGATGGGCTCGATTCCATACATCAGTCAACATTAGACAAGCTCATCCGCTCATCCCTCCGTCACACTAGCTTAGACTGTCCTACCGCCGAAAAGGTGAAATCTGAGCTTGGTTTCCGGACTCATGAATCGAGCAACTCATCTAGGTGTCAGGACACTTCCATCGAGCCAAGCAATGTTCTAGCCCGATGCTCAAAAAGCCACGGCCCTGACGTATCTCAGATCCAGGTTATTCTTATATTATTCTGTGGAAGTACGGAGTACGGAGTAATCAATCACTCATTCCTTCTCTTGGATCAGCCACTAACTTTCAGAGAAGTTAATTAGTGGCTGTCACTGCCCAGTGCCCACCATGTCAGACTTCCAGTTGCTAATCTCAGCCCCATACTCATCATGGCCTCACCCAGGTCAGAGACTAACCAGGCTTCTTAGGCTTGGCAAGCCCTATTCTATTGGCCCCATGGTGCCAAGGGAATAGGGCCTGCACGCCTAATAGGCCCCAGACTCCCAGAGAGCCTCCAATAAAGGCTACATTAATTGAGTGATTTTCAAAATCATTTCCCGAGGCTGTTACTCGTGAGGGGTATGCAATTAAGCCACATGGAGCCGCCCCTAATATTAGGGCGTTTAACCCGCTAGCTCGATAGCTAGCTAGCAGCTGGGCCTGCATAGTTCTTAACTACCGTCTACTAGTGGCTTCCATCGGCAACCGCTCCCACTTCTAGGTAAGACCTTGGCATGCCAAGCCTATTCGTTAGGCTTGACCCCTCTAGTATCTACGAATACAGAGTACTAACACGGGTCTTCACGGGTAACAAGTGGATAATGCCAGTCAGATCCAGCAAGTACGCTGAGTAGATGGCGTCTCCTAATTCCTGAAGGAGCTAGGATTATTCCTGGGACGGCATATTTCCTATCGCACTGCCATACAGCAACCGTACGCAGCGTATATCGGGTAATATATCGACACAGCCTCGGAAGGATGATGACCTGATCCATACTTGACAACAATGATGGTTGGCCCGAGAATGGACAAACGCGCCAGTTGCTCTCTACTGAGGCTGGATCGAAGCCTCCGATTCCATTGTTCGTTGGCCTGGTCGGAATAATATTCTAGCCTCGGGCTTTTCTTGGGCTTATTTAACTAATTTAGTGGAGTTTTCTTGGCCTAGTTGGCAGTCCACCAACTGCCGGGGATTCGATAACAATGATTTTAAAAGATAACAGCGACCCATTGGTTGAGAGAATCAGACTGTGTGAGTCCTTGAGGTAACATTATTCGGCCACGCTCATAATGGAGAGCTTTCTACGCTTTCAACGCTTTCAACGCTTTCAAGGCTTCGAACGAACTTGCAAATGTTTGTATCAGAGTTTTTCTCTATCATTTATTATGATTTGGAGGGGAATCCACGAACGCCTGTGGCGTGATAGCACCTGGAAATTAATATGAGTACGAGGACCAGGTTGGGAAACAGCTGAAACCTGACATTACCGCTTGTCAGTAGCACTCCAAATGTCACGGTGCCAGTCAGCCGCCACTTCAGCGCCCCTGTCGCCGGGACCTCGCCCAAACCGTCTGCCTCAAACCGACCCCTCCTGTGCGAGGCTTTTCGTTGGTCCAGAGCTGCTAATAGAGTTAACATCGTGCAGGTGCCTGTGCCTGGCGGGAGCCTTTCGCCCGCTAAATTCCCACTAAATGTCGAGGTTGAACCACAGAATACATGCACGGAGTACTACATACGGCGTATAAAACCTGGCATTGGCAACTGCAGCCATATGGCTAACCAGAGCATCGAGCCCAGACAGTCAGGGGGATACCCACCCAGCGGCAGACCCCAGATTTTCAATGTGGGACGGGCACGTGGTGGCCATCATTCATTCCTTTATTATCTCTCGAAAACCCCCCATGTTCCTTCATCCGCAGTTTCTGCACAGCATAATACATATCCAGCCCGCGAGGCAGCATGAGAAAATTTTCTTCAACCATCACTAATCGTGAGTTAGAGATGGGCAGAACGCCCCTTGTTGATCTAGGATCGCCTGCCACACCGTGGTACATTGCTCTCTTCACCAATGCCTGGTTTCAGGTGCTGCTGATAAGCTTCATCTGCTTTTGCTGTCCTGGTGTACGTGGTTTTCTATAGTGTGAGCTTCGTTGTTCTAACATTACCACGAAAGAAGATCTACTGACCTATATTCGAGTCTAGATGTACAATGCCCTATCTGGCTTAGGGGGTTCGGGCCAGGTAGACCCAACAGTTGCAGCCAATGCGAATGTAGCCTTGCTCGCGGCGAATGCTGCCACTGCCCTGTTTGTTGTCGGGCCTATATTCTCGATCATCGGCCCACGCTCCTGTTGGTTGGTTGGCGGATGGACGTACGCTCTTTACAGCGGGAGTTTGTTGGCCTTTAACTGTGAGTCAAATTCTGATAGAGGCCGAGTGCTGTTCGAATTTACACAAAATGATCTTTCGATCTATATAGAAAGCCGCTATCTAACATATTTTCCAAGATATTGAAAATGGCCCCTTTGTCATCGTCGCGGGTGGCGTTCTCGGTGTAGGGGCCAGCTTCCTCTGGGTTGCCCAGGGTGCCATAATGACAACCTACGTCCCCGAATCCCAGAAGGGCCGTGCAATTGCCTTATTCTGGATTATATTTAATATGGGTGGTACAATCGGCTCCCTAGCCAGTTTCGGGCTCAACTACAACAATCCAGAAGGCACGGTATCCAACAGCACATATATCGCCACGATGGCTGTCATGGCATTTGGCTGGGCGATTGGCGTCTTTATATGCCCCCCTTCACGAGTTGAACTCTCCCAACTTCGCGAAGCCGAATATATGATTCGAGATCGCTCACTGCCGGCTTTGGGAAAACTCATCTTCAGCACCATCTTCCGCGTCAAAATCCTATGCAGTCTTCCCCTATTTTTCTGCGCGAATGTCTTCTACTCATATCAGCAGAACGATGTGAATGGCAAAACGTTTAACATTCGTTCTCGCTCTCTGAATTCTGCTCTGTACTGGATGGCACAGATGTGTGGCGGTCTGCTGATGGGTTTCCTGATGGATCTGAGATTCATGAACCGACGACAGCGCGCCTGGCTCGGTTGGGTCGTCCTTATGCTAAGCGGCTTGGGCACCTGGGGTGGCGGTTATGTATTCCAGAGATGGCAGGACGAGCGCACAGCAGTCGGTCTGGTGCAAGACATCGACTTCACTAGTTCCGACATTTCCATTGGTCCGATGTTTCTTTATATCTTCTATGGCCTATACGATGCACTCTGGCAAGGATATTGCTACTGGCTTATTGGCAGTATGTCCAACTCTGCGGCTGTCACGGCTATTTTGGTCGGAGCATATAAGTCTTTTCAAGCCACTGGTGGCGCAATGGCATGGAGGGTGAATGCATTGAAAACTCCCTCTATGACGCAGCTGGCTATGAACTGGGGGTTATGCGTTGGGGCACTGATTATTGCCATTCCAACCGTGTCCTCGGTAACCTTGACGAATATTGTGCGACCGGAGACATCGCAGGAGGATAAGAGGAGTATGAAACTTGAGGAGTGGGAGGGTGACATGAAGGGCCGCTCATAGGGGATTTCAGGATTTATCATCATATAAACTTGAGTTGTCAATTGTGTATGTTTTTCTTTTCCTTTCCTTGTTGGGTCTATGGTCAAGTTGTGGTATGTACGAGACCTTCCCTTTTCACTGCCCACGTCCGCCCTTTCCTTCCACCTTTTTTTTTTTTTTTTTTTTTTTTTTTTTTTTTTTCGCTATAAACAATCCGTTTCTTCTCTTTTCTTTCTTCTCTTATTTTTGCTCTCTTCTTCTTTCTTCTTTATTTCTTTTATTTCTTTTCTTTTATTCTATATAGCTGTGTCCGGGCGCTCGATATCGTTTAGTGAACGCTGGATTTTCCCCCAGAGAATGCATAGTCGCTATTACCAAACCGGCCTTTTCTTAATATCTCACTGTTGCTTTTATGACTTAGTTACCAGCTAGAGGCAAGGTAAACCAACCTTGAGCAAGCACCAGGTGAGTTCAGTTGTACTTGTACATTCTACCCAATCGCACCCGTGATGCTCAATTATATTGAATGCTCCTGACGCAGTTCCAGACAGTCAAAAAAAGTAATTAAATCACCGGTGTATTTTCCCCAGATGGGGTGGAAGGATCTACCTGTGGAGCTCGTCCATCTAATCCTCTCGAAGGACAGCATCGGACACCATGATTTAGCAAACCTTGCACGTGTAAACAGTTACCTCGCCGGAATTGTGCCTCAATATCTATACTATGATGTTCAATTCATATCTGCCCAACCATCACTGGAATCAGAATGCAAAGGCCTCGCGCGGCTGGCAAAATTTAATCGCTCAATCACGAGAAACCCAAGTCTAGCCGGACTGACGCGGAGCATTGCGATAGTGACGTACGTAGAGGGCCATCATATAGTTGATTGTATTTGGGAGGTTCTTGCTAAGCTTTACGTCCTCGAAAAGTTGGTCCTATCAATAGAGACCGAAGACAAACTACATGTGGTTCTTCGAAGCAATCCGCTCAGTAGACTCCGTTGCGTTAAAATATACGGCCACCTTCTCAACCTTGGAGTAGCAGCCGGCTATATGCAGCTTCCAGCCATCGAGTCTCTAGCCGTGGAATATCACAGTTTCTCAAGGACAGGGCGCCAACGTTCTGTTGTTGTCAGACTTCCGCCTAACATGGAGCGCCAGACGTCTCTCAAGGAGTTAACAATCCGTGTTCCGTCCGAAACCATTTCTCTGCTCCCTAGACTTATCTCATCCTGCCCAACATTGACAGCTTTCGCCTTCAGTATAAAGAACCCCATCAACGTCCGCTCGGAACGAATACTATTATCAAATGCGCTTAGTTTCTGCCAAGAAACAGTTACTATACTCGAATTAAATTGCGAGTATCTTGAATTTTGGGAATATTTCGATTGTTGTCCTGTTGTTTTACGCGATATGAAACGCTTGCGAGTTTTGAAGATAGACACTCTCTTTCTTCTCAGTGATGATGACACATACAGTCCGGTATTGCGAAGTGACATTCATCAGCGGCTGCCTTCTTCATTAGAAGATTTGGAGGTACAGTTATATTCTTTTGGTTTATCTCCCCCCTAATTTTTCTTTTCGCTTTTCGCTGCCCCTTTTTTCCTGTCGCCGTAGGGCGGATTCACCAAACCTTCATGTCATTCCCCTCAATTTCCTGAAACTAACATCGATATCTGTGCTTCATCGTACGTATATAGATTCTTTTTCAAAAAAAATTTGGTGCGTTTGAAGCTGATTCTCTGTTCTCCGCCAATGATGCACCGCCCGACTCCTCTCCTACTTACATACCGGAGTATCTCACCTGGCTGCTACAAATTGGAATGAACAAAGAAATTCGCCTGCCTAATCTGGTGCACGTTTGTATACGAGAGAGTCATGTCGGCTATCCCGGCCCATATAAAGTGTTGAATTTGCCAGTTGAGATTGAAGTTCCATTTCGCAAGGCTGGTATAGATATTGAGTTATTTCTCCTCCCTTCTGAGTCCCGGCCCTTCTAAATAATACGCCCGCCTTTGCTTTAATTGACTAGATACAGATGGTTAGCTATAAGACAGAACAGTGGTTGGTAAAATTCTCACCAGTTGAAGAATATATAAACTTTTCTCATCCTGGAAGCCTGGCCACCCGCCTTGCGATGCATGGATTTAGATGTAAAATGGGGCTACTAGTTGGTTTCCTTTTGTTTCCTTTAGAAAAAATTTTGAAGGTAACTACTTAAAACAAATAATAATAATAATACTCATAATAATAATAATAATAATAAATCATAAATCAAAGAGGCACCTGTCCTGATGCTCGTTTAGAATTACTCCAATGTCTGGATATTCCCTTGAAGTTCCCTTTTTACCTGTTCTATTCAAGCTCTGTTAGCTTTTAGCTAGAAATACATATGTGCTTCTGCAGATGGGGAGTTTGTTCAGCAGAAAAGCACCTATGCTACGCCAACCAGTCGTCAAGCTTGGAGCAGAAACGAAGACGGGTCCATCCTCACTTAAAACTTAAACGTAAGAATTGCATTCCCATGTTCCTCCCTCCTACGAACTTAGCAAGAGTTTGCCACTAATAAATCAAAACTATGAATCACACGGCGTCAGACTGGGTAGTGAAGTTACGGGCTCGGAGTTTTCAGAAATAGATACACTTTCTACGGGGAGGAGGAGCACGGAGACATTCCCACGAATCAAAACTATTAAATGGAGAGAGAGGCTGCAACGGCTTCGCTTGCATGAAGCCGCCGCCGGGTTATGTTTTAACTAATAAAATTAAGGTTTAATTGGTTTCATCAATGGATAAGGGCGTTATATTTGTGCGGGGTATAGACGTTGCTGGAAAGAACAGAAGACTAAAAGCTACCTTGACCGATGGAATACATCTGTTATTTTATGTTCTCGATGCTACAAAATGTACCTAAATTGCGGATTCTGCCGGGACATATCAGTTAGCAGAGCTGTAATATACAATGACAGGATATGGAAATGGAGTGGAGCGCCAACCTTTCTGTCAGTCAGATCATCATCATAAGCGTGCTCAAATGCTTCCATCGTCCCCGTCTTATCTCGTTTGCGATTTTCATAGATTGCAACGTATCTGTAAAGAATTGCGAGTAATATTGCGGCGATGGCTGTCACCAGCACTGTAATGAATCCTGGGGCGTACACGGGCGCGTCCTTCGGTTCGAATACTATAGGACCAACGAAGTTTCCTGTGTTGATAATAGAATGTTCAGTAAACATATTCGGGTATACTGACCAGTTTTGCTTATACCATTCTGGAAGTAAGGGATTTAACCACTATTGGAAGAGGCATGAGCAAACTCACCCAAACAGTAGCCCATGAACACCCCTGCTGAGGTTACCGATCTTTTGGTATAGCCCGCTGTATTTGCAACTTGAAGGCCCATGAGGATAGCATATGCACCACCAAAGGATGCAAGGAAGTACGTTCCAAATAACAGGCCTCCCTTCTGCTCTCGAGGGAGTTTCCAAAGAAGAAGACTCGCCATGATAGTGCCCAACTCGCATATCACTACCAACCAGGTACGGATATTGACATATTTATACGCAACGAGACAGACTACCAACTCGATGGTGCCTCCGATGAATCCAGCAGGTAGAGTTAATAGGAGGGAGTCCAAGGGGCTGAAGCCGAACGACTTGATGAAAATAGGAATGAATGATGAGACTGGACCGTTGGCTATCATCAGCAGGAATGAGGCTGCGAAGATAATCCAGAACTTCAGATCCGAGAGGGCATCCCAAACTTGTTCGATCTTGAAATGCGTATTGCGAACGCCGCTGTTGTTAACCCGCATGCGCGCAACGGCAATGTAGCGCTCGCGGTCGGTAAAACCCTTGGCCCGTATGGGATCTGGTGGCATGAAGAAGTAGATCACGACAGCCCAGAGGATGGTAATCACGCCGGCAACTATATACATATACTGCCACGGGCTCAGGGAGCCAGTGATATGACCCAGGCCGTAGTTGATCAGGGGGCTGATGGCGCTAACATAACCGGTGCAGGAATACCACATTCCCATACGCAATGCTTGTTCTGCTTTCAGATACCATCCGCCCACCACCAACATGAACATCGGCGATACTCCAGATTCAAGAAAACCAAGGAAGAATCGCTGGGCGAACAGTGCCTGCCAATTGTGACAGGCTATGGTGCAGATAAGGCAAATGCCCCAGATGAACACAATGCCCGAGGCTACACGCTCAATGGGCCACCGCTGAGCCATGTATATGGCAGGGTAGGCCCCCGCGATAAAGCCTAGATAGAAGATGGAAGCGGAGAATGAGTAGCGGTTTCCGACGTTGAGGTCGAGGTCTGTTCGAAGGCCGAAAATAGCCTGTTGGCATGTTAGGATTTAGCTTGGTGGCTAACTGACGGTCTGTAGAGTTGTTGGAAGGTAAGGCTGGGCACACTCACGGCTTGGGATAGCATGGTCTTATCATATTGCTGCAACCCATATGTGATGCAGAGGATTGTCATAAGTTTCCGATCAATTTTCCGCACCAGCTGTTTTTCCTCGACAGGATCCCATGTTGAGTCTCCATCATATGCAGCGATAACCTTGAGGGCTTCGTCGGTGCTGACTGTGTCGATGACATCCGTAGCCTTGAGGTTATCTCGCTTTTCCGCTGAGATGGTTTCTTCATGGTCTGTTTTGTATAGTTTATCCATGCTGAGCTCCCAAGAGACAAGGTATATGCTGCCTTCGATGGCTGGTGGGTCAAGTTTTTCCTATCCAGGGCAGAAGGGAGAAGATGAATAAAATCAACCCGGAAATCATGAGATTGAACGAAATTCTTCAGGCCTTTCCGACTCCTTTTTATACCCCAATTTTCCCCTCTTCGATTCCCATTTCCCACCGATTGCTCGTCCAGGCCGACGTGATTGAGAGCAACCCGATTCGCCAGATTGAAATAGAGAGGGCTTCACTGCCCTGAATACCCATTGGTTCGGCATACCAAGGTGCATCCTGAATGAGAGACCAATGCAAAGAGCTGGAGCATGGCGTGTGGTAGTTTGATGTGTATCAACATCGTCATTGCTTTGTGGGAGAAGCCCCTCAATCATCGGCGTTGATAGCGGTTCATTTCTCCCGCCCCCCCACTCGGACACTATCCCGGGCCCGCGGGCACTAGTTTTTGGGGATGGAATGGCCCTTTTTTTTGAATTTTCCGGCCCGCGATAAGATCGAGGAAATTCTCCGTTTGTCTCCAGCCGGGAGCCTGCAACCGAACCGAGAGACGGACTGGTGGAAAGGTTAGTTACGGATTAGCGACATGTATCCCTAAGGATTAAACCTATCATTGCTTCCCGAGGAACGATGGGCAGCTTTGCCTATATGTACAGTACAGTACTTGCATCTCCCATCTCAATCATATCATCACCATGCAGACTTTAGCGCTCTGGGCATTGTGAGCGATAGTTAGAGGATAAGATTTCCCCTCCTCACCCAACGAAGGTTCACTGGAGAGAGTTTTAGTTTTGTCTCTTCTGACCAACTCAGCTCACGGCTTCAGACGCCTTTTCCGTGAAGCTGGGCGTAAATATTCCCCCAAGTTCCATCCCTCACAGGTTGTCAGTGGCGCTCTTCCTGTCGCAAAATGACTGTGGACGACGAGGATTACCTTGGAATTCTTCACGGATAATGAAATGGTGCTACCAGCTGAGCAAGTAGAAGCACAACTGCCCTAGACGGCCCATGATTGGGACGTCCCGGGCTTCTGCTAAACTGAAGGGCGGTTGGAACTCATCGCCAGTTTGATGCGCTGAGACGCCACAAACACATGGCCACTAGGGTTTGCAGAAGCGGGCGTTTTAAGTATGCATCTGCCCTTGATCAGGATATTCCTCTTTCTCACCCTACGATGATCCTGCAATCATCACCATCTAGCGGCCCAGGACGAAGCATCGGATATTCGACAAACCGCATTGGCTTTCGTCGTCCAACTATATAGTCGCAGCTTAGAATGGAGGGATTTTATATGGGTTTCTAATTGAATTGAATTTTATGTTACGGAATACGCAGGCAAAAAGAAATAGTTAGCAAAAACACTGAGCAACTATATCTTTATCAGCAGCAACTTTCTAGATCTGGTTTGGATGGCGTTATTTTACCAATTTATCCTGTTTTAGCAAGCGTATTAGCTGTATTGTAATTACATACACAGCTAACTACGCCGACTAAGATTTTGTTTCTCACCTCCCCAGCCGTGATCGATTGCTCGTACGCTTTTATTCTTCATTCTTCTATTGTACTGCCAACAAGGAAAATTCGTGATTCTCAACCTCTCGCAAACAACCACGAGAGTTGGGTCCTTGCAAAAATGATAAACCTGTCAACCGCTTGGTGATAGCAGCCGGGCTCTAGCAGAATGTTCATGCCTGCCGGTGGCTTTTCTGACGATGTAAGAATATGAGACATACTGGCTAATGGGCAGATTTATACTGCATGCTTATTGTCTAGTTCTCTCACATAAAGTAGTCAGAGGGATGCTGCTCACTTGAGCCATGCCAGCAGTTTTCATTCCTCGCCCCCAAGACTGATTGGCTCGACTTATTTAATGCAGCTGGGAGTCAGGCCATGACATTGGCCGCCCAGCAGAGCCTTGTCAGATACAAACCACAGGCGGGGTAATTAGATGCAATGAGGCTGGCAAGTCTATGAAACTCCCACGTCCATCACCTGAAGTTTGATCGGAGTGCTCGAGTATCCTAACCAAGCTTCATCCTGTTTTTATTAATGTCTCGACTTCGGATTATCATAGTCATTGATACGACCCAATGTCATCCTCGGTGAGCAGATTGAAACATCAGGACTATACGATCGCATGGATATGTGCGCTCCCTCTGGAAAGTGCCGCCGCCGAGGCGATGCTGGATGAGAGACATCCTCCCCTGCCAACTAGTCCAAATGATGAGAACACATACGTGCTCGGGAGGATATGCGCTCATAATGTTATAATCCTATGCCTTCCATCAGGTGTCTATGGCACGACGGCAGCCACGAACTTAGCCTCCCAAATGAAGTTTACTTTTACGGCAATACGCTTTGGGTTAATGGTTGGCATAGGAGGTGGGGTTCCAAGCAAGGAAATTGATATTCGACTGGGTGATATAGTGGTTAGCAAGCCTACAAGAGAATTCGGGGGTGTCATACAGTACGATTATGGCAAAACAGTGCAACATGGGCAGTTTGAGCGTTCAGGCATGTTGAATAAACCTCCGCCGGTTATTCTGACTGCCATATCCAGACTGCAGGCTGCCCATAGATTAGAGTCTAGCAAGATTCCAGCGTTCATATCTGAAGCTGTGTCAAGGAATCCCCACTTTGCGCCGATTTCGACGTATCCTGGAGAAATTTTCGATATTTTGTTTGAATCCGAATATGATCATATTGAGTCGGGGATCACCTGTGACGACTGTGAGTTGAATCGAGTAGTGAAACGGATTACCCGAGATGACCATGACCCTGTTATTCACTATGGCCTTATCGCCTCTGGGAACCAGGTAATAAAGCACGGCCAGACCAGGGACAGGTTAGCTCGGGAACTCGGCATTCTTTGCTTTGAGATGGAGGCGGCTGGCTTAATGGACGTAATTCCCTGCTTAGTGATTCGAGGCATCTGTGATTACGCAGATTCCCATAAAAACAAACGATGGCAGGATTATGCGGCAGCAATTGCTGCCGCATACGCCAAAGAACTTCTCTCTGTCATTCACGAAAACCGGGTTGCAGATGAGCCAAAAGCAGGTTCATCGAGTCAGCGTATGCCAGCTTCCTGTGTATGCATTCCGCTATTTATGGCTTTTGCTGACATATAAATAATTGGTCCTAGTCTATCATTGTCAAGATCTCTCCGTTAGTGAGCAAATGCGATCTGGCGGCCTAACAGTTCAAGATAAGGGTGAGTGCATCTGCGATACTGCTATTCGTAAGAAGTTACCCGCTGACCTCCCGTGTGTAGGTGACGGCCACATCGACGATTGGCTAATTGAAAGAATTTCAAAGTACGACCATAACAGAGTCCATCGAAGGCTTTTGCATAAACGACTTCTGGGAACCACGGAGTGGTTCCTCGCCCATCCTGATTTCAAAGAATGGCTTACTGGAAACACCATTCCCACTTTATGGTGTTCTGGCAAGAGTACGACTCATTTCTATGCGTTCATTTTTAAAGACGATGCTGATGTCCAGCGAGTTACTAGTTGGCTCAGGCAAAACAATTATAGCGTTAGTACTCTAAAGCGTAGTTACCCCATCTTTGTTGTTTGTGTCCTGACGGTGAAGGATAAACAGAACGTCCGTGGTGGAGGAATTGATATATCGTTCCTCTAAGCTGCGTGCTCCCAGTATCTTTTTCTACTGCGAGACCGAGCATCCCAGATCACTCCAGCCATCATATATTCTCTCCAGTTTCATCAAACAACTATGCAGGTTCCTCCACGACGCGTACGTACCTTTCCCGAGAGATCTAATTCGAGAGATTCACATGTTCTTTGGACGCGAGCCACACACACCAGATTTTCAAGATCTAGAAGACCTTTTCGGCGACCTTTATCGTTACGCCCCAAACACGGCGTATGTCATTGATGGAATTGATGCTCTCGATCAAGGAAATTGCAGCAATCTTCTAAAATTCATTCTGCGCCATTTCTCTTGCTCAAGTGATCGCCAAGGATCAAAATGCATACTGCTAAGCAGGGAGCAAGTTCCAGGGTTCATGGACATCAGTACTTTCATCCCAGGAATCCGACATATTTCAACGTCTTCCCATGTCATGCGAGATATTCAGATGTACATCGAAACGACTATCGCCGACAAAACCTTGTCCAGAAAGCTCACCACAAATTCTTCATTGTTACATGAGATTAAAGAAACTCTATTACAAGAGTCCTCGGGGATGTAAGATGCCTCGACGCACCTTTCAGTTTTCATGATCCGATCCCCCATATGATCATACGCTAACAAACAATAGGTTTTTGTGGGTCTATCTCCAGCTTGAGATCTTGTGGGATACTTGCTTCACCGACGCACAAATACGATTATCATTAGGACAGCTTCCAAAAGATCTAGAAGAAACCTATCGTCGCTGCGCTCAAAGGATAGTTATGCTGGACAACATCGCGGTCAAGGTATTGAAGTGGGTCAGTTTCGCTACGAGGCCCCTTCATATTGAAGAGCTGAGAGAAGCTGTTGCATTTACTCCACTAGATACTGAGTGGGATGCGGAGAAAATACCACAGCAAGAAATCGTTGCTGGGTGTTGTGCAAACCTCGTAGTTGTGGACCCTATTGACGGCTGTGTACGTTTTGCTCATAGTTCTGTAAAACAATACCTTGAGAGTAACCACGGAAGCCACATTGAGGGGTATCCTGTCAACGCAGACCAAGGAGATCTAGAATGTGGAGAGTATTGTCTTGTCTATCTTTCCTTCTCCGACTTCAGCCTCCAAGTGACAAGGGCAGAAGAGGTGACGGTCGCCTTTCCAAACCCAGCGGCTCTCATTAAGGGAGTTTTCCGTTCATCATTGATGGCACCTTTCCGCCGAATTCCGAGGGGCCAAGAGGGCTTCGTTCCTGTACGAGTCCCAAATACACGCGCAAAAAGGACATCTGATCGAACCAACTATAAGTTCCTTAATTATGCCGCTAGTGGCTGGGCACTCCATATGAAAAATATCGATACTGCATCGCCCTCCTGGGAACGGTTTGAACATGTCGCAACAAATTTCAGTGACTCTTGGAATTTCCATCCTTGGGTGAGTGGTGGCCGTTCGGCACAGTCGCGTCTACATGCTCTCTTTGGCTGGGCAGTCAAGGAACATCACGAGCCACTTTTGTCCATTGCTCTGAGGTCGAAGAAGGATTTACTGGCTATCTGTGATCTACCCCTGGTCGATGAAGGGTTTCCCGCACTTCATCTTGCATCGAAACTTGGGCATTACGCAATTGTTCAACATTTGTTGCGCTTCTGCAAAGTAAATGTGCTAGATGTGGAAGGATATGCTCCATTGCACTACGCTGTGGCCAAACGCCGTTTGGACGTCGTGCAGTTGATTTTACGCGCTAATGGCTGCAAAGTGGGCATTAAATCCCGGACTGGGGACACACCACTTTTCCTAGCTGCTATCAACGGAGACGAGGATATCGCACTGGCTCTTCTCATGGATGGTACAAGGACCAAGAACGGAAACGCTTTTAAATATTACGTCTCACTCTTTTCTCCATTAGCAGCGGCTTGTAAATATGGGCACCCAACGATCGTCCAAATGTTACTAGAACATGGAGCTCTTCTAGGACAAGACTATAGCTTCGGGAGGACACCTTTATCTCTTGCTACCACAGCGGGACATACAGATATAGTCGAGCTCTTACTTAAATGGGGGTCACCCCCTGACGGCAACAACCGGGACGGTTCCACACCGCTCACAGAAGCTGCACGTATTGGAGACGAGAAGCTGGTACAGATGCTGCTTGAAAGGACTAAAAATCTGGACTGTGAAGATCACGATGGCCGTACGCCTTTCTTCTGGGCGTCAAAAGAAGGCCATGTGGAGGTGATGAAATTACTGCTTGCAAAAGGTGCTGATTACGGGCGTGCAGATCAGTTTGGTGATACGCCTTTATTCCATGCTGTAAGGAGGAATGATGTGGAGATGGTTCGCGTTCTGCTCGAGATGGGTGCAGACCTTAAGACGAGAACTCATGGCACCAACCTATTGGACTTTGCGCGCCAAGTGGGAGAAACAGAAATAATAGAACTGCTGCTCAAGCATGGTGCCACTGACAGTACTGAGGCCCAACTCGGCGAGGAAACCTGACAACGTCGTTGAGTCGGAAGTACATTATTGGGAACCGGAGGGGAAAAAACGGCTGGGACTGCGGAGGAGCCTGAGGAGAGCCAAAGAGAGGTAAGGTGCCTGGGGTGGTGGCGTAATGGTGGCCAGCCCGTTCGCAGGCGGCAAAGGAGTTAAAATAGCAGGCACACGCCGAGCAGATATATATCTGTTTCATGAAGCCACAGATACTCCGCATTCTCCACGGAAACAAGAAGAGAGAAAATATGGTCGAAAGATCCGTTTGTGTTCGCATGTGCTCCACACACAGCGCAAATTGCCAAAAGGGCAGTGTGATGTAATGTATATAGTGAGCTCCCTCTGCACATAGCGCATAGCGTTCCAAAGCATGATTAAAAAGAATAATGAAGCTGACGATCAATGCTTAGATATCTCTCTATTTTCTATTTATTATAGAAAAACCAACTTTTCCATGCAAAAAACACTGTAACATGACATCACATGCACCTCATCAAAAATATTTGAATGCTCTGACTCATACAGCTCAGATCAATCTTCAAATCTTCATTCTTTTTTTCATTCTGCTCTTTTCATACATTCTCTAAGTATTTACATTCCTTATACTCTTCTCTATGTTCATTTTTGATCTCTGTGTTCATGGCATGCACTGCTAAATGCCCTGTAACATGATCTCATGTGATGTCATGTGCACCCCTTTGAATTCATGGATGGGATTGAACAGCCGGCTCTGTGGCCTGCACAGCTCTGATTAATGGTGATAGGGGTGATACGGGGTGGAAGAGGGTGGTAGGGGGAGAGGGTGGTAGGGGCGGTAGAGGTGGTGGTGGTGGTAGAGGGGGTAGGGGGTGGAAGGGGTGGAAGGGGTGGTAAGGGGGGGGTAGAGGCCCGAGGGTGGAAGTGGTAGAGGGGGCTGCGCATTGATGCTTGTATTAGAGAATGCAAAAAGCTACATTGGGCAAACAAGTATATAAAAATAACTAAATTATAAGTAAGAAAGAAGAAAGGGGCATGAATGGAATTCACATCTCAAAAGAAACAACAAGACTAATAATTAAATAATTTTTACTAACTAACTAGTTACTAACTCCCTATGTCACTGAAACCCTCACCCATTCCCCATTTACCCATACTTGCACTACATGCACGCATGCAAGTTCTAGCGGGAAACGGACGTAATTTGAGGGGGGAAAAAAAAAGAAAAGAAAAGAAAAGGGGCAAAACAAAGGGAGTGAAAAAAAAGGGAGGGGTTTGCCCGAGATGATAATAGATGGATGGGGGCACATGCACGGCGTTTAGCACACAGTAAGCAAAGCCAGCCCGTGGTTTGTCGGGTTGTTATGGACGGGGGAAGGTAGGGGGGTATCACTGCTTGAATCGATTGAGGTATGGGGGCCGGGTTTTTGAGCGTGTTGTATTAAAGGGATATGATACATGTATGATATGATGGCATGGAAATGGAATACAATTGGGGGGAACAAATGATTATAAAAGCAAGATCGGATCGGATCGGGTCGGATTGATTTTAGTACGGTGGGAGTATTAGTTGTTATGATATGGCCATGGTACGATATATATATAGATATCGCTGATTCCGATATTTTCTTTTGGCGTTTATTTTTCACCATAGATTCAACATCTTTAGGATATCGTGGCGGTGGAAATAGGAGCGGTTGATTTTGCCGAAGATGTCTGTATTTTGTTATTTTTTTTTCATTATTTCTGTTAGCCATACCATACCATACACTGCATGACCATGGTTTTCGTAAGGTGGAAAATGGGGATGGGGAGGGAACACATACACATGGGTATACTGAGTAGACACACGCCGACCTGAATACTGGCGATGATAATGAAGACCCGTTTCGGGTTGGAGAGCACGATCCAGTCATAGGCGAAGTATGTCAGAAGGAAGCTGAACATATTTTTGAAGACGAGGAGGCACGTGAAGGCTTCGACGGCGATTTGGCCTGGTGTGTATCTGTTAGCATCCGCGGTGGGGAGGCGCGTAAGAAATAGGGGAAAAAAAAATACATACGATGCGCATCAACAACGTACAACGCACTCGCCACCGCCCCCATAACCATGCCGACAATGACAAACGCAAAAAAAACATCGGGCACCACATATCCAAAGCGCGCCACGTCCGCCGTCGTATACCCAAACCCATACAGTCCCAGGGCGCTAAACACCAGCTGGAACAGCACTAGCACGATGCGGAACTCGGGCTCATATACACCGCGGTTCAGCTTTGTGAGCAGCTTGGCGGAGTAATCGGCTAGCAAGCCTGAGAGGACGAGACCGGCGATAGAGCCGATAAAGGCGCCGGTGTAGAGGTAGCCGATTTTGTCCTCAGTGAACCAGAGCGGCGGGAAGCTGAAGAGTGCGGCGAGGACGACACCGATGAAGACAGTCCAGCCGATTAACACGCCCTGGGTCAGGCAGGCCTGGTTGTTTTTGTTTGTTAATATTGGAGTGGGTAGGACAGGGGAAGGGGGAGGCGTCATACCCATAAAATACCCGGATGTAGGAATAACGGTAGCGGGCGGAGCAATAGCTTCCAGTAACTCTCATCTGTCTTGCGCCCATTGAAAGGTTTCAACGATTCCCAATACGTCACTTTTCGCGGGATGACATCGCGTGCCGCTTCCTCGGTAATGACAGGGTCATGGCCATTGTCATCCTCATCTCTAGATTCGTGTTTCTCCGCCTTCATTTCTTCCTCACGGGACTTTTGCGAGGATGACCTGTTGTTGTTCTCCGTATTCAATTCAATGGGTTGAGTGGTGTTAGTAGGAGCAGCGGTGGTATTATTAGGGACAGCTCCTTGGCTAGATTCCCCTTCGAAATCCGTGTTGAGATGAGCCGCCCTCCTGAAAGCGGTTTCGGGAGCGCAGAAAATGACCAATGGCAGACACGCGCCAGAGAAGATGGCGAGGAAATTAAAGGTCCATTCCCAGCCCATGGAGACGGTGAGCTTTCCGACGATGACGGGGGTGAAGAAACTGCCGCCGAAGAGGGCGACGTTAGACAATGCCATCCGTTTCCCACGTTCCTAGAGGTTTTATGATTATTAGAATTTGCCCGGGGGATCCCAAAAATTAGTTGGGTGGGGATAAACAAAAACATACATGAACAAAAAACAAATCCCCCACACTTGCATTGACCAAGGCCTCGTACGGCGCCAGTCCCACTCCCTGGAAAACTCTCGCAACCAGCAAACTCTTATAGCTGCCGGCACTCGCGCCGCCCCAGGCGGAGCTGAAGATCATCACGATGCAGCCGAGGATATAGAGATGGCGCTTACCCCAGACCCTGGCGGAGGGGACGAAGAGGAGGCCAGCGACCCCAACGCCGCAGAGGTGGTAGCCGGTGAGCAGGGCGGCTTTCGTGAAGGTGGTTTCATAGTGGTGGGCGAGGGTAGCGGTGTTTGCGGCGAGTAGGGGGCTTGTTGTTGCGCAGAGGAGGCCGACGAAGGAGAGGACTGCGAGGATTGCGTCGCGTTTCCAGAGGGGCCAGTTCTTGGGGGGGTTATGTATGTCAGTATAGATTTAATTTGTAATAGGCGCTTTCATAAGTAGTTGTATATAGGAATTGGAGGATCTACCAGGGGATCATTGGGGTCATCGCTCGGCTGGGGAACGAGGATGATGGGTGTAGGGCCGGAGGTGTCATATTTGAGGTGTGGGGAGGGGGCGAGCTGTTCGACGGTGCTGGAATCGTCCTCGAGGATGAAGGTGGTGCCTGCTCAGTATTAGATGAAGGTGAAGATGAAGATGAAGATATAGATATAGATATAGATATAGATATACACACCAGGAACGTGGTCGAGGCGGGAGTCCTGTAGAATCCCAAGGCCCATGGTTGCGATACGGATGAAGTATCAAGGACCGAATTGGCAGAGAGGAAAACTTCCAACCTAGCCCTCCGGCGGGCTGGTTTATTTCGTCTCTATTGAACTATCTCAACTATCGCGATGCGGGGTAGAAGAAGCATTACCTGGTGGTTAGTCGGAGTTAGTCGTAGTCGAAGTCGTTCGAGGTGTCTGTCTCTCGGTGGATGGGATGGGGAGAGAAATAATCAACACAGCCAAAATAAAAATAAAAAAAAGCACTCCACAACACTAGCAGACTGGCAGGCGGCGCAAGCAAAGTGGAGTAGCCATATGGATGGATTCACATTGGCAAACCACAAAAGGGGCAAGATATTCATTTCATGGCATTCACCATTGTTGATATTCACTTCACCGTGCAGTGTGCAGCGTGCAGCGTGCAATATGTGATTGTTCGAAACAGATCGCGTGCCGAATAACAGTGCCGAGTAACGGGGGGGGATACACTAAAGCACCCCCGAAGACACAGGGCTTGTTTAGGGCCTCCATGCCTAAGTCCTAGGCTATGAATTTAGATAATCATAACTAAGTTCCCTCTAACTAGTTAGCTAACTAGCTAGTTAGTTAGTTAACCATAACCTTATTAATAATAACAAGCAAACCACGATCGCGATTTTGAGTCCGGCTGCAAACCATGGATCCGCGCCTGTCAACCCAACATCATGCCTTGGTTACTCTGCAGTAAAAGTAAATAAATGGACTAAATAACTAGTTAATAAATAATAAGGAAATAGTCACAATTCCCCACGAGCGCATATAGCTTAGTTCAACATGTAGTTAATTATTATTTATCCTTTTGCAGCCAGCCATCCAGCCAGCCAAGAATGCGTCTTATTTCCAACGCTATTAACTTTAACAATCCCCCAGCTGTCTTCTCCTCCTCCTCCCCCTATTTTCGACGTACTATGCGTAGCTCTCCCATCCGCCTCAAAACTACAAACTTCTTCTTCTCTTCTTCCTTCTTCTCTTCTTAATTCTATCACCAATCAATCAATCAATCAAGCAATCTCTCACAATGCGTCTCGCCATCACCGCCGCCGTCGCCTCTTCCCTCCTCGCGCTCGTCGCGGCCCAGGCTGGTGACCTCCCGAAATGTGCTGTATGTCTCCTCCACCCGACTAACCTAGATGACAACCAAATATATATATATATATCAATCGTGACATTGCTAACAACATATAATAAATAAAAACAGCAAGAGTGTGCTGGGCCCGCCATCCCCGCCGACTGCGGCATCGACCCCGAGTGCATCTGCAAGGCCAAATCCTTCATCGACGCCATCACCTGCTGTGTCGCCACCAAGTGCGACAAGGATGAGCAGGAGAGTACGTATATATATATTTCTATATATATTTGCATATATACATATATATTTGCATATTTGCATATTTACATATATACATATATATTTGCATATTTACATATTTACATATATACATATATATCTATATGGTATAAAAGAAATACTAACACCCACCCCAGAGGCAATAAGCATCGCTAAAATAACCTGCGCCGCCGTCGGCGTCACTGACCTCCCCGACGCCGCCGTCTGCGATAGCGCCTCTTCCTCCGCCTCCGCCGCCCCCTCCTCCCCTTCCTCCAAACCAACTGGCTCAACCGCCGGTCCCACCGCGTCGTCTGAGCCTACCAAGTCTGGAGCGGAGACCACCCCGACCGGCTCTCCTACTGGGTCTGGCACTGGTGCGCCACCCCCTGCGGGAACGGAGACGCCTGCTGCAGGTAACCGCGTCGGTGTGGCGACGGGAATGGGGGTGGGGGTTGGGCTGGTTATGGGGGTTTTGGGGGTGATGTAAATGGAGGTTGGTTGTAAATTTGAGTTGAGGATTTGAGTTGAGAGAGTGAGAGGAAGACCTCAAGAGTATGGGTTGAGTAGCTGCTAGTGGTGTTTTTATGATATGTTCAATATACGGATCAGTCCCCGTTTTGCGGTGTGATATGGGTGTTGGATGTTGATGGAGATTGCAATTTGTCTCCAGTTGTCTACCTGTATAATGGATGGAGATGGAAATTGAGATTGAGATGGCAATGGCGATGGCGATGGCGATGGCTGTTATATCGATTTACCATACCTAATTAATTATGTAATGACAATCACTCTGTTTCTATATAAAACTCATCTTTCTTTTCCTTCTGGCCGCATACATCTATACCTACTATAAATTCACATCTATATACAGCTTATCAACCTACGTGACACACAAACGTGGCATTATATCAACCTAATTGAAACACCCAGGCTTTCCCCATTCCCCACATATCGTATCCCATGATGCAATGCTGTACATATCTCCTACATATGATACAGATCAGATCATATCAAGATCGGACCAGTCCATGAAAAAGGTCCCACGGCAGATCATCTTCGCATAACGCTGTACGCAGTATGCGAGGTGGAGATGATCAATTACCCGCACTCCAACTCAGCACCTCACTACGACAGGTAGTAGGGATTGGTAAATATCGCCACTAGTTACTGGTTGTGTGTACGTAACTGTCCCTCGACGCGGGGAAAGAGGACTGGGAGATGTTAGATGTCTTCCCCGCAGCTTGGATAATAATGTGTATTTATGTGTGTATGTGTGTATATGTGTCTGTATCTGTCTATCTGTAAATTCTGCGGATTAGGTTGTTGCCGAACCGAACCGGTCCTGCCGGTGGGTCTGTACAGGTCACTGCTGTGTCGCCACACGATATTATAGGTTTGACTCAATCCGGGAACTAAGGAACACTAGCCTAGCTTGGTTAGATCTCTGAGATCTCAACCGATCCAGATTATTAATATCTTATTAATCACTAGCAGGAAAATGAGCCCTATTATTGCTATGCGTACGGAGTAGTTATTTAATATTCTTTCCTTTTGTTATTATCATTCACAGACTGATGCACCCTCACCCTGCTTTCCCCCAGCTTTCTGTGTCCCTGTTATATGCAGGGTAATTAGTTCTTTGCCAAGATTACTCCGCAGGTTCCGCCCCCTTTGGGATCATACACTGGGGAGGCTCTAGACCTGAGACAGTCTCTATGCTCAGGGAGCTCTATACAGAAGGATCTCTATGTGAGGGATCTCTATATCTGGGAAATCTCTACGTATATATGGAAAGGGTTTGGATCTTGATACACCTGGTGAGAGATCTGTGAGACGAAGCTCATCGTCTTAACGCTAAGACTGACTAAACTATATATAGTAATATACTAACTCTATTAAGACTAATATGTTTCGTGCGTGTCCATAACATGAGTATTATGTGGAATTAAGCTTTTATACTGAATACTGAAAAAACAAACATTCAAAACATTCACTTGACTCTGATTTGTTGATATAACTAGTTAGATTCACTATCTCATGTTTTCTACTCTTGTATTCTCACTATTAACTTTTTTATTTATTATTATCAAATTTCTCTGTCATTTCACTCAAATTTATATCTGATGTCAGTATAAAAGATAAAGCTTCAAGATCAAGGTCTGATTATAGTGTATGTAGTAATATTTCTCTCTATCTGAAAAGTTGATATTGATAGGAGTTTCATTTTATATCTTAATTAGGGTTAGGGTAAATAGATTACACACATCAAAACATGCCAATACAGTCAATCTCTTATAATCTGGTAGTTTTTGTGTCTTTAATACACTAATGTACACGCTAAAAACAACGCCAATTGTGCCTCGCGGCAAGGGATGCGCTGGTAGGGTAGGCTGCCGTAGTTAGAAGTCAACATAAAAAAGCAATCCATCCCATCCCATGCAGAGGACGATTTGCTGTTCTTGACTCGCTGTCTGTGTCTTATGTAGGTGGGTGGGTGGTTACCTAAGTAGTTACCTACATTAGTACGGAGTAGTAGGTAGTGACACCCCGACTGACTACTCTAGGTACTGTATGACTATCTCCATCATATCGGGGTGATGGAATGAATAGACCGAAGAATGAAGACTCAGCCTTACCGTGAGAGTGTGAGGCTCTGCCACAGTCGTTATATATCAAGAACTAAAATTGGTGGATTGAATTGAGTATTACATAGAACGCTTGTTATTATCTGATAAAGAGCAACAAGCTTTAGTTTTTCACCTGACCATTGATGGGGCGGCAGAGTACTTCAGTTCAATTTTCTCTTTCAGAAATCAGTGTGCTGAACATGTTGAACATAAACAAATGGAGAATAAAAACTAAAAGCTTGGAGGAAAAGCAGTATGAGTACGGATATCAATAATGACTGTTTTTCTTTTTTCTTTTTCTTTTTTTCTTTTTCTTTTTTTCTTTTTTTTTTTTTTTTTTTTAGACAAGAAGGATAAAACCTGAACCGCCTAAAAATACATTATTACCTAAATAATCTATTTTACGCAAATGCTCCCCCAACAACCTTATTAACATCCTATGCTATGAATCGCTTCGTTTCATTTTTTGTTGGGTGACACAGAACCACAATGTACAGTACATGTACATAGCTTTCTTCCAAAGCCTTTCTTTCTCTTTGAAAATGAGACAGGAAAAACCCAAAAGGAACAGGCACACATTTAAAAGAAAGAAAAGAAGAAAGCAAAAAGAAAGAAGAAAGAAAAAAAAAAAAAAAAAAAAAAAAAAAAAAAAAAAAAAAAAAAAAAAAAAAACCCAAAGGGGTATACGAGTGAAATAGAAGAAACCCCTTGTTTCGGGACTCGGCTTTTTTCTCTTTGTACTGTACCCCAAACTCTCCAGCCAGAGAAGTGGAAAATATTCTGCGCTGCAGGCAAGAAAAACCTCCTCAGTTTACTTCGTCCTTCGTCGGTTGACTAAACAAGGTCCCCATTATGTACCTATCGGTAGTGTGTGGTCGCATTACGACACGAAACCGCCATATGTATAAAACTATTCTTATAGAAATCGTGAAGGGAGGAGGGGTCCGAATAATAGGACTGAGTCCACTTGGCGGCGCTCATCTTTGAGGGAGAGGAGTGTCTGGTAAACAGCGTAAATAAAGAGTGAGCTACACGGAATGAAATATATATATATATATATATATGTTTACTTACAGAAGAGGAAATCATCATCTCTATCACCGCATATCCCAGCACCACCTTGTTTTTCATATGGATGGCTTTCGCGTCTAGCGCAGCGGTATCCTGCATCCCGGAGGCAGCAGCAGCCGGCACCCAAATATCAGTCGCAGAAGCGTAGATTCGTATTGATATGATGGAGAAAACTAGGCATCTGGTTACGGCAAGAAGGATGCACATATGCGTAAAGATGGAGTTGTAGATTCTGAGCATCTTTTTGGCGGTGGATAATGCTGGGGAAGAGGGGGAGGAGGGAGAGGTGCGGGAGGTGCGGGAAGTGCGGGAGCGGCCGGAGCTATTTGCTAATCGGGAATCGAAAAGGCGCCTCGTTATAGAGATTAGTTGGTTGATTAAAGGTAGCCGTATGGTTAATATTAGGTCGAAAAGAGCGAAGACAAGCAGGATAACGCCGCAGTAGGCAAACGGAGAGCGAGGACGGGCAAACGTCGGTGTCGCATCCTGGAATCATCGAGTCATTGGGATAGCTGTTAGCGGGGTCTGTTGGGCTGGGGTCATGAAAACGATGGTTGTAATTTTGTTCTTGTCATATGTGGTCGAGAGAAGGAGATGTTGATTAGCCAACAACAGGAATACTCACGATCCGAATAACATCATTAACATTGTATACGAGGTCGCAGTCCGAGATGACTTCCTTGTAGCGAGTGAGGTAGATAGCGAGGGCGAACTGGAAGAGAGCGTGCAGCTTGATGTAGCCTTTTGACGATAGCCGGCCCATGGTGAAGCACTAACCTGTAGCTCTCCCGAAGAAAGCTACAATTTCCCGCGGTGTGCTTCGAGTGTTGGAAACAAGTCCAGGGACCATGCCTGTTGACTGGAGCTGTGTGGTGGATGAGATATCCGGTGTTGATCAATCAAAATATATAACTTTTAGAGTTTATTAACCACCAGGGCACGATGTTTGCTGACTAAGAGGGTCAGGCACCAGATCCAAAACTCCGCCCCGCGACAATGGAAGGACTGAACAAGCGCTTATACAACCACCTCTCGACATGCCTTTGTCTTTGTCGTTGCGAGTTATGGCTTAGATACGCTTTGTCACAGCTTGAATAACAATTGCTCAATGAATTGTCGCTAGACCTGACATTTTACCCCTTACTGCTAACAAAGCGTTTTAGAATCAAGAGGGCAGAGGGTCGACTGTCTCTCCCCGTCTGCCGTTATCAAATGGCAGAAGTCGCCGCTCTCCGAAAAGATCGCCAGATCAAATACTTCCTTCGATGTCTGAAAACGTTTCTTCCGCATCAGTATACTTCCAATGACTCAAGTCGAATGACCCTGGCCTTTTTCAGCCTCGCTGGCCTTGATCTGCTTGACGCGCTGGACGACAACCTCTCCCTGGCAGAACGCAAGGGCTACATTTACTGGATATACCATTGCCAGGTACCCTCTGGTGGCTTTCGGGGATTCCCAGGGACGATCTTCGGGGATTCTAAGAGGACTGATGAAAATGAATGTTGGGATCCCGCGAATGTTCCCGCCACGTTCTTTGCGCTCATGGCTTTGATTGTGCTTGGTGACGACTTGACCCGTGTTAAACGGAGAGAATGTTTACTGTGGCTACGCAACATACAACGGGAGGATGGGAGTTTTGGGGAGATTTTGGGGCCCGGAGGACAGATTGAGGGAAGCAATGACTTACGGTTTTGTTGCTGTGCGGCTGGTGTACGATATATATTACGGGGGAAAGACGCGGATTATCTTAAGGATATTGAAGACATCAATACTAACCGTCTCATCTCTCATATTGAAGATTGTCAGGTGATTTTGGTCTCCCCCCTTTCACTCTATACAAAACGAGCGTGCCGGGCTGACTAGAAATCAACAAATGAAAGTCATATGATGGAGGGTTTTCAGTGTCACCAATGACCGAATCGCATGGTACGCAACATACCGCACTGCTCTGTTTGTATGATAACCAACCCCCAAACTTACATTTGTCATAGCTGGTCTGACGTACTGTGCCCTCGCCTCGCTTTCATTCCTTGGTTGCACACCGCCTGCCGTCAGCCATAGTATACCGTTCCTCTCCCTTAAAACGGCAAAATTCGAAGACTTGATCCGTTGGCTAGCATGGCGGCAGACGGCAGACCTTGAAGAGGTTGACGAAGGCGAAAGTGGCCCTGAGAAGCACATAACTCCTGGGGTGGATAGATCAATAGATGAACAAATATCTGCACTCCCAGATATACTATCTCCCCCTCAGCGGCCAAGTGAGCATCTCCATTTGGCTGGATTCAATGGTAGATCGAACAAAATAGCCGACACATGTTACTCATTCTGGGTAACTGGAACACTGGGTGTAAATAAATATCCCTCCCTGCGCTATAATTATAACCGATTTTTGTTTTGTGTGTCTCGCCGGCTGATGGTTGTGTTAGATTCTGGACAGTCTTAATGTTATCAACGCAGAAGCGGGTCGTCGCTATCTCCTTGAGAAAACGCAGCATATCATAGGGGGATTCGGAAAGTGTGTCGGCGATCCGCCAGGTGTGTGATACTTAGCCATCATTACCCTAGATTTGCCTCTTTTTAATTCTGTCTTGCATGTTGGAAGGGGAATTGACCCTCCGTATAGATCTCCTCCATTCCTACCTTGCATTAGCAAGCCTTGGTCTTCTTGGCGAAGCCGGGATTGCCAGCGTCGATCCAACATTCTGCACTAGCAAACGAGCACGCCAGCACCTGGAGTCTCTCACTTGGTGGACTGGCGTGGAATCCAAAAAATAGGCGGGCGGGGAAATAATTTTTTTTCTGTTCCCTGTTAAAAACACAGATTGGGCCCCCACGAAACGGGAACATCGAATAGGACTTGTAGCCATTTAAACACTGCACGGGTAAGAAGCTTTGAGAGAGGGTGGGATTTGCGAGACCCAAGTTCTTCAACGGGTGTGAAAAGATTCCGAATGAATGGGTACTATCGGGACGGCGATAACTAAGGCGTTCGATATTTCCATTAGTGAAATAAATTCCATAGATTAATGACGATACGAATATATGCATTAGGTATAACTACTTGCTAGCTTGGGCGACCATAGAATTGTTAGTTTGAGGTCCTAGCAGAGCGCCAGTTAGTTATGGCTCTCCGGTCGCGAGAGAACAGGTACCTTGTTACTATATTACATCAGGTTTGTAAGAATGAGGAAAATGTCATTTTTGGCAAACTCTTAGAGAATTCACCGTTTCCAACGGGCGGTTTGGTTTCGAAGTTGGGTTTTAGAATTCAATACAGTCCGGTGCAACTTCACAAGATTTTTGTATTCTATACTATGGCTTGCTCCATCTAGATTTTGATCGATGTATATATATTCGTTCTGTAGATTCGGTTCATCATATGAATTGAATTGAGTACAGAGGCTCGACGAAACAGATGGATGTGTTTGCTTGGATATTTAGCCTGAGTATATATATATGCTTGTCATATCGTACCGTACTAAGCGGGAATTTTCCAGAACTATGCTGCCGTCATAAATTCTCGGTCACGAACAGAGCAACTTCTGCTTCTGATAAAATTCCCTAAAATCAATGAAATAGAAATAGCAAAATTGGGGTTATTGTAGTTTTCTTTTTAAATAAATACAGAAAATCCTACATTCCCTTATCCTTACGTGGTTGCGTTCCAAATAATGGTTCTACAAGAACAGCCCTGTCCTTCCTTGCTGCGTTGACACACGGGCCAAGGAACGTAGTGTGTGGGCTTCAATCTGGATTTCGCATCTGACTCCCTGCCGAGGTATGGAGGTTATAAACCGTTCGCTTGACGCTGTAGTATTTTATGTCATCTTTCAGCTAAAAATGTGCAACCAGGCTCTACTTTTTAAACCCCTCGCTCGCTGTTTCATCCCCTACCTAGCATACATTCTATATTAAGGATACTCGTCAACGATGAAGGAAAGACTGGTAGAAGCTCGTGCGTCTGGCCTTCTGATCTGTTGTGTCTTGTTCGGCTGATTAAAAGTTGATGCAGATCTGATTTCGCTCTCGGGTAGAGGCGGCTCTCCTGCCAGAGCATGGAGCGGTTCATTGTTGTCATGAATACCTGTTACATATTCACGGAATATTTGGTTTGATCTGAAGACAATTTCAACATGTTTGTCACTCAGCTCCACTGTTTCTTCGTTGGATCGTTCTGCGTCCTCTTGCGCGATGGTTACGGAAGTATCAACAATATTTTTGATCTGCCGGCCATTGCATCGTAATCGCCTATGCATAGATTCCGCAAGGGCAAGGATGGCACTCTCGTCAACTATAAGGTGCGGATTGCGACGCAGAGGCTTGAGATATAGCTTCCAAAGCTCCATTGTGGTGGCAATGTTTAATTGGGGATAATGAAGTGAAAGATGAAGACGGGATGTGATGGCCTCGTCGAATTGGCCGACTCGGTTAGTCTTAAAAATAAGGATTCCCGAGAAATACTCGAGTGCATCGAGGAAGACTGGGCTCGTCAGCTACAGCTGCAAAAGTAATTACGGAAAAACACACCTGAAGTCATAGTGTTCCCTTCATGGTCTGCGAAGGTACGTGATTTTAGGAGAGCATCTGCCTCGCGTACCAATATGATACAATCCCATCGCTCTGCTAGATGAAAAGATTGAGTCAAATACTGTTCCATCTCTCGTGATGTACCCCGAAGGGCTGCAACTCTGATCAAGAAAAGTGGTTTATCGAGACTAGCAGCAAGTGCTTCTGCCGTGGCTGTCTTTCCTGTTCCTGGAGTTCCATGTAGCAAAATAACGACACCACGGCGCCTGCCAACGACGATGTCTTGATGATCGGGTAAATTATCTTGAATTCCACGGGTTCCAGGAGACTGGCCCCTGACTAACGAGGTAAGCATTTCCTTGTGGCCAGCAGGAAGGATGATTTCGTTTAGGCCGACGGACGGTGCTTCAGTTGACATGAGGAGATAGACATAAAGTGGGTACCACTTATTACTTTGCAAAGAATATCCACATATTCGGTTCGGTAGTAGAAGGATCTGTTCGTCCTCTAGCTCATGTTGACGGAGTGCCCTTAAGCTTCTAGAAGAGCGAATAAACTGATCTCGGGAATTTAGGTCGCCCACCCCATCATCAAAGACGTCGGTGCACGCTCTGCAGTTAGGTATCGAACAGTCTATGGTCTCGAAAGATTCTCTTCTGTTGGCCTTGGTGGCTTTTGCAATCACGCTTCCCCCGAACGACGGATTCCAGGTACAGCCGGACTGCTTACAGTGTTCAAGGGCGGCGACGTGGTCGATGATAACTTCACTGCTTCGCTACATGACACGATTTAATTAATCGAGATACAGTTGGGTTGGCTCAAATGAAGTGTTGCTTACCTGCTCTTGGCCTACGTAGTTTCCAGCGCAAACCCCACAAGTGTCTCTGTGACCAGGGTCCCACTCTTGTAATATGGCTCCATTGTAAAGGAGCCTTTTTCTTGTGGTACAATGCACAAACTTCCGACCTCGCTCTCTTAGACGATCCAGAATGTGTTCATTGACCTGAGTCTGGTTGGGAGGATAGATAGGCAAAGATGAAATACGGCGTTCGCCAACAAACTCGGAGATAACGAACCGTTGCGGTCTCGGCCCATACTTTTATCCGTTGAAGTCTATATAAAAACAGTCAACAAAAAAGTCGCTACATTGGCGTGATGAGATGACAGCGTATCCTTCTTGATTATCGTAATCCATGTTGTCGAGGCTATCCGGGCCTTCGCTCTTGGAATGGTTATCGGGATCGATGATTCGGCGTCCGCCAGTCACGTGAAGCACTTGGTAGGCCCTCAGTTTGGAAGTAGTATTTGGGGAGATGACAATTACACCTGGCTGAAACAACAGCCAGAGGTGCTCGAAATGAATTTTCTGCAATTCGTTCTCTCTAATCTGACGCCGTATATGCAATAGTTCCTGCATATCATTGTCAACAAAGTTCATCAAGCATTCTAGTTCTTCAAATGCTCTTCTAGCCTGCTCTGCCGTAGAGTGCTTCGAAGGTGAATTCTCTGGAGCTGGCTTCGGCTGATCGGGGACACATCCAGCAGTCTCTTCCGGCGTGTGAGCGTCATCAGGCTTACGTAGGGTGCCAAGTTTGTCGCGCATGACTGTTAGGTAATTCCGGAGGGAATCATAAGAGAGAATAAGGGGTTTGAAGGGATAAACCAGCACATTGTGTTTTGGTGTGAGGTTACAACGTGTTATTCTCTTCAGGACACTAAGAAGGGTATGCGAGTTGATTGCTATTCGGAGCAGCCCCTCACGCGCAACGGGTTCCACGCTCCCGCTAAGAGTGTTTGTTCTCGACAGCGGTTGGATATAGTCTCGCATCTCTACCCCATCAGCTGATGAGCTCGTTGCAACGACAAGTATTTTCAGCCACGGGATTATCCCGGTGCGGGTTTTCATTTTACGCCATTCCGATATTGGCACCCGGGTAACACCGATTTCCTGTATAACGGTATGATCCTCATCTTCGATAAGTGTGCTCATAGAAGGAGTGTAATACTGAGCGGAAGCCATTGAAACGCTATCATCGAATCTCACTGATTGATTGGCAACGGACTGTTCCTTTACCATCTGGAGCCTGCGACTAGCAACCTGGGAGAGGACGTCATCATCACCATCACAGGCACTGGCTGCTGCAATTACTGCTAGGCTGGGCTCGTCGTCAATCATTTCTATTTCGTACTCAACGATTAGGTGTTGAGACTCGGTGACCCCGATATCTTCAGTGAACTTTGTCAGGTCTCCAAGTAGATCCTTTATGTTCTGCACGAGCCGGTCGAATTTATCCCGATCGCTCACAGCCCATCGAATAGAGCCAATGATATGGACCCTTCGCTGCAGGCTTGTATTGCAGAAAGCTTTCGTATTCTGGAAAGCTCGGGAGAAAGCACTATACGATGCGGCCTCGGTAAATTTCGACCCTAGCGGTGGTCGTTGGACTTTGAGCCCGTAAATCTCTTTCAAGTGGTCACCGTTCGTAAGTAGAGACTTGATCTTTTCCATTGTCTGCTCTATTCGCTCGTTACGAAGAGAAGAGGTTGGATCGTCGAACCTGTGGTTGCAACGGCTGTTAGACTACTCCAGAGAGAAATACCTCCTCTATGATTGTGGTGGTTTCATACTTGGAGTTTGTACGATATGGATGCATGAAACCACACGCCTTGCCCCAGGCCATAAAGTGGAATTGTTGGTTGTCAAGCATTGTCTGCAATACCTCATAATCTGAAGCGCGTGAATCATAAACTTGGACTAGTTTAAAACAGTCAACGCAGGTCGAAAAAAGCCCTGCTAAACCAGCAAAGCCGACTGCCAAAGATAATGGCTCCATTATAATGCTGTAAGGTGTTGACAAATGTCTGGAATATATCTCTGTGGAGAAAGATGGAAAACCCGAACTGTATCATGAATGACACCGTTGAAGGCGGAGCGGTTGGGCCGCATTTCGAGGCGGGGTAGACGGAAGCGCAAGGCTGATGGCCAAATTGGTGAGGCTAATTTTCAACACTGAGGAGGGTTGAGGTAGCGAAGATGCATATGCATGCCGCTAGGAGCATATCGGATCATGGGAGAGCTAAGAAATATGGATAATTGGTAGACGGTAACTCGCGTTGACGTGGATATTTTCTATAATAAGTAAGTGGCATGCCATATTGCTTCCCCAGGTACAAAGACCGAAAGGGGTTTTTTCTGACAAGCTGTTCTTTCAGGTCTTGGACTGCACGCTCCCATCGGAAAAAGAAGAAAAATAACGGATTTGTGACAAATGGATAGCAGCAGAAAAGAGAAGCAATCCAAGGCGGCCATTAGAGTACGTGAACGTTGATATCGGAAAGCGGGACTACGTGGGAAGCTCATGAAGGACTTTCAGCGCTGGCTTCTCATTTTGTACCCATCCTTGGCGCCCACGTGGGAAGACCATCCAAGAAAGTGTCTTGGCTCGTGGCATCTCAAATCTTCCCAGTTGACAAGTTTTAGTTATATCAGTCCACATGGGGAGTTCAGAAGAAACCACCATGTGGGCTGCCCTCTTCAGAAGAAAGGTTATGCCAGGGTCGGATTCACTATTTGTTCAGTATTAACACTGCTCTTCGTCTTCCATCTATTCTTCTCCTATTCCATTTCCTGATTTTATGCTATACTGAGCACCGCACTAAATTGTACTTAAGCACGTCGTGATGGGATTGAACTGAACGCCAAGCACCCTGTGAGCGCGATAGGAGTGAAAGAAGATATTATTTCGGCCTCCGTGGTAAAACGGATGACTGTTGTAGTGTAATGTGCTTGGTCTGTCTTCACCTAGCCTTAGGCGACTAGGGATACCGTTGATATGGGGGTCAAAGAGGCATTCGGTTCCAAGCCTTGTAGGAAGCGAGGTTGCACTGACATTTTTCCGTTCACGACCAAGGGCTATTTTCAGTGGCCTGGTCTAATGCCAAGGTAGAATGATGTTGTAATTGATGTTATCAGCGATGAGGAAGGAGGTTGTACTTGATTGGCGGGTGGAGTCAAGTTCTGCTATTTGTCTGTTTCAGGTTGGATCGGTTTACCCAGCCTTCCGCTCTTCCAACTGTAACTGGGCCACTGGATTTCCACTGTCGAGGGAGCTGACAAAATCAGTGCACAGGTCGGTTCGATTGCTGCGAGGCGTGGGTTGCTGATGTCCTTTTGAATTGGCGATCTATTGCGTTTCCACCGCCTGTGAAACAAGAACAATAAGGGGTATCATTTGCGGGCAGCAGTCCTTGACTTCGTGTGGCTGTCTTGCCTTTTAGTCCAACGAGTGGGGACGTTATTGTCGGAGGACAATATGAACTTGAACGCTCAGTATACTTTTCCTACGACACTTTGTGGATGAGCCGGACGAAGTTTGACCATTCGTAATCTAGGGTCGGAATATCAAAAAATAGATAAGAATATCTTACGCGCTGCCTTCTCAGCAACATATTCGGAGTGTGTGACAAAGATGTTCTTATCCCGTCGCCATATGTGGGTTCCGGGCTTTTCATTTCCGTCTGATGTTTTCGTTTAGGATCAAATCTGGACGATAATAAGATAGTGGTGGTAAGCAACTAACAAGGACGTCCATTTGCATCCGCATGAGTATATAGCTTGTATCACTGGGAGGAAGGATATTTTTCGACACGGGTTCCCAAAAGACGGGTAACTAGCTTCGCATTTGTAAATGTCTTTCGGCATAACCACCCCATCCTCTCTTAAATTCCGAGATCACAGACTAGCGTGGATATGAGTTCCTGGACAAGGGCTAAAATAAATAACCCTGGAACCAGGTTTGTTGGTGCCTTGGCGAACTGGATCCGCAATCTTGAGAGTGAATAGCTGGGGATATTTTTCAGACATAATTATTCTTCCGCCCATTCTTCCAAGAGAGTCCTCGATACAAGGCATCCCTCAAAGGTGTAATTTATTGTCGCTGGAACTTGGGGAGACAGATCTTCAAAGAAGGATCCATAGAAGCCCATTAGACACTGCGTAAATGGAAGAATGGTAATTATGATTTCCGTTCGCGGTTTCCTGCTCCTCGTATTTCAGTAGTATTTGAAGCAGCCCTTTTAAGTGTGTTTCCCGCTGCTGTTCTCAAGGGTTCCGCAGCGCTCTTGTTCCATCTCCCGGAATTCAAATCTGCCCAGGGCATAGCCCGTTTCTTGACCACGTTTTTCAACATTGGTCAAAACAAAACCGGTTCTTAGTTTCTTGCCACAATTCATTCAGTCAATAGTAACTAATAATGGGTGAGTAATGGGTAACTGACAAGTATGCAAAGACACGCGCCGTATGGCAATATACAGCATAGGGCCGTGATAGACTGCCGCGTAGATATCAAACCACGTCTCAAGCGGCGTCCTCGATGGCTAAGGGTCAGTGGTAACCATTTCCAGCCGTAGACAGCAACTGGAACGGCTAATTAACAGGTGTACTTGTCCGTACGGCATCGTCGTTGCTTCTCGTTGTAGCCTGAAGCTTCTGGCGTTGTGGTTCGTTGTTGGTCGTTGTGGTCGTTGTCCTTAACTTAAATAATTGCCCAAAAGAGGCTTCAAGGGATGATCGTCGCTCTTCCGCCAACTTTATCCGCCCGCGACGAACCTAACCTCGTTAAATCATTCCAGTATCGGTCGGGCTTAAAAAGCAGCCACCACAGACCTTCCAAGTTATCTCAGACTTCTCTTGACTCCACAACAGTCGATGTCCTCCATCTTACCAAATCTCCTGAAGTCCTGACATCGAACCCATTCCGTTATATGGCTGACCTGCGGTGTTTTGACTATTCGCAAGCAATGAGAAGATCAACGCGAGGGGCAGCATCACATTAATCAGCGACTCCAATCCTCACACATGCCGCCCCCCAAGTCGAAGCTCGAGTCCCAGCTTCAAAAGGATAAGGTGTGTTTGCGCATGGATTGATTATTACATGTTCTGTTAGTCGCTCTGGCGGAAATGGTGGTTTGGCTAACTTTTTCTTCTCTCGATGCCGCATAGCTCGTCAACTCCTACCGAGAGTTATTGCAGTAATTCACCCCCTTCGTCCACATGAATCTTGCTTCCTGCATTATACCGCTGCCATTCCTATCTATGAATTTATATTGATTTCCTACTCTTCGCTACACAGAGAATTCTCGTCGAAGGATTTGCGAAATGTCGGTAACTACAACCTCGGGAAGTTGATCGGGAAAGGCTCCTTTGGCAAAGTTTATCTTGCGACGCATAAGCTTACGAATGGCTCCAAGGTACTGCGGATATAATATCTTCTCTCCCTTCTGCCTGGTTGTAGTGGCGCATCGAAAACTGACATGGCCGCGGTGGGTATTTACAGGTTGTTCTCAAGTCATCGAGTCGGGAAGATGCGAACCTCGCGCGCGAGATCCACCACCATCGCCAATTTCTCCATCCGCATATAGCTCGATTGTACGAAGTGATCGTGACGGAAAATCTTGTTTGGTTGGCTTTGGAATATTGTCCGGGTGATGAACTGTATAACTATCTTAGCTGCAATGGACCGATGCCGCTCGAGAAGGTCCAGCGGATATTCACACAGCTTGTCGGGGCTGTTTGCTACGTCCACAGTAAATCGTGTGTACACCGTGATTTGAAGCTGGAGAACATTCTGCTCGACAAGCATGAAAATGTCAAATTATGCGATTTCGGTTTCACGAGGGAATATGAAGGAAAGGCGAGCTACCTGCAAACATTCTGCGGGACGGTGTGCTACAGCGCGCCGGAAATGCTGAAGGGTGAGAAGTACGCCGGGGAAAAGGTGGATGTTTGGAGTTTGGGGATAATTCTCTATGCTCTTATTGCGGGAGAGTTGCCTTTCGACGATGACGACGACCAGATCACTAAAAAAAGGATTTTGACGGAGGAGCCTAAGTATAATGAGCGGTTTCCGGAGGATGCAAAGTCACTAATAAGTCTGTTACTATCGAAGCGTCCGCTTCTCCGGCCTACCTTGTCCGATGTCCTGAATCATTCGTTTCTGGCTGAGCATTCCCCGCAGCAACAAGCGATCTTGAAATTAGCTCGACCAGCCCCGTTCTCGACCCCGCTGGAAAGAACAACCCTAGAGCGGATGAGAAGTGCAGGAGTAAATATTGATCAGGTAATTGAAAGCGTACTTGCGCAGCGATGTGATGCGCTCGCTGGCTGGTGGGCGCTCCTAATAGAGAAGGAGGAAAGGAAGGAAAAGAGAAGAGAGCGCAAAAGGCGCGAGAGGGAGGCTGAAGCGAAAAATTTACGTCGATTGAGTGCCGCCAGTACCCGACTCGAACGAATATCAGCTGCACTTGTCGAGGTTGATGAGGAAGGGCATTCTACCAAATCGCCGAGAAGTAGGGGTAGGAGAGATAGGAGAAGCATACCAACCCGTGAGTGTAGCACACCTCCCCCATGAATATCTAGCGGTGATGAACTCTAACATGATGCAGCTCAAATCATTGTTCCCGACCTTCCTAAGCTACCAGAAACCGCCATTGTCTCGTCCCCAGTCTCGGTCCTTCCGTCGCCTCCCATCGAGAAAGATCCCTCTGTCCGATCAGGTAGCTCATCACGTCACCGTCCAGTGCCCCCCCCGAAAGAAAATCGCAGATCACGTACCAGTACACTGCACCTCAGTGCGTCTCAGCCTGATTTATCGCATCCGCAGAGCATCTTGAGACGACATGGCACACGTCGCCGACATCACCCTATAATCAGCCAGCTCGCATCTATTAAACATTGGCTAATTGAATCCACAAAACGAGCCAAGTCGCCTCATTCGAAGTCATTCTCTCATGCACCTTCGCTCAAGTTTCTCACAGACAAATCAAGTCCTCCTAAAAATAAGGAACCTGCCTCCAGACCAGCCCAAACAACACCTACCACCACGGCGTTTAACCGAACACAACAAACTCCAATCCAAATGAAACGTTCATCTACCGCAAGCAGCCTTACTCCAAGCAATGCCTCCTATCCAGGGGCTGCCCGTTCTGGCTCCCTGTCCCACCAGCCCCGACCACTTAGCACCGCGAGTATTACTCATAAACGTAATTCCTTATCCCCTTCGCCCCTTACCCCTCGCAACTCATATCGTCGTTCATCTGTGGGCCTACGTGGGCGAAAATCTACTTCTTCGTCTGTCTCCTCCATTCGGAGTATTCATCATGCACATTCGCACTCCAAGACCTCATCCATATCCTCGAATAGTACCAACACGGTATCAACACCCATTGCCTCTGCCAGGCAGACGATTACCCGATCCCCGCACCCATCAGTGAAAGTTCTACCCGCAACTCCAAGCTCAAGCACCCCCTTCCCAAGTAATATCAGGCTTATTCGAGGTGGTGGACCTTCAACGGTTGCTGGGTCCGGTCATCATAAAGGGGCAGCTTATAACGCCTACAACGAAGCTGCTCCAGGTTCCATCCTTTCATCACCAGCATCAGGCCTTGTTTTTGCTCGCCGAAAACGATCAGCTTTTAAGGGTCCATCCCTTGCCACATCTGCCTTCCCCGCTGCAAGCGGCCCTGGCACTCCGGGGTTACCTAAATCAAGGGAAAATGTAATCGGTACGAGCGCTGGGGCTCAAACCGTCGGCTCCGGCGCAAGGAAAAGCCAAATTATCGAAGAAGAAGAGGATGAAATTCCGTTCGATTGTGATGATGAGGACATCGAAGAAGTGGATACATTCGACACTGCTGACGAGGCTAGCGGGGCATTCATGGACTGCAGAAGCTCCACTGATGATGCCCCTACTATTAACACTGATCCAGGACCAATTTCGCCGTCTGATCTAGACCCAAGGGGATCCCTCGAATTCGGACAAGTACAAAACATCAGTGTACAGCCAACCAAAGAGCCACAGCTTCTCCCCGCAGCAGATATCCACGAACCGAAGTACCCTCCATTCCACCCGACAGAACAGCCAGCTGGCGCCGAGACTACGCATCCTCCTCGTTCATCATCTCTAGCTGAGAAGCCCGGCTCCTCTGGCCATGGCGACGACGCGTTGCAAGCTGCAACTCTCAACGAGGCTGTCTCCACTGCGGACAGGCCGCCTACGAAGGATTCTACTATTATTACCGAATCCAAAACTACGGTTGGGGAGGAATGACTCGCGTCGTGCCTGGCATACCTGCGATTTTCGAGATACCGCAAGTCGCGGCTGCCCGGCCTAAACAGAACCAAGCGACGCCAGAGGTGATACGAGATGGACGGACGCCCTATCCCAAGAGAGAGCTTCCGACTTAGCTATTCCCTCTATATTGATGTGTTGGATTACCCGTAACGGTAACTTACATATCATTTTCGTTGTTTCATGCAGTTTTGCCTTTTGGGCGTTTCTCATGCTCCTCTCATACCCTTACACTCCGCTCATCGTTCCATATATCTACCCCTTTCCAAGACACATTTCTACATCCATTTTCCTTACATGTTTGGTAAAATTAATATTCCCCGGTGTTGTTTTTATTTCCATTTGAGGCTATATTTCGTTATTTTACCCCCATCCTTTTTGCCTCTTCATTGGTAGACTGTATCCTTATTCGCTATATAAACTAACCCCTTCTTTGACCTTGGTCTTTTGATGCACATGCTACATCCGGCTCTATTTCATTTTCTTCGTCATTCATAATTTATTTGAGATTTTCCTTTGGAATGTTTAGTGGTTGGATTTCCCATTCTTGTTTTATATACCTCTATCCTGCCCCGTTCTCGGTTTTATATACCCTTTTCAAATTTTGACTATTATACATTCACCGATTCCCTACACCATTTCATTCCATTGTCTTACCACCTATTTTTATTAGATCACTGATTCCACCTACTTTGCCATCAGTTTAAATTTCTGACTACCTGCAAAGAACTCCGCTATTCTTTCTGCATTTTGGCCACCTTCTTGACTTTTGGGTTGCTCTATATCTAAAACTCAAGCTTGAAAGAAGCTACGTTTGGCCAGTGAGTGAAATGTTTATTGTACCATATTAACCCTTTTTCGTGCTTTATCTAATGAAATGGAACAGGGGAGTGGAGAACAATATCTACCTGTACAATATCTACATGTAATAGAATCGGTCTCTCCCGCTCTCTGTTTATTTGGAACAGTACTTGGTTTCGCAAATCCCCGCAAAATCCGTGAGTGTAATCAGGGTTATAATTGTTACACAAGCCTTTTCTCTCTACTATACCTCTCTTAACGCCGCTCTAAAGTTATTCGATTCAGAGCCAAGTTGAGAGGGGCGATCAGTTATATCATGGGACTCGCAAATCCAAGCTACATGTCTCTTTTTGACCAAACTGATTGCCATATATAAATTCAGTTAGATAGAACAGCAAGGCCCTAAATTCCAGATAACCCCCACTCCGGAAAACACTTTGCGCACTCTCGAGTTTCATTAGTAGATTGGCATACATTGTGTTGTCTCATCATTGAACAGCCAGTTCATGGGCTCTTCCAAATTGAACCGTCCATTTGGCATCTGATATTTTGTTATCGACGGTTTTGGCTCATGAAGCTAGCGGCCAACTTACTATAATATCCCAGTCTTCCGTGCCCTCGGGTATATCCAACCCCATTTGGTTAGGCACGTCTACTGTTGGGCCTCTCCGACCCTCGGCCGCCTTTTCCTCCAGGACCCGCAAGCACTTTTCCTGAGCAGCTTCAACTGCCGTGATTAATGACTCTGGAAACTCGTCCTTCTCTGTTCCTTTCATGAGCCCGTCAACCCGCTCAGCTACCAAACAGGTAAAGAGATATCCCTTGATATTGGTCTCCCCAGCCTCAATACACCGGAAGGACCAAGTTATAGCATCGTTGACTATGGCAAGCAGGTCGGGCCTTAATGGTGCTGGACTTAGACCAGTCTCCTCGTGCAGCTGGAACATGAGCTCGGCTGCTGCCGTAAGGCTAGCCAGCAAAGCGCTCCCGCGAAAGAAGTGGGACCCACTAATCGCGAGTCGCACTAGACCGTTTTCTACTGTTGGCGAGGCCTCATCACCGTAAGGAGCAAGCCGCACCAGGTGCCAAATTTTCAGCGAGGCAGATAACGCATCGGTCGTCTCGCGTAGAGCCGGCACGAAGAAAGGGATATGAAGTGCTGAGAAATTGCGATGCATGATGAAATCTACTACTTGGACTTGGAATCGAGAGGGGAGGACCCCGTGGCTGATTTAAGGCCGTGGAGAGCACGACACAACTCCTTATGTGATATCCTCAATTTTGCATCGAGTTGAAGAGTTTCCTCATATGTACTACGGGATTATAGATTATTCAAAAATTCTGCGACCACCAGGCGAATTGGAAATGTTTTACGAAGGGCGATCGCAACAGACATTTGGGTAAAAGTATCATCTGATGCCGGCAGAGGGTCTCCAACCATCAGTTGATCGTCGTTCAAGTTGCGAGGCGGTTCAACATCAAAGCTGCCAAGTGAAATGAGAGGAGGCGCCCTAGAGTCTATGCTCGATTGCAGAGCTATCTCCAAAATGGTGTTCCACAGTATCCTGCGCATCTCAATAGCGAACACCGTGCTTTCTGGGAGAAATGTGGGATCCCGATGCAATCCAAGAAGCATTGCGCCCCGAATGAGAGATCCTGCCGAAATCCAGACCAGACTGCCACCAAGGCTTGCCGTTTGTCGAGCGATGAGAAGCAGAATATTAGTCTGCAAAACCTGTTTGTTTAGTCTTGCTTTAAACCCCGGTTCTGCAAGCCAGGATTGGACCTCACAGATCCATCGAAAGGCTGAAGCCCGCATTGAGAATTTTTCGTCATATGTGGTAGCCCCGATGGCGAGTACGAGCTTAAGTTGGACCAGGAACGCTGTGTCCGGAGGTGCGACATTTAGCCATACCTCCTCATAATCTCTTTGGATGTAGAAATGTGGAGAATATGATATATGGTTTCGATCGTTCGCAGGTAGCAATCCGCAAGTTTGTCAGCGACATCTTTCTGGGGCAGACCCCACTTTGGTGGTGCGGGCCAAGGAGGTGTCCACTGCGATTTGATGACCCTTGGTAGGAGTTTGCACCTTTGCATGTTGGAAGTGAGCTTGGATCCATTCTGTATGTATGTGTGGCTCGATGCTCTCGAAAAGCTCGCGAAGGATCTATTTCTTCGTTAAGAGAATGTGTTTTCGTTGTTTCTCCGCCCGTATGCGTTGGATAGAGACAACTGACCTGTACAGCACCATTACTCCAATGGTTCTGCTTAAATAGGCGAGTTTTATGTACGAGGCTACGGTTGATTGCTGGTGTTTCATTAGATGGGCGGCTTTCATGGTGAACTGAGAAAGTTCCTACCAGGGATGACGATGTTGTTTCTATTTTTAATGTTGACGTTGAGGTAGAACCTGGGGACGCAGCAGCCTTAGCGGTTACCTGGGATGAACGTTCTTCAAGCTGTCTAACTCTGTTCTTCAGGTAATCTACTGCATAAGATAATCGACTAGGTGTAGTGGACGGGGCTGTTGAGCTGTTCACGATTGACGATACTGGCCGACCTAGGCTCATCAAACTACTGCCAAAAGCTGAGGATTCTATAGCAGGCGCCGAATGGCTTGGTTGCTGTGACTTCACAGCCGGCGCAAGATTGGGCTGTAGGGTTTCTGCTAGGTCATTTCCATAGATGCAGGCACTGTTCTTGGATCGCACACAGTTACTACACGGAGTTTGCCGATTACATCGAATTTTGCGTTTTCTGCAAAGAATGCAAGAACTATGTCATCTTTGTTACTTTAAGCGCCATAAAACACCAGTTCCTATTAGCCGTTGTCGCTTGCGTTCTGTGTCACAGATCACTCCCACTTTTATTGAATATTGACCAGGAAAGGCGCTCAAGGAGAATTCCCCGACATCACATTCCCGATATGCACCCAAGTATCCGAAGTTCATGAGGAAGAACGAGGGAGAGTTATCAGATCCGAGCGGCTCTTCGCCGCAGTCGGAATTTGCGCTTTTGGTCCGTATTTCTCGCCATTTGCGGGTCATGCATAAGCTTATTGGATGACATGCCCACGGTGCACCATGAGGAGATCAAGGTAGTCTGTTCCAATTCTCTTTAGAGATGCCTCGACAGAATTGAAGATCGCCCGCCGCGAGAGACCTTTGGGCCAATTAACTTGTAAATGTGGAGGGTTAGCCACGGAGAGGAGCTATCTACGAACTAAATTGATTAACATAGTCTTTACTCTTGGGGAGGCCTCCCCAGTAGGGAGGGATAAACACATCGTCGTGTTCGCTCACAGGGGCCCAGCATTTGCTCATGATAACCAGCTTGTGCCTCGGAATGTCATATTTTCGAATAGCTTTTCCGATCATTTCCTCTGCTCTTCCATTCGAGTACAACCCAGCAGTATCCCACTATCCCCAATAATCAGTATTATGTATTAGAGCTGTGCAGCGTTTCCCTTATAGCGCTGGACCTACTTAGTTAATGCCTGTCATACGTCGCCTTCAACAGCGGGAGTGCTTATCCAGTGGTCAGCATACCCCCAACGGAAATAAGGGCATTCTTATATATACAAACGCACCTGCTCGTCATCTTTCACCCCCTCGCTCCACTTTGAGCCCCCTAAGCTCATAGACCCGAAAATCGGAACTGACACCCGCAGCCCCGATTTGCCCAGCTGTTTGTATTACTCCTTTGACGACTCGACGGATACCTTCAAGGCACTGGGGAGATCAAGCTGCATAACCATTCTCGTCTAACGATTAGTTTCACACAGGTAAGGATGCAACTGTTGATATAATGGGTGGAGGCTTCGAGGGAAAGTGAAACAAATGTGGAGTTTTTGGAGATAGCAGAAGACAACTGGGAACCTCGCAAGATTAACAATTTATGCGTGAAAGCAGGATGCTAATCATGGGTATCAGGGCCATCATGTCGTATGTATATATATTCATCAAGTCTACAGGTCCGAACCCTTGCCATTTCGATACTATTCCATCCTTCTCATTGGCCATATTGAGGATATGGAAATTATGAGCTTATTGGTCAGACGGAGTAAAGCCTCACAGCATATTTGTAACACGCGGAATAGATGGCTCATAACCAACTATTACAATTCATCTGCTGGCTGATGAATCTTGTCGTCGCGGAATCTGAAGAAAATGTCAAGCTCCGTCCTGATTTGATCCGGCCGATACTGACTATTAACGGCTAGAGATCTCAAATCAAGGGAGCTTTGGACGGTTGAGTCATGCGAAAGTCGATGGGGGTCATTCTTGCTCTACCGGCAGACCTATAAGGGACAAGAAGGTATCACGGAGAAACTGTAGGCTACTGGGGCAAAAGAGCTCAGTCACCACCAGCGCACTGCTGGTAGAAGGGCCGATCAACCCGGGACCCCCAACACCCCCCCTCGGACCAGCTACCACAGAGTACAGTACTCCTCTCAGTGGCTCCTCTCAGTGGCTCCTCTTAGTGGCTCCTCTCAGTGGACTCAGTCCTAGGGCTCATTCTTTCAAGGGCTCACTCCTAGGGCACACTCCTAGGATGTCTCTTGGCACTGTTAAATGTCCGGGGTATTTGATTTGGGATTTATATTCTTAAGTCCATCTTGGGATCAAACCCATGCATGTTGACCACAGCGGGGCTCACGCTAAACGGTCTCATAACCTGTAAGCTACTGGGGCAAAAGAGCTCAGTCACCACCAGCGCACTGCTGGTAGAAGAGCTGATCAACCCGGGATCCCCAACAGAAACTGATAATTGGACGAGGAGCTGACAAAACCTGAATTAATACTCCTGTTAATAATTACTGCGATGATTGGTAAACAGTGACTCAACTGGAGAGGAGCATGACCGTGAAACAGCTTTCTCTTCTACCTACAGCCAAAGCCTACTTAGAAGGCTTGCACCTATTCAAGGGCCATAGCTTTACAGGCAGCGATTGAAGTTATCAAACCGTATGTTGGGCCTCGCCCATCTAATTCGTCAAATGGCATTATTCCAGTTAGGGTGATCTGTTGTACCCTGGTGGGGGGGGTCCCGTAAAGAAAACCACAGACCTTGTAGTCCGTAAACGTTGAGGAAACTGTCCACTAGCAAAATATTAGTACGCTGGTCGGCTGTGCACATATTTGATAGCTTGTATGTTGTATTTGTTTTGACTGTGTAGGAGACTTTTGTTGATGGTTGAGGTTAAAATACACTTTGGGGTCAACGGGTAACCATCGCTGAGCCATACCGTACTCGGTTAGTCTACCCGCGGGTCATTCGCGTGTAGTTACTTACTGCGTACATAGGTAACTAAGCTTATCATGACAACAAAGCTTCCGTGACGACCCAAAACCCAACCATGGCTCGCATCTTCATCACCGGCTCCAGCGACGGCATCGGCCAGGCTGCGGCCAAGATACTTGCCGATCAAGGCCATTCGGTCGTCCTTCATGCTCGCAACGCAGATCGCGCTTCCTCGATAGAGCGAGCAGTACCTAACGCCGAAGCTGTACTTGTTGGCGACCTTGCGATCAATTGTTGAAACCAAGAAACTGGCAGAAGCCGCCAATGCATCCGGGAGCGGGGCGTTCGACGCCATAATTCACAACGCAGGCATCGGCTACGGTGCCACGATGTCGGAATGGGTGTCACGGATGAATATGTTGGAGACATATGAATCTTATGTGTATCAAGATCTGCTTGTTATATTATCCGTGCACTATCTATTATAGCTAATTGCATACAAAAGATAGAGCTATTTATAGTGAAACAAATGTGCGAGCCAAGAGAGCTAGCATAAGCGAGTATTAGACGAGCATTGTAGTAAGATGATGATGATGAGAAATATTGTAGTAATACGATGCTGGTGGCGTTCAGTAGTGTATAACCTCTTTTTCCTGACACACGAGCAGCCAGGAAATCACCGTGGACAGGGATCTCGGCCGTTTTCGCCGTCAACACGCTTGCGCCGTATATCCTCACTTGCTTGATGAAAAGACCCACATCACGGTTGCTTTTTATGAGCTCAGACAGCCACTATGGCGGTGACGAGACTCTGCGGAACACGATAAGGCCACACTCATACGAAGATAGCAAGCTGCATGATGTGATGCTGGCCAATGCCTTTGCGAGGCGCTGGGGTGATGATATCCAAGTTGTAAGCATGCACCCCGGCTGGGTGAGGACCAAGATGGGAGGTTCGATGGCTCCGGGATCAATGGACAAGCCAGCCAAGGCACTGGCTGAATGGGCAGTTGGACAGGGGAAGTTGGCGAAGCTGGAAAGCGGAACATTTTTCACAATAAGCGGGGAAGCATCGCCTCATCCTGGGGCTGGAAATGTGAGTAAACAAGAGGAGCTGCTGAAAATTTGCGAAAAGGTTTCAGGCGTATCTGTTCCGGAGGAATGAATAATATAAATGTAACAAGTAAATGATTTACACGGAGTGTATTATTAGACGTTTTTTGATTGCGAGACGGCAACTATCTTCTAACTTATAAGCCTAAGGTATATCCAGATCGATGTTAAATATCACTATATCTTGAGATTACCTCTTAATCTCGAATATTGTGATGGCCTGACCGTAAAAAGGATATATTACTAGGCTATTCTTTCACTCAATTCTACTTTAATGTATGTTTGCTATACATATAAACCCGTGGAGCAACAGACTCTTCCTATAACTCTCTTCGCCTCAATGGTTGCTGTTGCTTGCTGGCCGGCACATCAGGGTCAAAGCCAACTACTGGCCGTTTTGGGGCTGGCCTGCTCAATCATCGTCTTCTCACTCTGTTCGACCCAGCCAATGTCGCTCCGTGACTACTCCTCGAATGCCGTCAACATATCTATCGATTGGCAGGAAAACTTTCGGATTAGAGCACATGTAGTATAAAACTCGTTTAAACAACCGGCCCGCGAACTGAGATGCCTGCTGCAACATAAAGTCCGGGTTCAGGAAAGTACTCGATGCGCCGTCGTACAGGTACCGGTGTTGACCAAACTCGGGAAGGATGGAATTAACCCGAAGCCAGTAAGGGACATGAGGTGCAGCCACTGAGGCTGTTGGAGCGATCCAGATCCGCAATAGGTCCGGGTGGACGCCCTGTTTTAAGCTCAAGACTTGTCCATAACTAGCTTGGTCATCCGCGAACACGCTCGATTGGATCTTGTTCGCTAACAGGGACCATAGCGAGAGTTGTATTCTCCAGCTGCGCTTGGGAGATGTACTTAAACCCGCCGTTGCGGGCCGAGTAATCGGGCCCCTGGACGTCATAGACGTTGAAGATATTGAAGGGTCTGTCGCCACCAGGATCCCACCAACCTTATTCAATGGCAAATGAAATGATAGTTTCAGAACCCATACAGTCATCACGGTTGGCAAAGTTGACGGGAAAATCTTCAATGCAACCTGGGTATAGCACGCAGACCTCGTTTGGACCAAGGCGCTCCGCAGCCCAGAGGCCCTGGCTGCCCGCAAACTCTCAGACAACCCACCCCTTGTTACAGTCGGCAATGAGGTGCGAGTTGCCTCCGTAAGTAGCATATCCACGCTCCTTGATCAGATTTCCGAACAGCTCAACGCCTTCCCGGGCAGTACTAGCTCTCTCCATTACCAGACGTGCCAGGTTGCTGTACTGCACGCCATGTTGTGGTGTCGGGGTCATCTTAACCAGCTCGTCATCGTTGCTGGCCCAGATGTCCCTTACCTCAACACCCTTCTCGTTGATGCCGCCGTTGGTCGATGGAGGGGGGAACCCTTAAAAGTCCGAGTATTTGATTAACTCCCCAGGAATCGTGGCATCCGGTGACTCCACTCGGATAGACTCGTTGGGTGCATGATCTCGCGCGGGAACAGCTGTACCCAATGGTTGGACACCTCCTCCCCTGTTCCGCCGATTAACATGCCGCCATCAGCGGAAGATCCTTGCCTACATAGAAGGCATAGCTGGCAGAGATAGGGGCAGCGAGGTGAGCCAGGGCGACAAACCCCTTGATAAGCGGTATTGCGATTGTCATGATAACTAGCAGGCTGGCTCGTTAAGACAATGATGCATATGGTGATGATGGCAAGACGATGCGAAAATCACTAGAGTTTTATTTATTTATTTTTATTGTTTTAATTTTCTTAATCCTTAATCATGGTCGGCATACAAGGTTAAGGTCATCATCTCTTAGTTAATTGGGTAAACTCCATAACTAAGGCAGAATGCATCCCTTGCATCCTCTGCAGCCGGTATATTAATTGAACTGCACGTTTTAGGTCGGCGATGTAGACACTCGCTCCGGCGTTGGATGGGATGGGCGGACTCGGTGAAATCAGGTATACTATGCGTAGGGAGTTCAGCCTTTACCTTTAGGGTAGCATCTCGCAATGTAATGTACAGTAAATAACCTACCTACCACCTTGCCATTCGAGGTTATGTCTCAGGAAATGACTGCCAATTATCCATCCGAATATTTCTAGATGATATTCACTCGACGGGAGAACTCGAATGAAAAAAAAAAAAAAAAAAAAAAAAAAAAAAAAAAAAAAAAGAACAAACCAAACGAAGGAGTTGAATCACAATTCAACAGCATGGTTGAGATCTGAAATGCGCACGTTAGCGAGACAAAATTTGCAGGTCAGAGAAGAATTAGCAGCTCGCAACTCCCGATAAAAGTTCTATTATTCTATTCTACTATTATTATTTCTTCCGGGTCGTGAACATGCCACTGAAGAATTAGCGGAAAGTACCTGGGGCAAAAATGTAAAGTAAAATGAAATAAGTACAGGTCCTTTTCTGATGTCCTACAGACATTAGAAACACTTATAACTTCGAAATCCTTTATCTCTCCTGTCTAATACTGACCAGATCCTGCTTCTGCCTGCCCTCAGCGTCAAAATTGCCAGCGCTCAGCCATTTTTCAAGGGCCACCATCACCTCTCCCTCCCACTCATGATCAACAATCGAAAACCACGCCGAGTCGCGATTGCGCCCTTTAACAATCATGTGGTTCCTGAACACCCCCTCAAACACAAACCCTAGCCGTATTGCTGCGCGTTTCGACGGCTCGTTAAAATCATTACACTTCCACTCACATCTGCGGAAATGTAACTCGTCAAACACGTATTTAAGCATGAGGTAGAATACCTCCGTCGCAGCAGTGGTACGCTGCAGCATCCGGGCGAAGGTAACGAAGCCGATTTCCACCACCCGGTTACTAACATCGATGCGGAGGAGACTCAGGAAGCCAATTGCCTTGCCCCTGTAGTGGGCATTGAGACCGGTGCGGTCTATGACGCTGAAGAAGACCCGCTGCTCGGATTTGGCCAAGCTGGCTATGAATATGTCGAATTCGGCTTCTGACGTGAAGGGCCCATCGGGCATGTAGTCCCATATGCTCCCATTGTCTGTGCCGCCTAGACAGGTGAAGAGGGAATCGGCATGCTCTAGAGTGAGGGGTTCTAGTGAGATGGTTTGCCCGTGTAGTGATTTACGTATAGGTGGGATGGCGGGGTTCTCTGGAACTATAGGGCCGAATTGAGGTTCCGCCATGATTGTCTAAATAATGGCCGTTGAGTATTAGAACTGCGGTATGGACAGGGCAGAGCTAAATAATAACGTAAGTCGATATGGGTCTGTCCCTTTCGCGGGCTGGGTAATCAAATATTGGCTGTATCACGTCCCGGTGAGAATAATGTAATCTCGATATGATATTGGGCCGCGAGAGAAGATGTTCATGGGTCGTTTTTCATGAGTTCCCATAGAACATTTTGTGAGTAGAAATAATCTTCTGAGTCCTCCGGGCAATCGGTCCAATGAAGTCGCATCGGCGCATCCCACTGATGCTAACTCGCGGGGTAATTTATCGGCGTATAAAAAGGCAAGGTAGGCCATTCCGTGCTTGGAGCATAGTAATAGTTGCTTGCGCAAGGGTTATTAACGCGCGTACTATCGCCATGTAGAAAGGGATGAGATATTTGGCATTTCTGTGATATAAACATATCGGTTGATCAATGAAAGAAAAATATGTTGAACAAATTGGTTCCTTGTCAGCAAGTTTGTGGTTTGGGCCAACTAAGTTACATTTAATTACTGGTTCTATTAATTAAGCATACTACAGTAATCCATGAAGTGTCTGCCCTATATAACAATTGCAATTAGTTTTTGAAAAAAATTATATTAATTATGAATTACCCCCCTAACTAGTAAATAGATTATTATTACATTAGCGACACCACTTTATAGCACTTTATTAAGGGGGGAATAGCAACCTTATCCAGCGTAACTCTCAGCTAATTTTGGTCAGAAGCCGGAAACAAGCGAAATTGAACACTAACTTCAGCATAAAAACATCATCGGGGCAGTCGCCGGTGTAAAAGATCGAGAAATGGAAAGCATCAGTAGTGAAACCAGCAGAAGATCACCAATTTTGTTCCTTGTAACTCCCAAACCTTGAAAACGCCAACATGACCCATATTATTATTAGGCATACCACATGGTATACTTCCGTTTCCCTTCTTCCATATTAATGTTTCGAATCAAGCAGCAACATAACTAGCGATAACTGTAGCGCCTCAACGCCTCGATATAAGCCGGAAACCCTTCGCAATTCACACTGGTCACTCAATTGGGGTTGTCGAAAAACAGTTTCAACCTCGAAGATGGCACTGAATAGACCAAAGGGTGGGTGAAACAGGAAAAAGATAAAAAGATAAAAAAGACGAAAAGGAAGCCTCGAACATTTGCAAAATTCGATGAGTGATATCGGCGTGCTATTTACCGGACAATTGAGAGCAAGGAATGCAAAAAAAAAAAAAAAAAAAAAAAAAAAAAAGGAACAGGGCAAAATAAAGATTATAAAACCGAACTCCCCCCTAGCGCGAGCGTGTGAAAGAGATAGGACGCTAAATAGTTGCACTATTTGTTTCGCGGTGATATGCCCAAGTTGAAAATCACAGGTTCTCCGTGAATTTAGAGGGATTTGTCGGGGTATCAGTCGATGATTTCTGAGACGGTATGGTCTGAAGAGGCTCGGACGTGACCTCTGATCCAGTATTAAGACTCGCAGCAGCTGGTGGGGCCGGGGCGGTAGTTTGAACAACAGGACGTTCGCGTTGCACTTCAAACGAACCCGGACCGGCTCCCAAACGAGGCCTCCGCGCTAATTTAACGAAAAAACGAAGATGCCATTTGGTCTTCATCGACCGCCTTCTCAGGACTCCTCCTCCTCCTTCCTGCTGTTTCTTCCTCTCGCTAATGACTCTTGAGCTTTCTGTAGATGAGCTCCAGACCGGCCTGGCTGAAATGGATGAAGGGCTGTTGTTTGTAGCCTGTGTTCCATCCGAAGGCGCGGCCAAGGGAGCTACAGTAGGAGCGGTTGCGGGTGCGCTTTTCCGCCTCTCACTCTCGCTTCCTGACGCACGACCGGCATCGCCCGCCTTGCTGGGCGGACTGGGCTCGCCCTCCGCACTTTCTCGCTTCTTCCTAGACCACAATTTCGACCTCGAGCTGGATTTTTCCGAACCGCCAGATTGTGTTTTGTTGGAAGCGGTAGTTGCGTGCCGGGACAAACTTTCACGCGGCGGTTCCAAAAATATGGACTGGGACGATTCTCCCGCACTGGAGGTGGTAGGCTGGGATCTTGGGGGACTTTGTTTCTCTGGAACTTGAACCCAGTCGTCCTCTTCTTCATCTTGCGGAGCTCGGTGATCAGTCAGGGCACCCGAGGCTGGGGCCTCCTCCTCTCTAGCCGGAACCTTCCCACGGGCCTTTGCGGATTTGCGTCGGAATAACCCGCCCCGTGAGGACTTGCTGAGGCGACGCAAAAGCTTCTTTGATTCCTTTTGTGTCTTGGCGTTTTTCCTTTCCTCTTCTGTCATACGTGTCAAATAGGCTAATGTGTGGTACAGCGAAGAATGAAATTAAAACACAAACCTTTCACTTCTTGTACGCACTTCCTCGCTTCTTTCTCCCTTTCTTTCTCTAGCTCTCGCTGCCGAAGTGCCTCCCGCTCATCCAGCTCTTCCTCTATCACCCTAGCTCTCTGTTCCTCAAGTCGTCTCATGACGTCTTCGATGGTGGGCTTGGCCTTTGATCTTGTAACACGGCTAACATCCTTTTGGGTGACGAACTGCCCTGCACCAATAGGGACAACATTCGCATTTTCAACTGGACGGGATATAAGTTTCTCTGTCACACGAGGTTGCGGCCTTCCTGTAGATTCATAAATACGCCTATCAACGTCATCTATCACAGCTTCTGCATTCCTTGTCGCGGCATTCATCAGAGCCTCATGGTCGCGGGCCATTTTCTCAGCATCAACCCTGGCCATTCTCCTACGGAAAATTGTCATTTGCGATCGGATCTCCTCAGATTGTTCATTGTCAATGTCTGTCACGCCGCTATCGCTGGTAGCACGCTTCCCGAATTTTGAATGAAGCGAGCGGTGGCGCTTTGGTGGGGGGATTGCAGCACTATAGTAATCTCTAAAGGCCTTTTGTTCGTCATGCATCATGTCTAACTTCTCCGAAGCTAATCTTTGGGCAGTCTCATGCAAAGATAGCGGACGGCGGGAATTTATGGAAGCCGTGGTGGTCTCCACTTGAGGCATGGCTGAAAACATTTGCCGCGCCATCATCACTGCCCTTTCATGTATGTTGTCTTCGGCCTCGGGTTGGAGATCGCGTCGGGCATTTACCATAGCGGCTTCATGAACCTTTCCGATGTCCAATGGAGTCTCAGCCCGAGTCTCCTCCGGTACCGTTGCTGGTCTGAAAGACATTTTGTGGGATGTAGAAGCTGCGGTCACTGCGTGGGTTAAGTGGCTGCTGTCGTTGGGCACTGGCGGGGCTGATACTGCTCTCTTGCGACTCTTAGACAATGCACCGGTCGCTGCGAGCCTTGCCCCTGCATTTTTCCTGGGCGGCTCTTTCTCATGGCTGGTAGGCTTCTTTTGTGTTGTTCTCACTGCTTGGCATGCAGCTTGGGAGCTTGTGGAAGTAAGCTGGGGGTTCCTTAAAGGGTGCTCAGTCTCGACCTTGTTTATCTCGCGAGTCGTGTATCCTGCATGTGCCAAGCTGGCAGCAGCGCCAGCTGACGCCAACTTTCGATCCGCTGAGGGAACGTCGAACGACTTTACATAGCTAGATGGGTTCGTGGACGCGCGTGTATCTGTGAACCAGAATGTGTTAAGAGACGGTTTCAAGTTGCTCCAGGCGGAATGGGCGCAACGGATGGAACAGGTGCAGAATAGACTCACCACCACGGCTAGCCTGGTCAGAGATTGATCCTGACGGTCTGGGACGAGCTACATGCGTTGCGGCTGAAGAGGCTTTATGGAGGAGATAGTTAGATTGCGTAACTAGCAGATATTCAAAAAGACAGGTGCAAGAGGGAAACTGACCAAGACTCTCAGTACGATCCGGTTGCTGCCGGGGCTCAATAGCCATCGCGGTGGACATGGCGATGCCCGCAATTTGTCAATAAGGTGAGGTGAAATGTAGATGTAGTAGTTTTGTTTAAAGCAGACAACATATCTCCAAATCGGGTCAGTTGGGTGGGTCAGAATAGATGTAGGAGACTGCGGACAGAAGAAAGCTGGGGCAACTCGTCTCCACCAGCGAACAAAGTTTCGTTTAGCCATTTCCCAGCTGTGTGCTTCCCAGGAGCAATAATGGGATAGGAGGCGAACTGTGACCTTCGTGATGTCTGGTTCCGTTAGCTGTCAGTGACGTAGGGCTGCGGTTAATCCAGTTTAGCGCGGCGGATCGCATCCACCCCAATCCGCGGCTGCGGCTGCGGCTAAAACTTCTACAGATCCTCCACTGGGAAATCACGTGATGCCCCACATTTCACTCGTGGACGCAGCTTGAACTTCCATAAGGAGTTACCACTCACTCCGTACAAGTCAGTATATGTATGTAGCTTTGAAGACAATTATTAATACTTAATACCTAATCAACCAACCACAACAATCGTCCTCTTCCATGAATCCACCAGCTAGACAACCCGGCTAGTGCTAGTTACCCTAAGCTCTAACTAGTTCGTGAGCTTGTTTTTAAGCCTTTTCAACAACCCCTCCCAAACTTGGTTCGGAAGTTCAGCCAGGGTATCTACAGCGTAGACATCCCAGATAACGATATAAATTTGTCGTTTAGATGTGGACTTTTTATTTTACTGCTAACTACAGTGGACTATGTGATCAGTGTTTTCATGTGTGTAATTAAAGCTGTTCTATTGGCCTCATGAACTCGGAATTCAAACAGCAAAGGGAACAGAACGAGCTTCTACGATCTTTGTTCGACTGCATTTCAGGCCATCCTCAACTGCTTATCCACTCATAATTGAAATGGTCACTATATGAAGTTCGTTTGTGATCCCTCAGTGGTAGGCAGGCGGCTACATGAAGACCTCGTACGACAGCGTGTCTGACATACTTTCCACAAGTCCATTTTGCCGAAAACATGACTATTCTACATCTCATTCTCAAAGATGTCTTGCGATCAATCAAGGTCGACTGTACATCAAAATTCATCTTCTGAGCCCAGCCTTCCATCCAACGACGAGTCCGAGTACTTTCAAAAGTGGTCCCAGCAGAATTTGATTGAATCTTGGGTAGAGAATCAACACTGGCCAAAGGTATTTTTTTGGAATTATGCCGGAAGACAATTTGCTGACTGGACCCAAACCAATCAGTCCCAACCGCGTCGGGCTCACAGCGTACAACAAGTCACCCTTATCGCGGTGTGGATTACGTCCATTTTCTTACGGATAAGAACATTTTCTTCCACGACCACCCCCACCGCATTACTAGCAAGAGCTCCAGTGATTGCCAGTGTCTGCTTGCGCACAACCCTGTGCTGCCAAAAGATACATGGTTCAGTTCAGTGATGCTTTGTTCGAGTCAACCTGCCAGCGAATCGCAACCTACAGTGAGGCTGGCATTATACGTACAATCACCGAGTTAATTGTACCATCTGCGGAAGGTGTAGTTTGCAAACAACATGTCACGTTATCCTATCTTATCGAAAGCTTTAATGAAGGATGGGACAATTCTGTTCCCCTACACTATCCCCAACCACAACCTGACCATGCTGTGGGGTATCCAAGAAAATCATTTTTCAAGACACCAGCTGGACCGCCTAGCGCCTTTCTTAGGAGGAACTGGGGATAACTCCTACTTCAAGGGCACGAGCTATATGTACTTTCCTTTCTTGACATGCGAAGTTAAAAAGTACCGAAGGTGATTTGGAAGTGGCAGACCGCCAGAACGCGCATTGCATGGCGGTTTCTTTGCGTGGGGTATTTGAACTCTTCAGGTGTATCGGTCGGGTGAAGGAGCTCAACGTAGAGATTTTGGGGTTTTCAATTTCCCACAACCATCGATGTGTCAGAATATACGGCCATTATCCAGTAATTGAAGAGGATGCCAAGTATTACCGTCATCTTATTAACTCCTTTGACTTCACAAACTTCGATGGGAAGGAGAGGTGGACATCTTATAAGTTCGTTCTGGGCGTTTATCAACACTGGGCGCCGTCCCATCTCAGACGACGACTATGTTCCGCAATTGACGAGTTACCGGATGTTGTCATTTCCAGCGAGCCACAGAGACCGATGTCCACAGTTCTGGAAAGCACTAGAGTTCCCCAAGCTGCTGGTGATATTGGCACTCAACGTTCGAGTGTTCCATACTCCATAGGAAGAAAACCTAGCCGTCCAGAAGTCTCTAACTCATGAGATATCTCCGCTCAGGAACCCAAAGAAGAGACTAAAGTATCAAAGAAACGTCTCCTGTCATAATCATTTTTAGTCCAATACCCGTTGCCCTTGTGTGTATTTGACACCTTCGCTGTTGGTAGCTCGGACAAGGAATCTAGGCCACCGAGATAAATGCCAACTCTAATGCATCTAGTTATTCGAAGCCTTTTCGAGGGCCGCCAACAACCGGCAGAACAGCACTGAATGGAGAAAAAAGAAGGATAAAGAAGAATAAGGACAAAAGAGAGTTTGGGAAGTGTGAAAATGAGAATGAACTAGGTGCCTAGTATATAGATGACTAGGATCACTACAAAAAGCTAAAGAAAAGATATGGAGCGCTTAAGGAAAACTTCACAAGACGTTGCCCGCAAGCAACTATAGTTACGAGATATGTATGTTTCGAGAGATATCCGTGGTCAACAAATATCTTTACTAGTCAAGTCAAAATTTCCACTTCTGTACAATACAGAATCCCCAGGTGTATACAGCTTAGAGCCCCCCCCCCCCACAGGTATAGAGACCCCCCCGGGTATAGAGCCCCCGGGTATAGAGCCCCCGGGTATAGAGAACCTCTGAGTATAGAGTCTCCCTGGGTATAGAGTTCTCCGGGGTGTAGAGCTCCCTCCTGATGTGGGTCACTATTTCATACAACCTCTAATGAGGAGATCTTGATTGCTAATACAATCAGTAAATATCTGTTGGGGGTCCCGGGTTGATCGGCCCTTCTACCAGCAGTGCGCTGGTGGTGACTGAGCTCTTTTGCCCCAGTAGCCTACAATATCATTGATGTGCGCTCATTGTAATGCTAGTATAGAATACCCATTTGTCATTATAGACTGCAAGTATGTAGTCTCCGTTTGTTCTTGTTTAGAAAAAGGGTCCTGATTAGCAATAAATTAATTATTATAGCACCACACCAGCAACCCAGGTACCATCCCTTCTTCTCGTCTTCAGCATGACACCATCGTAGCCGCAAAAGGATTGATTAGATGTAAGTAACTACATGTAATGTACATGTACATGTACATTACATACATGAGCGTGCGAGTTCCTAGCTAATAATAATCTTCCAGTCGCAACTCCCCCCGAGATATAGACTTCGCGTCAACTTTTTTCCCACCGCCAATCGCGGCAGTTGCAGATCTTCAGAGACTATCCATGGATGTATGCTTGGATCCTGGGACCCCACAGCGGACTGTACTCTGATCAAGGATGCTACAACAACAACCTGGCCTCTAAGGAAGAAGACAGAAACGGATCATAAACATCCATTAACATCCTCGAGCGCAAATGAGTCCTCGAGAACCTAGTCCACAGGGCCTCAACGCGAACGTCGATGTTGCCATAAACAATAAGACTGCTGATAATGACACCCCAAAGCCTACCACCGTTGATGAAATCAGCTCCCCGGATCGTCCATTTGATAATGTGCTGAATCTCAGAGATGTGGGTGTTCATATCAATCGATTGTGTGGAACACGGTACGAAAGGCAGCTCCAAGATCCATTCCAATCACCTCCTCCCCTGAACCTGGGGAGTATTTCGACCATGTTTTGTACGAGGACATCTACTGCACGGTTGATGGATCTAATTATCATATATATATATGGAGTTCTACGATAAATTCACCCGCCCTGGAGAAAACTGATATATTCAATCTTTAGGGTGGTGAGAGAAGGTGTTTTATTCAGAAGTGCACGGGTAATACTTCCTTTTTTTTTTTTTTTTTTTTTTTTTTTTTTTTTTTTTTTTTTTTTTTTTTTTTTTTCCTTCGATGTTTTTTGTTTTATCTCTATTTATGTTGCTTCATTTTTTCCCTTTGTCGATCTATTTATCCATTGATTAGTATTCTATGCTGCTTTGTTGAGCAATCCTTTGTAAAGTGTCCTGGCGGATAAATGCTACTGTGTCATTTCCGGTGCAGCTCCTTCTTCCACCGGATAAAACCATATTTATGATATTATTGTCATTTTATATGATGATAAGGAATGGGAACATCTGATTTCCAGTGCTCAGATCTACATTCTATTTTACATATCTCGCTAATATTCCATGAACCTATCCTCCACAGCCCGACAATGCTTCGAAATCAGATCGACATCGCTTTGCAGAGGAGCTACGTCTGGCTTCTATTATAGATCTCAGGTCAACGTAAGGACCAAAAATTTCCATTTTTCGTGCGACCTGTTATTCTAATATGACTCTTATACTTCTAGAACTGAGCATAATATTGCAGCCAACAGACAGCTCGCTACTCAGCTTAGCAATGGTAATGCTGAATCACCTCCAGCTTCCCAACCACAGTCAATAGCGAATGATGAGCACCTCGTACAGCTACCCGGTGTGCGCCGGATTATGATCAGTCTAGCGGGATGGAACTTTGAAAAGTTATTGCTGTGGAGATTAAGCTGGTTTAATATACTGTGAGTATTTTATTCTTATTTTTTTTATTTTTTATTTTTTGTAACTCCGATTATTTGTGCTTCGCATGATCAAAGAGGAGTGAGTAAGTTATCCACCTCACTCCAAAAACACGATCTCACAAAACCATACACGCCCAGAAAAGCCATCACCCTCCTCGCATCCGGCTACCGCAACGCGGCCACCAAGCTTGTCGTCGAACAGGCGATGGTGCCCCGTGGCCTCAACGGCCTGGCCCACGACACCCTAACAGCCAGTCAGGAAGAGATCAAAGAGTTATTCGGACACCTGGGTGATCCTGCTGTCTATCCAACACTCATTCATTGCACGCAGGGCAAGGACCGGACTGGACTAGTTATCATTCTACTCTTGTTATTGGCCGGGTCTCCTGGCAGTGATGAGGGTGTGCCGAGTGAGACGAAAGAGGAGCAGGAGGAGGAGCCGGGTGGTAATATTAATGCAGGAGGGGTATTGAGGGATGGGGACACAGATGTAGTACGCGGAGCTCCAATCGGGCCGTTAGCGACCTGCAAAATACCCCTCTCTGCAATAACGTGCGACTACCGAGTGTCGGAGGACGAGCTGATTCCGGAACTGGAGGAGCGGTTGGCGGAGATGCAGGCCATGGGCCTGCCGGCGGAATACGCGAAGTGTCCCACTGGATTTACGGAGGAGGTCGTGCGGTTCTTGGAGGAAGGGTATGGTGGGGTCCGAGGGTATTTGAAAGCTATTGGGGTGGAGGATGGGGATGTTGAGACGGTTAGGGGGTTGCTTGTGGCGTGATGGTATATGACGGATATAGGGTATAGATATTGGTTGCTTATGTGTCGTCCCTTACTAGGCTCCTACTCCGTATGACTTTTCTCCTTTCGCTCCTTCCACCCTCTCAAAATCATCTCAACAAGAAGTATTTGCAGAAGAGGCGTCCGAGACAAGAAGCTTCTTGCCTTTTAATAGTGTTGAAAGTGAATTGAGTCCGCAATTCTGCGAAAAGAGGACATTATACAAGTTATTAGCGAGAATAATATCTTCCCATAGGACAGGGCATTTTACAGCAGTTTAACTATGTAAATCAAAAATTAAGAAATAGACAGAAAGAGTGATTCACGGAATTGCTGGTATTGTACAGGTAGGGTAACATTAAGGACAAAAATAAGGGGGGGGAAAAATCGTATCCCCCGTCTTGAACGCCGTCCCATGCTATAAATAATCGTTACAGGAAAACCAGCCTCTTGGCTTCTATGAGATGCCCCTCTATTAAAATAATAGTAAAAAGAGGAAAGAAAAGAAAGAAAGAAAATAAGGAAGAAAAGGCCCCAATGCTCGCTAAATGGCAAGATGCTCCTGGGAAAAAAAAGAAAAAACTCCGCCCCCTTTTTGCTACTATACAGCCCCAATACTCTTAAGATTTGGTTCATTACCAGTAAACAGCGGACCACAATCTAGACCCGCAAATCCCCTTCCTGAGCATGCGACTGGCCATATGGCATGTAGCCGCCGGCCGAACTTTGCGTAAATTGGACCTGTGTCGGTTGTTGATCTACTATATACCCGCGGTAGACATTGCCTCGATCTCCCATGGAGTCTGTGGTAAGGGGTTGCTCGTAATAAGCGCTTGTTTGCGGAGGTCGAGGAGTAGCAGTCGTCATCGTCGATGGACTTTGTTGCGCTCCGTTTTGTGCCATGGTCATTTCTGTTATCCGTTTCCCCTGTGGGATGTGGTTGCGGGTTCTGATTGCGGGGAGGAGGTCGACGACGAAAGATAAGACGTAGAAGGTGAATATGTATGCGATTACTGGATGAACGTGTTTTGTTAGCCTGAGTCTCTCTTATATATTGAGAGGGAGCCGGGGAGAGGGCTACAAGGATTGACATAACATACTCCACTCTAGGACCGCAGCTTGGTTTTTCATGCCCTGTTGACCTGTGACTCCAAAAGCAACGGCAAGAGCAAGCTCAACAAGGATAAAGACGAGTTTTATCCAAAAGCTTGCGGCTAGGATTGTGTGTTCCCGATAGTGTATGCCGAGTCTTTGGTATTCGGCGCATACGAAGATTGCGCTGAGAATGTACCCGCCCCTATTTGCCTCGGAGTGGATGATTAGCACATGTCCCAGTAAAATATTCACAAAAGGTAAGCTTGTAGGGTAGGGGAATAGAAGTGGAACGTTACATGAAAAGAACCAGACATCCATTGTGCTGGAGTGGGAATCTCACGGTGTCAAAAATTGACAAGAGAATCAGTCCTAATCCTCCGCACATCGAAAATACTATTGAGATAATGGCAAACGTCTTGTCTGCTCGTCCTCTATTTCTGGCAAGCTGACCGCGATGTCTAAGCCATCTTTCTGATACGAATGAAGCGCTGAAAACCACGGAAGTGATGGAGCAACCGGTGATAAAGAGGGGTTTTAATCCGTGCGCGCCAACGTCTGATATGAATGCGATCGTTTGAGATAGTTCCATGCTCTCGTAATGTGGACGTCCTTCAACCGCTGCCCATTGTATCAGCATCGTGAGGAGCATAGCTGTTTATTCCATGGGTCATCGTTATTAGCTTGCTGTCTATACTTTCCGGGGTGTCCCTTGTTTGTTTTAGTGTTTCAAGAGGGAAACCCACCTAGCCACATGCATGACCCGATTACAGGAAATATCCAAAACGATATAATCCACATTTTGTGAATACCCTTTCCCAATGGCGGTTTAACAACGGCAGTGAAGCTATAGTGGAGGTGGACACCCAGTTTTGACCGATGGAGATATGACCGGGTGGGGGTAACAATGAGGGCAAGCGGCGAGGTTTGAATATGTTTCTTCGGATGCAATTTGCTCTCTGCGTATCGGAGTTCAATGACAATAAATAGCCCAGGGTGATAGAGGCGGGCAGCAGATCCTGGGAATAGGGCGTTGTTCTAGGGATGTGATATCAAATATTGCGCACAAGGGTTTAAAACGAACGAACGAATAGTATTAACCAGACAAGAATATTAACAAAAAGACAAGACCGTTAACGAGGGGATTCGGCATCGAGGCGCAAAGATATAATAACTCTTGTGGCATCCGAGTGAATTCGCCAGGGCAAAAACACACCCGAGACGACGTCATCCGCGCACGGCTGGGACGAACGAACAAACGAACAAACGGGGCTCGGCAAGGACATCGCCCGCGGATCCGACTCGGCGGTGATTATTAACTGCGCTGGCTGGGTGTTAGTAATAATAATAATCGACCTCGGTCACTGCCCACCAGGATTATATGCGGAGATACCTCTGGCTGTATTATGATATTATTATTGCATTAACTATTCATTATTTCGTGTTGCCGCTTCCAATTATTTCTCACGCGCGTAACTTTTTTTGACCTGCGTTACGAGCTTCAAATCTCGCAGGCGCAGCCACGGCTATAAAGCGTCACCACCGCCTAACTCCGCAGCCAGCGGAAGCCGCATTACTCCGGGACTCGATGGTGGGTAATGCACGGAGTACGGAGTACAAAAGACATATTCAAGATACCTATTTAGACGCTATTACTATGGCTGTTTTTAGGCAGTCATATTTTTTTTATATCCGCAAGGGCCTTCAGCTGCTAATATCAACCCCCCATGAGAGACTCCTTTTTTGTGGTTTATTTTAACTTTTAAGGTTCGCAACGCCACGTGCGAAATTTCTTTTTGCGCCGCCATGGCGTCATATCATCCTCTAAGTCACCATCCCATATTACGAATGCGATGAACGAAATGGATCACGATTAATGGCATGAAAAGCATGATATTTCCTGAGCGATGTTTTGAGAATGGGGAGCTGGAGTCGTTCCCGCATGAAGCGCTATCGAGGCAGCTGAAGCTATCAAGCACCCAGGACTAGTCACCAGATACCAAAGATGAGAAGTGCTTGTCACATTTTGACCATTGCCAGCTCCAAGGGTTCTGGTGGATGTTGATGTTATCAACCTCTCCACGCAGCGTATAGCCAGTCGATCATTTCTTTGTGTGTTTAGACAGATTGCGTCTTTCTGGGAGCTATCAAAACTCCTCGACAAACCTGACCAGCGCGGAAGCCGGATTATTTGCGGGGAAAGAAAATACCTACCAATAGGATATCACTTAACTTGTTCTTATGCACTCACTCCCTTTATATAATTTGGATGGTAATGAAATGTAGGTACACTGACTTGAACGCAAGTACAATTATCTTTATCCAGGCTATGCTCTTGATGATCCATGAGAATAACGATCCCTACCTGAACACCCCTGTGAAACCTTTTTATATACCCTTCATCCCTGGACAAGCCACCATGCATACGCTTACCCTTTCATAGCACTGTGTCATATTCTCATCTTGCTTTGAGATAGCATGTACGGCATATTCTCTAGTAGTTCCCCTGATAGCGTCCAGTATACCTCTACTGATAACCTGCAGGCTCTACTATATATCAACCCCCAGTTGGTCGACCACACCTCTCAGGCTAGCTACATCACCGCATATATTTCCAAGGCATGAATCGTCCGTCGCAGCCATAGTTCTATCCCTATAGCCCCCACAACCATCAGACGTCTCACTCCATGTCAAGGTTGAGTGGGTGAAGGGTTCATCGGTCGAGAAGTGACGGCTCTGGAATAACTACATTGGGCCAAATTGCTCCGGTTAAGCTTTGATCATGGCCTAGGTTTACAACCAAGCACCTAGCTATATATTTCTTCATTTTGTGATTGCTAATTGACCTAAGTTGTGTGTGTTAGATATAAATACATCTAATTCAGCCAAAACCATATCCGCCTGTCTTGAATTTTTTTTTCTGCCATTCCCCCGCTGAATTCACCCAAGAATGTCTCTCGAACGGGCACTAATATATCGAGCCAGCGGAGTTAACCATCCAACTGGAAAATGCTAGACACGGGTCTGTTTTGATATCCGATGGGCTCTGGTTCGGGAAACAGTGGGCCGGCCCGAAGCCGAAACTCAAAGTCGTGCCAAACAATGAATGATTATCGCACTACCAATCGACTCCAATACAACCAACAATGCCTCGGAATCGAGTGGGATTCTTCGACATTGGGTTTCTCTTATTCATCTGGAGCGGCTCGCGTTTAATCATTACTGCTGGTTGTTGCGAGGGAAATTGAATTCATCCCATCGTCTTCCTGCCGCACACAACCAAAAGTTACCATGCACTGATATTCCCATTAACCGTCTCCTCATCGGCCACAGATATTAGAGATGTCTTTTGCAAACCTATACCGAGTACTCCATATTCCGTACCAATACCAAACCAGCAAATAATATACGGAATTTTCAGCTCACATCCATTGACCCAACCCGCACACTCAGCACTTGTATAATCCAAGTTCTGGGGTCGTGTATTACTTTATAACCGCTAACTACTCCCCTCCACCCCAGCCTCCTAAAAGTACCCCTCAAACCCCACAACTGCTCCTCCGCGTCATGAAACGTAAGATGAACACTCAGTTCCCATGGACAGTGCATACTCTCCAACGGTGCCAGGACTTTCGCCACCATGTCCTCCCGCTCATACCAATCCACTGGGGGCATAAGTATGACAAATCGCCTCAGCCCGCTCAGTGACCTACTAGTGTCGCAGAGAACAGAGAGTTGAATGAGAAAATCCTCCTCATCTCCCACAAAGAAGTCGCCGCAGAGGTTCCAGTATATTTTTACGGAGCGGATGTACTGGTGGCAGTGGACGGCGGAGATGGTCGAGGTGAAGTGGAGGAAGTTGGAGTACGTAGCGAAGATGAAGGTGCATTCAGAGTATATGTATGGCCGTGTTTCGGTGTAGCTATGTAAATTATACATGTTTTTTGAGTTAGAATGAAGGATAGAATGCCGGTTAGAAGCGATAGTCAACCAGTTATCCAATATGCTCGTGGGGAAACGGGAATTTATGCTGGAAGTCCTCCACAAAAATGCGCGTTAAGGCTATCTTATTGCTGCAAAACTCACGCAAACCAACACGTTTTCCCCACCGCCACCAAATCCCCAAACGGCCTTTTGAGCCCGGAGAACGTGCCATACTCCTGGGCCCAATCCTTCTCTCTCCGCTGGGAGGCGTTGAGACAGAATTTACAGCAGTTGCCAGGGATATCTCTCCTGATGCCTTCGCGACACACAACATACTGCAGTTTTGTCTTTCTTTCCAGGCAGCGGACGATATGCACATTCTTGGGGCTGCGGTAGAGATAGGTCCAGATCATTTGGCGGATCTCGAAGGGGAGCCGACCTAGGAGTGGGGATTGTGGTTGCGTGAATCTTGTGCTGAACATGGTGTTGGGTGCATTCGGGTTATTTTTACATATGGCGCAGATGAGGTATTCGTTCTTTTGATTGAAGGGCTTGAGTCTTGCTGTTGCATTTTGATCAGGCAAACAAAATATTCCTCAGGATGGAGCATTGCTGAATGTGGCTGGATTAGCATCATCCACGGCAAGTTTCTGGAGTGGCCTAACGCTCCGATCACCAACCACCCTCCAAAGGACCAGTATAAGAAGAGCTGGTCAGATTCATAGAAGTATCATGATTGCTACTATGGTTATACCATACTTTACTACTGTCTACTACCTAGCCATCACTTCCACCCGATGATGACCATTTCTCTATGCTAATTAAACATTTTTCCAACGTATAGTTATGCAATTTATCCTTGCTTATATAACTACATGTTTAAGAAAAATATAGTTAAAAATATCGAATTTTGATTTTACAATAAACATTTTTAGAAAGGACTCTAGGTCTTACTACGTAGTTAAGGAATCAAACAATTCCATTAGTACATGTACATGTACATACATACTTATAGAACGAGATTGCAAACTTCATTTTTATATTTTCAAACTTCAAACAAGAAAGTTTTCAAAGTAAAATAGCTTCATAACTATAAAAAAATATTTTTAAAATCAAACTTTCACAAACGATTGGAGAGATGAATGGTTGATCATTTTCAATTAGTACCAGGAAAGGCGATTATTCGGTGGAAGTGACACAGAAAATATACTCAATCATACTAACATGATCGTGTCTGTAATCCCTTCCACCGCATCCTTCAGTGGCACCAGGCCTTTTCCATATACGGAACACAGCCGTCTCCGTTCTCCGTTCTCCTCTCTCCTTCCCTAGTCCTAGTAATTCCGTTCCTGTTTTGCTCATAACGCAGCCCTGTTCGGTCAGCGCTCCTCCGCCCAACTAAACTCGGCCAACACAGGCTACAGAAGGCTCGATCTAATGGTGCACACTCTGGAGATGATGATTCCCAATTGCAAAACATTCCTGTTGGAATTCGCCGATACTAGGGCACCGAACAATCCCATTTTCATTCAGTTTCTGCAAGATATCCATAATCCCGAGGTGTTGGGCAGTTGGACGCGGAGGTCACTGGGTTCGAGCGCCGTCTGTTGTACTGTGTCCGCGTGCTTGAGTAATAATAGAGTCGAATAAGCCCCCCGGTGATGGATTCTCTTGCGTAGTCCGCTCGGGCTAGAAGAATTGAGGGGATTTTTGCCGCTGTACCATAAATGTCAATCCTTAAGGTGGGATCATCCTGGCCATGTGAAGGGTTTATAGATGTCCGTTTGACAGCTCAGTTTTAACCCTGTATGTAACTCTGGCACTTCCAACATCTAGCCGCGACGAAAGGTAGATTATGAGCATTGGTGGGCTCGCCAATTACGGGGCTCAGCAGTAATATTCTTACTGTTCTCTCACTTCTGACTCATGGCTTGGGGATTGAGATAGCTGCTTCTCTCATAGACGGCCGCTTCAAAGGTGTCAGTCCCCATATCCAACCTGTCAGAATCCGTAGAAGTTCTGATTGCACACCCACTTTCATGAGGTTATGTTTATGTGGTTGGTCAATCAGAGACCTCGTTGGACCTCGGAGACTCTTCTGTTCATTCAAACAAATGAAATCCGCCGTTCCCCGCAGATAAATCCACTGGACATGCGTTACTGATCTGAAGGGGATATATCAGTATTCTGTTCTTCTATTCAAAACATATCTAGTCGAAACATGGATTTCCTACCTTAAGTAGGACCTTGCAAGGTTAGCTACCTGTGGACTATGCGTGTCGATAGAAGAAGACTCGAGAGAAATTGCAGCATAGTTCTCAAAAGCGGAAAGTAGGATCCTAGATGTTCACGAGAAACAAAACTCTGAACCCAATGTACCACGCGTAGCTCGGCTTCCTACACCCCTATGTATGAATCGACAGTCAATAAATTAACGGCGATTCAACATCCAGCTCCTCAAGGTATTGGTCTCCTCCCATCCACATAGCAAGGAAAGCTTGTTGGTAGTTAGTGGAAACAGAAGAAATATAACACACATACTTCAAGCGCATGCCAGTTCGGGGTTCCAACTCTAAGACAGCTATGCAGCGTACGGCTATAAATACAGGTGTTCCCGCCCTTTTCTTAGAAATCTAGCTATTCTTACAAGAAATGCCATCCTACCAGACACTAGAGCTTCCTCTATTCATAGTCTTCTGGATCGTTCTGTGTCTCTGCCTTGTCTATTTACTAGTGATGCACTCAAATACTAGTTATATTGGAGTACTATGGACGGGACTACCTAGACTTGAGCTCATTTCTGAGTTGAATCCCATATCACATAATATGTACATCAGTTCAGGGTTCCTACTTTTTACTGCTTGTACCGCCATTGACGAGCTACAGAAAATGCGCTTGATGTACGATCGGCCAGGCCAGGGGTTGCGACGGCATCGAGGTATAGGAGATGAAAGTGTGCAGCGACCGGGGATGGATTACTGAAGAGAGATGTAGGTATTTAGCAAACAATATCATAGATAGCAAAACTTATACGTAAGCCGGGAGCTCAGAGTTACCCGTAATACATCGGCAGTATAATGAAGGATGCTCCAGACGCCCCCCGTCCCCCGGAGAGTGCTGCCGGCATCAATTCCCATGATCAGCAATCACCTTGGCCGTTTCCACATGCCCGTTGAAACTTAGCCCGATCGATGGCTGTATCGCCCAATTCATCAACAAGGTAGCTGGCTAAATGTTGGCTAAGTTAATATGCCGGGCGGAACTGAATATATGGATCGCCGCCGAGTTCGATTGGAGGCCTTTAAACCCGGAGTGCCTCGACCAGGTCATCAGATACCAAAAGACCACAGTGAGGCACACGTTTCTTGTACCCTATATCTAACAATATCGACCATTGATTCACCCTCCAGACACTAATGGGATTAATACATTTGCTCCACAACTAGAAGTCCAGTCATGTTCTGACCTAAAAAAAAGGGCTCACGGATACTTGCAATACAAAAATCAACCCCCAACCCCATGGATGAAGACAAACCCCAGAATCACCACAATAGAAATAGGGATCTCCCATCAGCGTCCTCAGATTGGTTGGACCATGGACCTAGCCATCTCAAGCTTAGCACTGTCCACAATACCTCTGGCCACAAGTTTAGCAATCACTCGGATGGTCCAGCCTTGACAATTTTCCACAACAGCCTGTCGATTTACTGCTCTCGGAGGGGGTTCGTTCTCGGCCACCTGTTTTACAATGAGCGCCTGGGCGTCCGTGACGACGGCAAGGTTGTATGCATTTGAGAAAGACGCCGACTGGAGGATGTTAGTTGGACCGGGTGAAGGTTGATAACTCATGCATTCAGCATCTCCTTTGACTTGGTAAACTGGGCCGGGTTCGTTTTCGCGGGCGACAAAGAGTGACCAATGCTGGGGTTCGTCGTCGGCTTGATTCTCCTGGACAAGCGAGAGGCGTAGTGCACGGTCTAGTGTAGGCAAGTTGCCTTCGAGTTCCTCGGATTCGATCCATTGTTGTGTCCCCCTTTTGCGCCTGAACTCACGGCCGTTGAACACGCAATATTCAGAAAAGCCGACGGACTTGAAAGGAGTGCCTGCGGGTGGATAGTTACTCATCTAGTAAAGGATTAGCACTGAGACACGAATATTCATGATATGGATACGTTAAAGGGCCACAAACTTTGAGGAAATATTTTTTAAAGGCTTAGATATATATCTGTGTAACCTTTAAGATGAACGTTGGAACTTTTGTACCTGCGAAGGGATAGTAAATCGAAGGCTATTCTCGGTCCTTTTATATCTATATTCCTCCGCTCATCATGTGGCAGGATTGATAATAACAGTAATTTCCACCATTTCTAGCTACATCGCATGCATGAATTTCGTCGCACTCCGAACCCAGCTAGACATGGATGTCGGCGGTTAGGGATATTCAGTGGTGGTTGGCTGTGACGGAAAAACAAATATTCCGAACGTCTCGAACCTTGGTTGTTGTTCAAGTCGCTCGCAACATATTCGTTGATTGGGCATCAAATGTTTTAAAAGCATGCGACGAAGGATAATTCTCTTTCCACATCTGCAGAAACCAAGCCTAAGCACCCGAAACCATGGCATCCAACGCCTCAATCCCGGCCCTAATAGTGTCCAAATCAGAAAGCACACACAACCTTGAGGATGGCATTCCATTTGCATCTGAAAATCTCCATGTGGGCGAGACTTATCTCAAGCTGGATAAAATGCTCTTCAGAATTACGCCTGATGCGAAGAAAGGACCACCATTAGAGGGGGATGTGATTACTGTTCTAAGCTAAGCAAGGTGGTCGGTTGGTTCTTGAGCGAGATTATTCTTATGTTTCCAAGGGTGGAACAGCTGTAAGGCGCTTTGAGGTTGAAGCTATGAAGCTGGTAGCAAAGCACACCTCTGTCCCTCTTCCTGAAGTTATTTACAGCCTCATAAGTGATCGCAGCGGCGAGATTGGGATGACAACTATTACAGGCACTACACTAGAAAGCCTATGGGATAAGTTGAACAGTGAAACAAAAAAGTCTATATGCTGTGAGACATGGGATCAAATCGCCAAACTCCGAGAAATCTCACAACCACCTGCCTTAAAACAGTTCTTCCAGTGTCTTGCTGACGGCTCGCCAACTCTTGACCCTCTAATTGAAGACTTGGACCGCTGTGGAACCCCTTTATACACAGACGAAGATGTCAGAGCCCGAATATACCACCGCTACCTTCATTTTGGTGGTCTGCGATATAAAAATGAGCTACCAGACATGCTCCCTCGATCGTCCTGTACGGTTTTTACACACGCTGACATTGCCCCACGCAACATCATGGTTGATGACCATTATCACATTACCGGCATCCTCGACTGGGAGTATGCCGGCTGGTACCCTGATTACTGGGAGTATGCGCAGATCATGAGGCCTGCTTGCCAGACAGGTGATTGGCAGAAATGGATGGATCTCACTGCGCCCTGTAAATGGGATATCTCGGGAATAGCAGCAGCGAGACGAATTTTATTTTGATAACTGCTACAAACTTGTAAATAAATAGTACTACTACCATGATTTAGCTGACAACACATGGTTTTGATTGAGATGTGGTCACCCGTCAATCCAGTCGCCTGTTCATCCCTGCGCCCGTCATCCATTACGCCCGAGAATTGCTGACTAGTGGCTCAAGATATCAGTTGAATCTTTGTTCAATAAGCTATTCCCATGCTATAGTTAGACTTTGTGAGGCAGACTTGGAAAACCTGCACAGTTTAACTTTCATTGACCTGGAGCTCCTACAATCCTAACTATGGAGTTCAAAGAAGCTTTCCTCTAAATGTTTTTCAAGGATCTTCAACTCTTTTCACCTGTCCTGTCTACTATTTGGCTCTAAAGTGATGAGTTTGACCTCCTCATCTAAGAATACTAGAACATCTATGGGTGTGAAGAGGTCGCAGAGATTGCATACAATATGACATTTCACAACCTGATGGCAGACATTGTCTACAAATGTCTTCATATCAACCTAGAACAACTTTCAGTGCTGGTGTGGGGAGTGTTGACTTCTAAGCTCTGACCTTATAATACACAGCTAGTCCGGCCTTGGCTTCTTCACAGGCTTGTTGCTCCATATTCATGACAACATGATTCTGCAAAGAGCCTAGGAGCTTCGCCAAATCATGAGGTGTGTTGCTGATGTGGATCTTGCCCCAATCATCCAACACACTTTGAAGGACATGCTCTAAGACAGTGTTCGCTCTATCATGACAGGCTTTCTGGATGTTGTCCGTGTAATAGTGGTTATATGTGATTAGCTGAGCGCGCTCGTCGTCACAGTCTCTTGCCCAAGATCTTGGAGTTGGACCTTGGTTTTGTCAAGGAGAAGGCGGACCTCCGCGCACACCTTAGGGAACTCTCTTTTGATGTGGTCTCCCAGGAGGCCCTGGAGGAAAGGCTGTAACCTATCCACACTGACTCTTGACAGGTCAATCCCGTGCTCTCTCCACGGCGGAGATCAAAAGAAGTCTGTCTCTTGTCTTTTCCTCTCAGATAGGCTGATTCCTTCTTCCAGCTGCTGTGGTGAAGGATTCTTGAGAAGAAAGAATCTGTGTTTCAGTCTTGTTGAATCAAGGTTGTTTGTGAGCAGTGCAATGTGCTCTTTGATACCCTTGTTGATGAGATCAGGCTTGGTGATGATGCCAACGGTTCTCTTGCCAGCTCTGTCAAAGTGATGAGTGTGCTGGATGATCGGTTACATGGCGATGTTGTTCGTTGCCTGTACCACGGCAAGGATGATCGTCCGTGAGCTCTGAAGATACGAATCTACAAGGTCTTCAACTAACTTGATATCATGCGCATCATTCTCCACGGATACCAGCCCTGGAAGGTCTACAACGGTTAGATGGAGACCAACATCTCCGACGACTTCAATCCGCAGGACATTGGTGGTGAATGCGGGCGCGCTGTCGCCGCTGCCGACAAATCCTCGAATGCCCATATAGCAGGCTTCGTCGTTTATGGTCTCTGGTAGCTCATCATATCCGCTAAGCCGACGTCAATAAAGCTCATCTGCGGTCGCTGCAGGTCGGCCGTTGTGAGGGATGATAGATGCTGTGATGGAGATTTTGTTTTGAGTATAGCGGAGGATAATCTCGGTTGTGAACTTGGTGCAAACCCCATCCTGATGAGGGAAAGGAAGCCCTTCAAGACTGAGCTCTTCCCTGCAGATTGCGCCCCGCAGACGACAAGCTGCGGCAAGGAAATGTGATTGCTGATCCCTTTCACTTGAATCCTGTTGATTTTTGGTTGAGTCTCTGACTGACTGTGATCAATTGGAGTGTATTGAGCTGGTCAGCACTCAGTGTGTCCATCCTGCTGTTGATGGTGGTACCTTTAAGGTTCATGCTGTTGGGCTTGAGTATTGATACACTTAGAGAATTTATCATGTCAGACAAATTCTGTGAGGGTATATATAGGTGGAAGATCCTTATGTCTGGAATTGAGTTGAGACATCTGAGAGCTAGAACCCCCTTGATGCCATTGGATTTGAGAGATGAATCATAAATACAATGTTGAAAATTTTGAAGTTTCAGGCAGATGATCTGTCTGTTGTGCAACATCAGGCCATGAGCACAAAATTCCTGCAGCTCCCTTGCCAATGCTCATCTGGATCGCCAAATCTGTTTGTATTCAGCCAGGTTCTTGAGAAAACACTTCCAGAAGGCTGGTATGTATGGGCAAGAAGAATAAAACAAAGAAAAAAGAGATCATGATGGTCATGGGAGTTCAATACCTCTTCTAAAGATGACTGATGCTTGATGTAAAGCCATGATTGATAAAATTGATAAAGAGGTTGTGGTAGGCTCTGCGTGAAGAAAGTGGAATAGAAAACTGTCAGCTTTGTCTGTATTTAATAGATACATGTAACTTGTCATAAGATAACCTTTTTGACACGGCGGTTGATCATTGTCTCGGTATATGAAGAACTCACATTCCATTAGTTTTTGGACTGAAAATGAACCAGTGGCTTGTCCTAGCATTTACTCAGGGAGTTCCTGGAGTTACAGTTCCTGAGTCAGATCATCAAGAGACCTGTTCCGGCTCTTAAGAAGTGCTTTATGGGCTCCTAGACGCGACTTTTATGGTACTAAATAAAACACAAAATGATCACACGATTTTCATGGCGAATCCATGGCAGGGGATCCAGACAACTACGCAACGTGTGATATCTATGGGTAATGTGCTTACAGAAAGGCATATAAAGATATTCTGGAGATATTCTGAATCAAGTTGACATAGCATATGCAAGTGAAATGATAGTAATTCATTCTTATCTTAAACACGCAACACCAACACACTATTTCTGCCTCCTTGGCCACTTCAAGACATGTGTCTGTTGAGTGAAGGAAGTATTGAGTGTAGCTTCTGCTGAGGCTACAAAGCTTGTCTGACTTAGTTGGACATCATCCTCCAAAAAGCATGAGGTTTTTGATTGAGAGAGTTCAAGTTCTGACTGAGGAACATCAAAATTTACTTCAGAAGGGATCACATCAATAGTTAGCCAAGTGGATTCTTTTCAGATGATCCAGCACTCACTTGTCATAAACATTCCTCATAAATGTGTAAGTAGTTCACTTCTCTCTGCCATTCAGCTCTGTAAAGTCAAATGTTCTGATAGAGTGACAGTAGAAGAAAGTCTTGCTTCTCTCAATGACTGCATAATGACTGTAGATTCTCACTGTCCTGTTGTCATGTGAGATTGAGAAAGCCAAGATCTCATGATTGACCTCATCTTCACATTCTACAAGTTTAAACAGCTCAATGACACCTCTCACAGCAAGGGCATGCTGTGTGTGTTCTGCTGGTCAGTGATGTCAAGTGCAGTGGTGTCTTTCCCCTCACTGGTCAAGAAGGGAAAGTACATGTAGAAGATGGCCAGGAAGAACAAGCTGTAGATATCCAAGTCATAGTCAAGGAACAGCTCAAATTTCTTCAGCCAGTCTTCCATGAGCACTGAACAGCTGAACCTGGCTGCATAATCCAGCTGTGAACACAGTCCACCCGCACGCCTTGGTTTCCCACGCTAAGGCGCTAACTACCGATGGACTGTTGGTTAACTAAATAAATACTGGAGACCAGACCAGGGACGAAACCATATCTGCAGTCAGGTACCAGTACCAGTAAGTAGCTCGTCAGTTTGCTAGAGTGAACCATGAGCTGTGCATCGTGGTCATCTCTGCTCTTGAAAAATCAATTGAGAAAGAAACAAAGATTAGAGCTCAGAAAAATGACAGCCTTCATAATACTTCCTCTCTATCTGAAAATAACAAGGCCTGCTCTAACTAATAACTCAAAGAGGTTTCAAAAAGGTTAAGTGAAAACGTACAGATCAGGCAGAAAGAAAACAAATGCACAGTGGTAAAATTTCATCCGCGGTGAAGCATTTCTGGTAACCAAATCAAATCCCTGTATTATAACAATAATAATTAAAGTAGCAGAAAATATACAATGCCTATCCACATGCATCAAGAAGCGTAGCATCTCAAATGGAAAATCAAAAGAAACGAGAATAAAGACTAGTAACTAAATATGAGACAAAACAAAATAGAGCGAAAACAACAATTGCACAACATAAAACCCCCACCTTGTATGCAAAAAAAGGTAACCCTCAAATTTCATTTTTGTATTTCCAGGAACGAAAAGAAAGGATCCTCGCCGAGCATGTAAGACTCCTCTGCATGATCAAGCCAGAAAAGAGGTAAAACAACCAAAACCTCAAAATTTCCATGAAAGGAGGACAGACGGAGGAAATCTACTAAGAAGGGGCACGAGTGATTGGGGCGTGGAAGATAAGTCTATAAAAGTTGAAGGGACGAGAAGTAAAGTGGATATGAAGGACGAATGGTTGAAAACGGAACTTCAATTAAAAAGATATATATAAGTAAGAGTAAAAGAATATAAAAATAAAAACAAGGCGGGTGGAAGGAACGGAGACGCCGCTCGGATGAGTCTGTTCACTTTTCTGTTCTATGCACGGTGAACTGGGTAGATATTGATGACAAGTGACAACAACGATGAGAACGATGACAACGGTAGACTACGTTATGTTCAGAAACGGTGACGATGATGATGAGGGAACGAGTCAGGCCAGACATGTGATTCAAAGCCAGTTTAATTAATGACGACGCTTTCGACGGCGGATACGCCCGTGACCGCTACCACTACCACTTGAGACTTTCTTCTCAGACCCTACTGGCACGCTCGGGCTCTCAGCCACAGAAATGTTGTGCACACCATTGTCGCCACTGCTACTGCTCCCGCTGCTCCTGCGCATGGATCGCGGAGACTCGCAGAGGCGCGAAGCATGCTGCACAATGAAAGGATCGGAGGATGAGTGGTTTATCATGTACGAGTCGCCAGACATAGCGCGATAGATGGGTTGGTAGGTCGCGTCTATATGTGGCGGTGGGGCGCTTCGGTGGGTATGCGTCGAATACCCGTAGCGGGTATCTGTGGCAGGCAAGGGATATGTATAATAGGGCGAGGGATGGTGATGGGGTGGATATGCTGAATGGTTGTTCGAGCTGGAGCCAGAACGCGGGTTTGATTGGTATGAAGAGGAACCTGGCCGAACAGTTGGCTCTTGCGGAACGAAATATGGAAGGGGCTGCGGGTACATCGGTGGATGTTGGTTACGAGGTGATGCATCCATATGATGTGACATCCTGCTTGATTTTATCGAGGGTGCACGCGAACGAGGCTTCTGTGAGGAAGGGCTCGAGGGTTCAACAGTCGGCGAACGGAATCTGGGAGAACCAGTGGAAGAAGCATATCCACCCGGTATTCGTTTATCCGATGCTATAGGTTTGTTCTCGATGACTGGTTGCCCACTACTGTCCTTCGGTTTAGAACCGTTGACCTTGCCATCCTGCTGCCTCTTCTTTTCCAATGCATCAAGTTCCCGCTGCGAAAGCATGACCTTTGTTTGCCCTTGCATTTGCGCTCGCCTTATTTTGCCCAAGGCCCGCTCGACGAGCATTGCCTGCTGATCCCGCCGTGCCAGCTGCATAGCATAGGCCATTGTACTATTGGGGTCCTCTCCAACAAGACCATGTTCGCTTTGGTCATCGTCACCGCTCGAGTACTCCTCCCCACAAACTTCATCGTCGTCAAAATCATAATTATTTCCTTTTCGGCGCACACCAGGATACGTACCAGGGCACATTGGGCGCATATTACTGTTATGAAACCGGCCTGGATCGAACGGCGGCCCTAAGAGAACACCTTCGTTTTCATCGTCTTCGTCATCGTCATAGTCGTCAATACCCAGCTGTTCTATCCGAACAGACTCCTCCAGCTGCTCCGGCCAACCCTCCTTTTTCGATCTCCCCACTCGTGCCCCTGATGGTCTTCCCCATAGGGGCGAATCGTAAGGAGTTCGCGGCCGACCATCTAGACCGCCTCCTCTGAAAAAGCATTCTCGATTGGTTTGTCCATAAACGAAGCGTGGCCCAAAACAGTCACTCCAGTCGCCCCAATGAGCCAAAGCGCAGTTGATAGTGGGGAAGCCCAGAGACCTAGGGGAATACAGATAATGAGTAACGTGGTGTATAGTTGCGATGTTGTAGCACGGAAGCCGGCGACTTCCAAATCCCGCCCCTCCAGCCTACCGATTCCGTATGAGCCGCCAATGGCAAGGAGAATGACGAAGAGGAGTATGAGGTTCGTGAGTAGACTGTATATGCTGAGCATGATAAAGACGGCGGCATAGTTGCTGGAGAAGTAGCTCAAGTTGTAATTGACACGGCTCTGGACTTCGCTGAAGTTGGCAGGCTTGGAAACCCTCTTAATATCCAAAAATTCAGAGATTGGTCTGAGATTGGAGAAGCGGGAAGTGAGAGACTGGGCGCGAACTCCCGCAAACCTGTCGGACAGGTTGAGGCGCGAAGTCAAGGCGTCAAGCGGAATTTGAAGACGGGCCATTGCGTTAGATTTTTGGGAAATGTGTATTTCGTAAAAAGAGGAGGTCGAGCAGTTGTTCAGAAGTTATCAAATGGTTCTTTTTCTACGGAGTATTTAACAAGCAAATCAGTATCTCTTCACAGGGGAATTAGTTTGATGGTAAGGGTTCTGGGTTCTGGGTTCTGGGTTCTGGGGGTTGTTGCGCAATTTAAGTTTGCGGCACCAAGACGGGCCACGTACCGCTCTTATGTGGCCTTTCTCTCACGGAAATGCACTCAAGGCAGCAGGATTAAATGTTGTCTTTGATTGTCTCAGATCGTATAGTGCGTGCGGGGCAACGTGGTGAAGTATGTAGTCCGTTGTCAGAGCGAATCTTGCAGTTGTTTGTCGAGATCCAAAAGAAAAGGAGCTGGGTCTCTTGCGCCGGAAAGGGGAAAGCGCCAGGGCTGGGAGTGTCAGTGTGGCTGACTCAGCGCTCTGAGGCTGACCGAAAAGGGGGTAGTGTCGTCACGTGTCTGTGTTAACTGATTGGGTTTAGGTTTAGGGCTGGGTTCTATAAATGGAACTATATTTTCAACGGCGAAAGATTCAATGATGATGTCGAGAAATATCATATCATACGAGGCAGTAGGGGTAGCAGGAGAGATGTAAAATGCGAGTGGACATACTAGGCTTAGATGCTGATGTATGCGCAGTAATGTTGGGAAAAGCCTCACGGCGGCTACCCAATAACACCGCCAGCAACCTCCATGGCCAACTTCTCTTCTCCTCCACTCCTCCGAGGCCAGAAGGGACCAAGGAAGAAGAGAAAAGGATTCGGCGAGGGGGAAGTAGAAGATCAAACGAAATAAAGAAGAAGACCAGGGAGGTTCCAGAGAGCGGGCGACGGAGGGGGTTGCTCATTTAAATCCCTTCTGCACAAGCCCTAAATAATGACACCCCCGTCATTAACTAATTTTTTCTTTCCTCTCCAACTCTCGAACTGACTATTTAACTGTCTCCCTGTCTCCCTGTCTCCCTGTCTGCAGTCTGCAGATTCCCACATTCTCATCACATCAAGTGCTGTACTTTTTGCCTTTGTTTGTTCTCGTTGTCGACGTTTTGAACCTGCGGCGAGGCTGCAATTGCTTGATTGGTCCACGTTGGGATCTTGATGCCGCTTGGTGGAGAAACGAAAATACAAGTTGCTGGGAACAGCGCGAGGCAAAGAAAGAAACAGACACACAGACAAACGAAAATAATACCACTGACACGACCAGGGGAAGACGTGGGAAATCCGCCTCAGCCTCCCTCGCCTCGACCTCAGCCTTTTGCCCTGGCTGGCGTATTAAAATAACATATTCTGACAAAACTGGAACATTCTCTTTTTGACTTTGAGCCTTACCCACACACATCCCCGCGTCGTTGGGCGCCGACATCCTGTCTTCCTTTATTTCTAATCCCCATCTATTGCATTCTGGCCCAAAATGAGGCATTCGCTGGCAAGCTTGCTGTTCGTCCTCTCCGCCTTGCTGGTTCTGGTGGCTGCATGGTCCAAAGAAGGTTCGATATCCACGTTTGCGATTCTGACCACTTCTTCCTCTGCTCTATGTGATGTATGTACATGCGGGCTCATTAATCATTGATTACATTCAGATCATGAGATCTTCCGCTTGCGAGATGAGGTGCAGCAGACTGAAGGCTTCAATGTTACCTTCTACGGTGAGTACCCGACGCTACTTTTTTTATTTTTTTATTTTCATTATATTGCGGCCAGATATACAACATCAACAACCCAACGTAACCCCTACCAACACAACAACAACAACAATATAATTAACATCATGAATGAATAACGATACCTACTAACAGCTAACCCCAACTCTCATTCAGATTTCCTCGGCGTAAAACCCACCGTCTCCCAATCCGACCTGCTCAAAGCCTTCCGCAAAAAATCCAAACAACTCCACCCAGACAAAGCCAAGCGCACCTTCGTTGCCACCTACACGACCAACCAGCTCAAGAAACCCGGTGTACACGCCTCCAAGGGCCCCTCCCAGCGCGAAATTACGCAAGCTGTCAAGCTTGCTACAGAACGTTATGCCCGCCTAGGCGTCGTCCATAACATCCTCAAGGGGCCCGAACGAGACCGCTACGACCATTTTCTGCGCAATGGGTTCCCCAAGTGGAAGGGGACGGGCTACTACTATTCCCGCTTCAGACCTGGGCTAGGAAGCGTGCTCTTTGGCCTCTTTGTGGTATTTGGCGGTGCGGGACATTATGGCGCGCTGGTGCTGAGCTGGAAGAGGCAGCGGGAGTTTGTCGATCGGTATATTCGACATGCGCGACGCGCAGCGTGGGGAGACGAGCTGGGCATTAAGGGCCTTTCGGGCCTAGGCCAGCTGAACGGAGGCGCTGGGTCCAGCTCGGGATCGGGCGCGGATACGGGCGAAGGTGCTATGGCTATGAATCGTAGGCAGAAGCGGATGATGGATAAGGAGAATCGGAAGGAGGGGAAGAAGAAGGGCCGCTCATCTGGCACCGCGTCACCCAGCGGCGAGACTAGTGTGATTGGCTCCAGCGGCGATAGAAAGCGCGTTATGGCAGAGAACGGCAAGATTCTTATCGTGGACGCTGGCGGGAATGTGTTTTTGGAAGAAGAGAATGAGGATGGGGTGAAAGAGGAGTTTTTGTTGGATGTCGAGGAGATTCCGCGGCCTAGGGTGCAGGATACGTTCGCCATGAAGCTACCACTGTGGGCTTACAGGAAGAGCGTGGGGAGGTTTGTGGGTGCCGCTGGGGATCATTCAGCGGCCGACGATGGTAATGCTGCTGCTGGTAGTGGAGAAGCGGAAGCAGTGGATACTGATGTCGATGAGTCTGTGGCTGTGGGGATTAAGAAGAGATCCAACAATGCGGCGTCGAGGCGAAGAGGTAAGAGGGGTTGATTCGATTTGATTTTTGGTGCCGGTGTCAATGTCAATTCTTTCTTTCTCGATCTGATTTTGATTTCAATCTTATTTCGATGGATTTACGGCAATCGACTGAGCTGTATTATAATTTACTCCTGCTGTTAATCTACCGACTCCATTCTTGTACTGTACTATCTAAAATATACTATTAAGTACATCCCATATTTCATTTCTTACACTTTGGCATCTCATTAGACCAGCCATCAATTTTATTCCTCGGCCTGTCGTTCTCTATTAGCAAGCCCACCCCCTCCCCCCAATGCAAGAACCATTCACTGCCCATTCACATATGTACCAAAATAGGCCTGAATGCATTTATGCAATATACTTTCCGAATAGACTCACTTTGGTGAGAGTCAAGCGGCTGCGAGCAGGAGAGTTACAGGTCCCGGGTGCAAGTTACGGGTAAACCTGCACCAGCTATTATTACTAGATGTAAATACGTACGGAGCGCATTTTTCTACTCCAGCTACCTGTAACTACATTTGTGTCATTGTGCATCTAGTCTTGAAGCAAGCCATAGTTTAGTCTACGAGTTAGGCAGATTAAAGCGGCTTTGTATGAATAGATACAGTAGCTTAGATTTTAATTTTCAAGAAATGCATGTAAAGGATGTCATGCATGGAATGAAACTTTCTAACGCGGAAGAACAGGCAGGAGCTGGTCTTCTTGCCAAGGGATTTTCTAGCGCTCCGGAATAGAGAACGCATCGTACAGAAACGATCTGATAAGGAAATATGTGAACCATGAAAATACAGGAAAATACAGGAAAAATAGGAAACAAAAATGAACAAGCTCGGAAAACTCAGTTTCTGGTATCTATCATATATGGGTCGTCATGGTGGAATCTTGGTTAAGGTGTTCGTTCTATCCCCCATTCGTTGGGACACATGCAGATATACATCCTCCTCCTGATTCGTTAATGTTTTGGCGTTTCATGAATTCGTTTCAGAAAAATTCCACCGTGAAGAAGAAGAAACAACATAGGATCCAAAATACAAAAGCCAACCCAAAAAAAAAAAAAAAGGTAGACATGTTGTATGTGCGGACTGGCTTCCACACAAGTGCTGATGGCGGTGAAGCTCCGCGAAAATAACGATAGATCATTCCAAACCTCATCCAGTCCCGTTCGTGCGCTATACAGGGCCCCGCTGCCCCATAATATTAATTCTCCCTTCCATTATTGGCTCCGATATCCAACAGCCCCTTCGCTTTCAGTCACTCCCCGCTCCACCCTCTTCGAGTCCGCTTCACACAAACATCTTCGCCAACGACATCAGTCCACCAACACTCCCCCCCAATCCCCCGCCGCCTCCCCCAAGCATCCCGCCCAGGCCACCCCCACCAACACCGCCATTACCCCCCCTAAACCCAGCACCATGCCCTCCACCCAATAACGGCGGCAACCGAACGCCCACCACAGAGAGCAACTTCTGCAGCACGCCGCCCGTAATCAGCGGCATGACAACCATGAAAAACACCTTCAGCGGATGGCTGCGCGCATAGCGTAAGATGTGCCGGAACAGGCGTCTGATCTTGCGCACGGTACGGGCTATGAAGCCCGACCGCGGCTTTGCGCGGCGCGATGAGGAGGAGGCGGCGGAGGCGGTGGAGCGGTTGGCGTGCCCGCCCAGATTGAAGAGGGACGGGCTGCTGTGGCTTTTGCTGCGACTATGACTGCCACTGTGGCGGGAGGATATTGTTGAGTAGCGGTCTCGACTGCGTGAGCGTCGGCGGCTGCTGGTGCTGCTGGTGCTGCGGCGACGGCTCAGGTTGCTGAAGGGGTAGAGCCAGTCCATTGAGGGCGCGATAGGGCTGCTTACCGCTTTATGTTTGTTATGCAGGTAATTGGTAGCTGCGTGGTGCAATTGGATTCGGGCAGGTTAATTGGTTAGGCTAGATGTGGGCGTTGGCTCTTATGCAGAGGGGAAACATGAGGTATATCCGGATATGTATAGATACAGAAAGTGAGCAGAGGCCCGCTAGACTTGGATGATTAGGGACTGAGGACACATTCAAAGGGCGGGATGTTACTGCTCTATCTCATCATGGCAACAATCGGAAGACGAGATTGCGGGACAACGGCATTGAAGTGTTTATGCTTTGATGTCTTTCCTCCCGCTGTCTTGTCTATACACAGGAGGTCTGTACATCAGGGGAGCGTTTGAACGGTTCCAATAGAAGTGGCTGGGGAAGGCTGGATCACATTCTAACCTTATTTAGTTTAGCTTTTAAACTTCCGCGGAACCCGCGCTTAGCTGTGTCACGTGTTGATACTGTCCAGTCAAGGTCTTCCTGTCCCTCTACAACAGTTACATCATGCTCCAGCCTAGACAATTGCAATGTGGGTTATATATATCCATCTGTGTCTCTTTGTCGTGAATGAGGGCGCACGGAGAAGAACTATTTCTAGAAATGCAAGAATTATGAACATTCTGGGATCTGGTGATTCTGTACCGAGGATAAGGATCCCAAGGAGATAAATTTTGTCACACAAGCTGATTTCGGAGATCCATGGATGATATGTCTTTTCCTTTCTCGAATGTCGTCAAAAGAGCTTGTATCATCTCTCAGCTCGGATTGTGTTGTGGCGGAGAACGAGCTCTGCTGTAATGGGATGCTCTGCATGGAGGGCACGTTCCAAGCGTGTGGGGGAGCCAGGCTACACTGGGTCGAGGGAGGAGTAATTGCGCCTCTCCAGCTCAATCGCCAGGCGACAGGTTTGGGAGCAGAAGACGTCGCCCGCGGTGTTCTGTGCTGGCCACAAGCCTAAGATACTCCGTATAGTGGCTTGCAAAGTCAGCTTGACACCCAAAACATCTCGAAATTTTCATCATATGAGTAAAGTTGGCCCTAAATTACCTATCATTGGCTAACTACATTCACAAAAGAGTAGCAACCTTGCAGGTTAAACAAGGTTGATTACCCCTCAATCTTCATCTTCGTGCTCATTAAACTGACCCGGGCATGATCATGTTAAATCCATAAATCTGCTTCTTCTTGTGATTAACAGTTGGCCTCAATATCTAAATTCAAGTGACAAAGCTACCAAGAATGGTCCAGCATGACCCCAGGAGACAACCTTGTGGGGGAGCTCCATACCCATTTGACGATACGCGAATATTTCCTGGTGATGTCATCATCAGCGATGCCGTGGTTGAATATGATTTTGGCAGGCGATACTCAGTTTCCATCGGAAACCTGAAGTCGAAGGAATTCGAACCCTCTTCTTCACAAGTCTTAAGGCGAGACGAACACGCATTGAATTTCAAGAGCAGATGTCCCAGAATCTTCGTCTTATTCAGCTATTAGGGCCACTGTGGCAGCATCCCGAATTCGATGACGTTCTTTTTGAATCCTCTTATCACCACAAGCATTACAGTGAGGATGATTCGGTTAGCTGCTGTTGCTTTCATGGCAGCTCACCAGATGATATCTGTGAAGATGCACTGGAGGAAAACTGCAGTAGTCTTGGTTGCAATAAAATCCGAGATAGGCGTCGCCGAGACGGTGCTGAAGCAGTCAAAGCATCAGTGCAATGCTGGGAAAATGGCATCTATCTACACAGTGATGAAATCTGGAGAGCGCCGCGACAAAATTATCAGCGAAGAAGGGGTCATTGGGTTTGACATGGAGGGAGCAGGAGGAGTGTGGGATAATGTTCCGTGCATCATGATCAAGGGGGTGTGTGACTATGCCGATAGCCATAAAAACAAAACCTGGCGAGCCTATGCTGCAGCAAGTGGTGCTTCAGCTGCCAAAACTTTCTTTGAGTATTGGAAACCTATGCCTACAGAAGGTTAGTAAGATAATCATAGTCAAACTATATAACCATGCTAATAATGGTTTTCTGTAGGGAGAGAACTTTACTGGATGGCCCCATTTGAAAGAAATCCAGGATTTGTTGGTCATCAGCATGAAATCAACAAAATGGAAAATTATATCTCTCGGTATGGACCAAGAAAGATTGCTATTTGCGAACTTAGAAAGACTCAATTTGCCCTGGAGTTGACATACCGCATGCGCGATGAAGATTCCAGGTGCTCCATTTTCTGGATTCTATGCACTAGTCTTGAGAGTGTCGAGCAAGCATACATGACCATTGCAGAGGCACTGGGGACCCGAGATGTAGAGTCAGCAGAGGCAAAGAAGCAAGTCAATAAAAATCTCAGTCAAACTAATGCTGGGAAGTGACTTCTTATTTTTGACAATGCAGATGATACAGAGATGCGGCTCTCAGGCAGCAATACTACTTCTGCACTCAAAGACTTTCTCCCTCAGAATGATCAAGGCCATATTCTCTTACTTGCAATCATCAGCTCGCAGACACCTGGGATGGTTGTACGGCACGTCTTGCAGGACTGAAGACACTGAAAAGTTGGGATAACCTTACCCTAAACATGACTGGAAACAGGTGATAAAATACTCGACCCTTGAGGAGCGAGTGAAGAAGATACTACACACAATGGAGATCCTAGTTGATAGGCAGGTGAAAGTGGCTTCAGAGGATGGCATTAAAGATCCCCCAGTCTCTAGATCTTGGCCGTAAAGGTAGGGTTGGATTCGATATCCTAGATGTCATTACACCGCTCGGCACCATCCACACTCACATCAAGCATCTACACTCGTGGGGTCATGGGTGGGAGGATTTGATACCTTCTATTGGGGTTACCACAATTGTCGGCAACGGCTTCGGCGACCTTATTCGGCCCGACAACCCCGACACTGTCTGCAGTCGTTGGAAGTCTATCCCCGCGGGCATGGACTATGTGGCCACTTCTGTTCCACCCTCAAGATGTTGTACGAAAAACAGCTACAGAGGATCGAACCAGGCTTGGGCGTCGGCGAGATCCCAAGCAAGATCACATGGGCCACGTCATGTCAACCATTCAAGCCATGTGAGTGCCTGAGGAGCAAGGTAGCAGATGGGAACTGACATTTTGTCCCGGTACAGTTCCTTGGGTCGAAGAAATTGTGCACGAACATTAGACCGAGTGGCTCAAACTCGGTTAATTTGGCAAAGCTTGAGGAGAATGGAGCGGTGGTATTTGGGCATTTGTCATTGCTAGGCTGAAGAAAGATGGAAAAGCTGTCGAGCGTGGTGAGGAAGGCAAAGAGACAGCTTAGCTCTTCTACAGGTGGTTCAGTTGAAACCCAGTTAACAGCACGGAGTTCAGCGCTGTCGGCTCCTAAAGAGATACATGAAGACAGCAGCTCAGAGGAGAAATGGAAAAGCGAAGACAAGTCATTGAATATCTTCAGGAGATGGAGGGAAAGGCGGCGGTGACTATTGCCTTTTTTTTTAAAACATCTCCTCGTTTCCAAACTCGAACATGAATTAACTTCTTTCATTTTCCGCAATTCTGCACTAAGCCCCCGTTTTAATTCGCACGCAAGGACTTAAGTTATCCTATACCATTGTTGTTTGGACTCAAACTTCCCTTTGTGGCCGATATTCTTTTCGGTTTGTTTCCTCTTTTCATCTGTTCCTCGCTGGGCTCCTTGGGGCCTATACGCCCAGTTTATCATCCTCTAAGACATAAATGCCAGACCGCAGACAGCTCCTCATAAACCAGATCCCCGATGAGTTTCTGGAGAACTACGCAGAAATCAAGTTCGACAAGCACAGAAGTGTTTAGGGCAAGTTGATATGATCCACTCCACTACCACTGCAGTTGATCTGTTCATACAATGTTTTCACACCATTTGATGCAAAGTCATGTCATGAACTTTAGTGCCTTAAATAATCTGTATCTGGGTCGTTAGTTAACTTTAACTAACATTGAAAGTTAACCACACTGTTACAGCGTAGTTAAGTCAATGTTTAGTTTAACATGCTCATTACATAATCTGCAACTATGCTTTTGCGCATCCCATGTCATCATTTTGACGTTTTAAACCTGACTATAAACAACTAACTGTAGGAGGGCCATATCTACTAAAAGTTCCATGCGACTTGACATTGCAGGATCCATCTATTCTACATCTACATATATGCACTCTTATCGCTTGTATTTTCCATTCTCGTTCATTTGAAGCTGTTTTACCTGTCATCGAAAGACATCGAGCGCCGCATGAACAGAAAATCATGGGCGGTAAGAACATATCTAGCTCAGCTGTTTACTCTGTACAATCTAGAGGCTAATGGGAGATATAAAATAGACACCGGTGTAGATTATTGTATGTTTGGTTTTATTTAATTATGTCGAAGCCTCCTCTACAGGTCTCACCGTGTGTACTTGTTACTTACCAAACCCTTGTTGTTGAAGATAAGATCCTCGAAATAGACCCATCAGCCACGGAGCACCAGATCCGCTTCGCATATAAACGGTCAGCAAAGAACAATCCTTCCCTCCGAAAATTCACCTTCCCGATAATCAAACGACCTCTACTAACCAACAAAACCAAATCATCATCCTCCAGCGCCGCACTAAAATCCCACCCAGACCGCGTCCCCACCACCTCCCCCGAACGCCCTGCGCGCGAAGAGACCTTCAAAAAAGTAAACGAAGCCTACTACGTCCTCTCCGACCCCACCCGCCGACGCCAATATGACAACGGGCGCAGCCGCCAACAACAACAACAAAGGAAACCCCGCACCCCTTCACCACCCGCTTTCTCATCGGGCCCGGAAACAGGGTCCGATTCCTTCGCCTCGGACCAATTCGGCTCTATATTCGAGGAAATGCTGCGCGAGGAAGGGTTGTCGGAAGACGACGCTGTGCATGGCGGGACGAGGCCGACGGGTCGGTTCTGGGCGATTGTGGGTGGATTGAGCGGGGCGGCGTTGGGGTTTATTGTTGCGAATTTGGCGGGTGCGGTGGCGGGTGCTGTTGCGGGTAATCGACTGGGGGCGGTGAGGGATGCGAGGGGGAAGAGTGTTTATGAGGTTTTTCAGGCGTTGCCTGGTGAGGATAAGGCGAGGCTATTAAGTGAGTTGGCGGCGAGGGTTTTGAGGTCTGCTGTTTCGTGACCCGGGGTTCGGGCTTGTTTTCTCTTTATATTTTCGGATTAATTCTTGGGCGTGTGGGGTTTAGGTGGGTGCTCGTTCCTTTGGCTGAGTGGGTTCAGGTATCCATCTTGGTGCAGGAATATCTATAGATCGATTCTGGAGATCAAATGGTTTGATGTATTTTTGCTGCTATGGTCTGGCATTATTCGGCTGGTACATTTTCACATAAGGAATCCAAAATATCTGCACTCAGTTTTCAATAATAATTAATATATGCGCCGTCAGGGACACAATATTAGCCAGTGAATTCCATTCCATCCCATTCCATTTTGGTGGGGCTACATATTGGATTAACAGTGCTACGCGAAGTACAACCTTTCTTGAGTCAGTACTGTACTGCGCATGGGATTGCTATTGGGGAATTTGAAGATATTAATAATCAACCGTTTAACAAGAGAATATAGGTTGAATAGGAAAAACTATATACCACGTTAGCCAGCTGTTACATACGGAGGCAGCAGTGTTATGATTTGGTCTGGTTTTATTTTACGGAAAAGTGAGACAATCTTCTCCGATAGGTCTAAGGCTACAGAGGAGGGGCGGTAGTATCTCTCTCCTATGCTATGACACACCTCCCGCAGCGAATGTCCGAGAGGCTTTGCTCTCACAACAACTTGGAGGCGGCACTAATTGATAAAGGTTCCGGCAACTCAAGAGGCAGTTCGGAGTACCCAGTAGAGAGGCGGACGAGGCTAGGATATTTCGGGGCGCTGTGTGGAGTGTGGAGATAAGTCATGAGAGTGTTGCATGTGAAGGAGAGTTGTGAGCATCATATCATATCTTTCCAAATCTGATCCTGTCAAGGAACGCGCTGATTGTTTAGGAGATGACATAGAACCCCGCCCTTCGATAGCATCCAGGAAGGATAAGGAGGGCTGCACAATTCCCCTTGCCCTCCTGGTCATTCCGAAGCACGAGAGCGGGAACTATATAAGGTTCTTACGAGGGGCATGGGGCGGCAAGAAGTCCTATGGATCGCCCTCCTGAGGAGGGGAGGGAGGAATGATGACTCGGAAGCGGATGCAAAGCTATTCTCGGCGGCCTGGTCAGCCAGACCAAGAGTTAGTCAAGAATTATAATAATAATAAGATAGATAAGATAGATGTACGGATAATGTACAGCGTATAACTATTCCCTTTCCAACCCGCTGAGCATCGCATCGGGTTGACGATGTTTGTTTGATCCGGCAGCGCGGAGGCTCGGAGGCTCAAGTCCCCGGGATTACTAAGCCCCAGGAATTGCCCCTCCCCACCGCCACAAGCCGCCAACAAGGGAAAGTGCGAAATCCTATCTCAACCTCAGCAGAATGTCTCCTATATACCTAACCTATACGGAGTATACTACTCTTATACTCCATACTATATACTTCTTATACTCCTCCTACTACTACTACTACAGCAGAACCCGTATAACTAGTCTTGCCAGAGTCAGTCAGGCGGATTGCTGAAACTCCGCGGCTGCGTTCCAAGGGCCCTTTTTGACGAGACTGATGACGGCCTGTCGTCGTTGTGCAACGTCCCAATTGCATAGCAAACCCTGGAACGCCTTGAGTAGGTATTCGTTTAGCTATGTACGGAGTACTCCGTATGATCGAATCAAAACGTGACTAAAGGAGGGCGCTAAGACGTAATTTCGGGCCTGAACCACGTTCTCGCTTCCAGACTTCAAGCCACAGCTCGACACGCGGAATACGAGATGTTAATTGAGTCGCCAGTGAAGGAATCACCAATTATATTGTCCAGAAATCTTTGATGCGACCCAAGGACAAACCCAGAGAACAACTATGTCAATCTCAACTACTCCGTACTAGGTTCGGCCGGGGCACATAAGCCTTCTGCCGTCTCCGTTTCTGATCACGACTGCAAAGATGAGCACGGTAATTTTGCACACACTGGAACGCCCAAGGACCGATTCCCCGACATCTCATGTAACTACAACTTCCGTGTGGGCAATAATAATAATAATAATGGAACGGGACGTTTCGGGCCATAAACTTCAGAGACAGCCATGAGTTTTCCAGCGTTTGGGCTGGAAATGCTAACTAACCACTTTAGGGTAAATGAAATGACGGTGAAAGGCGCAGCGGGCGGCATTGGGCATATTATTGGCTATTCGCGGCTGTGGCTGCTGGAAAGAGCTCAAAAAAGTCCGGAATCTGTCAGGTTCAAACCAAACAGATGGAGATTCTGCAACAACGTCAAAAATACAATTATACTGCGTATGCTGCCTGCCTGACCCTGAAAACCAAGGATTAACTATGCCCACACTGCTTTCAACGGGAAAAAAATCTACCCGTACGCCGAATTGTTCTCATCTTAGCCAATCTTTGGCCTCCCGAGTTCGTGGACTTGTCCTGAACTAGCTGGACGGGGACCAGCTTGAAAAGGTTTTTTTCTGTTCTCTTCTCCTTTGTTTGTTCATGATCATTTCGTGCTCGATATTTTATGCAAGAATTTTGCGAGAGATATTTAATCTGATCCCACGCCCATCTGCGTCTCTCCCGCTTTCTCGTATTCTTTTTTTTTTGCTGTCCCTTCCGAACGATGTTTGTCGTAGAAGAACCTCGATCCCCACGCTATTCTTCTCAGCCCTTTACATTAACATCCTACTTAGCGTGAAGAAAGCCGCGGTCAGCGGGAACTACTGCATCCCCATTCGAATATCTAAACTATGAAATCTTTGAACTCCCTTTTCTCCCGCAGCTCTGATGCTAAAGCGACGGGGGAAGTAGGTCCAGTTTCTTCTGCTTCCACAGCAGTACCAAGCCATCCCGATTCTGTTATCGAGCCGGAGAAAGACAATGCTTCCACACACGATGAAGCTCCCACGCCACAGGCAACAGCAGGTGCAGACGAGAAGACGCTCTCCGGAATACCAGAGGGAGCAGATGGATTAGAAGTGTCAACCGACAACGCAAAAGATGGCAACGCAAAAGATGACAACAGCAATGAGACAAATTATCTCTCGGGGTTTCCTCTCATAATTGTTGTCGTCGGCTTGTGTCTTGCTGTTCTCCTTGTTGCACTGGTACGCGAAATATTCTCTCAATCCAACCTTCCAGAATCGCATCTTCGGATTCAACTTGGGATGTATTATTGAGTCCACTGACAAAATTCGTGCACCGTACCAGGACAACACGATTATCGCCACCGCCATTCCCAAGATCACGGACCATTTTAAAGCTCTAGATGATGTTGGTTGGTACGGGAGCTCGTACTTACTAACAACCTGCGCCTTTCAATTGATGTTCGGGAAGTTCTACTCCTTCTACCCAGTCAAATGGGTGTTTTTGACTGCAATTCTGATATTCGAGATCGGTTCGGTCGTCTGTGGTGCTGCACCTAACTCGGAAGCCTTGATCGTCGGCCGCGCCATTGCTGGAATTGGCTCAGCGGGCATTTTCAGTGGTGCTATGATTATCATCACTTACTCTGTCGCATTGGAAAAACGTCCCATGTGTACGTATTTACCCTCTTCCCTAGTGTTTTCTTTTTTTTGTCAACCACTCTAATCGCATTTGAAATAGACAATGGCGTATTGAGCAGTATGTACGGTATTGCCTCTGTAGCCGGACCATTGATGGGTGGTGCTTTTACGGATAAGGTCTCCTGGCGATGGTGTTTCTACATCAACCTTCCCATCGGCGCCGTCACGATTGCCGCCATCTTCATTTTCCTTGCCCATCCGAAGCAGACGTTGAAGAAGCCAGATTCTTGGAAGGGCCAATTAGCACAGCTGGACCCCTGGGGAACAGCAACCTTCATGCCCGGTATTGTCTCCCTTCTTCTGGCGCTTCAGTGGGGAGGCACTAGGTACCCATGGAGCAACGCCCGCATCATCGCCCTCTTCGTTCTCTTCGGTGTCCTCATCATTGCGTTCGTCATCATCCAGATTTGGAAGGGAGAAAACGCAACCGTTCCCCCTCGCATCGTGAAAAAACGTAGCATGGGATTTGCCAGCTTCTTCGCTTTCACCCTCGGTTCCTCCTTCTTTATCCTCGTCTTCTATCTCCCTCTATGGTTCCAGGCGATCAAGGGCTCCTCCGCAACCAAGTCCGGCGTTATGACTATCCCCATGGTCCTTAGCCTCGTGATCGGCTCGATTATTGGCGGCGTCTCAATCTCGTTGATGGGATACTTCACCCCATTCTTCTACATATCTACCGTCCTCGCTACCGTCGGCGCTGCATTGCTCACAACCTTTACTACCGAAACCGGCTCCCCGAAATGGATCGGCTATCAAGTCATCTACGGCCTTGGCATTGGAATAGGATTCCAACTCCCCATCCTCATCCCCCAAGTGGTCCTGGACATCCAAGACGTTGCAATCGGCATCGTCGTGGCCATGTTTTCCCAACTCCTCGGCGGCGCCCTCTTCGTTTCCGTCGCCCAGAACATATTCACCAACAAGCTTTTCACAGGTATTGTCTCCGCTGCGCCGGAGGTCGATCCGACCATCGTATTACGCGAAGGTGCAACGTCGTTGCAGAGAGTGATTCCGGAGCGATTCCTTGATGCCGTGCAGGAGGTGTATAACTCTGCCTTGACGGAGACATGGTATGCCGCGGTTGCGATGTCGGCGCTAGGGATTATTGGAGCGCTTGGTGTTGAGTGGAAGAGTGTGAAGGGGAAAAAGCTTGATGCTTCAGTTGCTTAGAGAAATGTCGGATACCGGGCTTTTCTTGTCATGTTTTTCTTTTTCTTTTCTCTTCTGTCATTTTCTATTCTCTCTTTTTTTTTACGATATATTAATATTAGGTGTTTTGACTCGGTTTTCTTTGGCGTATTACCTTGTCCAGTTTTTTCTTGCCTTTTACTTCTCCCTATATACCATTGTATCATTGCATATCCTCTTCCCCCCTTTTTTTTTCTTTCTTTATTTCTTTTTCGTCGCTGATACCACATTCCGCTCAACCCAACTTCTGCTCTTTCCCACTAGTACCACACAAGAACGCAGGCCCCTGTACTATTTTCACGACTATCCCTTAAGGTGTTTTGTTCGATCATTCACATCGACATGCGGTGGTTTTCCATCAGAAGAGAGAGGAAAAAAAAAAAAAAACAAAAAAAAAAAAAAAACAAACCTCCAATCATGGCCATTGAGTTGTTTCCGTTTAATGGTAGGTTACACCTTGTTGAGCTAGATAGATATAGAGCTATATAAAAGAAATCGAAATGATTTAAATAACGAAGATTATGCAGTGTACGTACTTAGTTTTGACTGGGGCTAGTTTAAACTTATCGTCGACTAACTGTCACCGCTTTGATAGGGGTAGGATAGAATTTTATCAAATAATTGAGCAATTCATACGTAGTGAGTTCGCCTTTGTTTCTGTATTACTATTTTCACAAGCAAAAGAAGACGAAGACGCAGGAAACTATAAATTTATTGTCATGTTCATTTCATCATCACATTACGCATGCATTCATGCGGGATCCACGGGTGAGTCGAATACGAAAAACCACAATAAGAAATAAAAACAGGAAATAAAGAAAGGAAATATCCATCTCAAACCGAAAGCCGAACAGTCTGCTCTGACCCACCACCATCAGAGACGGCGGGATCATTAGCCTTCCTTTCGACCACGAAATTGCTGCTGCCATTTAGTAGATCGCCATCATCGATCGTAATAGGTAAACTACCAATACCCACCCCATCCTCCTCGCCCATCGCATAGCCCATCTCAAATATGCTATAGTTCCCTGCGAACTCCTTCAGCATGGTGTCGATGGATTGTTCGTCCATATCCTCGCTGAGTAGTGTATTGCCCAGCTCGTGTGGTGGTGGTTCGGATTCGGTGGCAGTGGCCGCTCCCGCGCCCGCGCCCATTTCGGGTTCAGCTGGGTTTTGTAACGGGCGCTGTGCAATATGGTCAATGGAGAAACCGCAGACGCCCGTGTTGGTGGTGTCATGGGCGTAGGCGTTTGGGTTGCTGTGACTGGACACAGGCGTGCATAAATCATCCCCATCCCCATTGCCATTGCCATTGCCATTGCCATTGCCATTTCGGTTCTCGATCTTACTCTTCACCCCCATCTCATTCCCGTGTTCACCCGGTCGCCCATCTTTATCCTCGCCCACATCTCTACCCCTGGTGCCCGCCTCACCCCCGTTCTCAGACGCAGACGAAGAAACGCTGCTGCTCCCCTCCCGCACACGCGGGTGGCTAACGATAGAATCCAAAATCTTCAAACTGGGTGGACACGCCTTGGGCGACGACATGGGGCCGTAGCAATCCATCCCTGCGCTGGCAAGGTCATAGCAATCTGACGGTGTGGTTACCGCGCCTCCCGCCTGGCCCTGCGTCGTCAAGGTCGTCATCGCTGTTGTCGCGATGGGTTATGCGAGTATTGCTGCTGTTGCTGCTGTTGGTAGTGTTGAACACCCATGTCCCGCATGATCTTTTCGATGGAGTAAGTGATGGAGTCGGCGACCGGGTAGATTTCGCGGAGGCGGAGAATGGTCTGCAGACATTGGTGTAGGCTGTTTAGGCTGGTTAAGTTTATCGCGGAGCCGGAGGAGCTGAGGTCGATGACATGCGCTGCGATGGCGGAGAGGAGCGGGGTGGCGCCGTTTGAGGGAAGGTAGCGGGTAAGGTTTAAGTGGTGCAGGTCCTGTGCGATGGCGGTTATTTCGGCGGCGGTGCATCTGACTTTTTCGAGGGATTCTTGGTGTAATTCGCTGGGTTGTAATTTGTTTGGGAGGGCTCGTATTATTTGGGGGAGATGTAGGGTACTGCGTGTAGCGAGGTAGAGTAATTTGAGCATACTGCGATGAAGGTGAAGGACTTCCTCCGCTTCGGATAATTCGCAGGCGAATTGTGGGGAATATCGTGTTTCCTTGGGGGTGTTCGCGAACCACTTGTCTAGACCCTCGTCATGATACCTGATTTGCGCGATATCCGTTGCCTCTGTTTTTGGGATAAGAGCCATCCGTGAACCTCTCATCATCTCGACGTCGTGGACCGGAGTACGATACTGCAACGCAAGTGCCTGATGTAAATGGCGGCACAGTTTTACCTTCTCAATAAACAGGAGTGCCAAAACCTGTTGATATGACTGGTTGCTTAGGGTTTCGCTGCCTCCGATCATCTGCCGCAGGTGGTTTGGCAATGGTTGGAGTTCAAAATCATCGAGGCTGACCATGTCCAGGTCATAGTCATCCTCTCTGAGTCTTGCAGGGCGCCTCATACCAAGCGGAATAGTCTTATCTCGGCTATATAAAATCCACCAGGTACGCCTCCACATTCGTCTAGTATTGGGATCCATCACTGCAGTTGTGATATCAAGGTGCATGCCGTTGAGTCTGGATAGGGCCAGGCTGATGCCGATCCAGTGAAAGCAGTCCTTCTGGTCGTGCGGAGTTTCGAACCAATAGCTCATGAGCATTAATGTCTGGATCACGATGATTTGATCCTCTTCATAATCCAGGTCATAGAGTGCCTTCAAAATTGTCAACTTCAATCTTAGATTCATATTAGGCACACCAAACAATCAAACTTACCCTTACTCTCTGAAAGAATGCCTTCCGCGCTGCTCTTCTAGATTGATAGCCAGCCATGCGTAGGTGTTTGATATCAACAAAAGCGGTTCCAGCAAACATCACGGCCTGAAAAAGCAATAAACTTATCCGCTTCCTTCCGGTATTCTCGTAGATGGTCTGTAGGAAATCTTCAAGGTCAAGGAAAGGCATATATACATGCACATAGTTCACATAGCTCTTCAGAAGCTCGTTTCGGAACGCGAAATGGGGGATTTCAAAAGCCCCTTTCTTATGAAGGTAGCTGAAATCATCGGACTCGAGCTCCATGGAGTGTTGCTTGATAAATCGGGGAAGGTCTATGTCTGGCTGCTTATGAATGGTCTCTGGGGCGGGGCCAAAAAGCTGATGCATGATGGAGAACATGTTTGATAAGATCATGTCATGCGCGATGATTGGATCAGATGCAGATTTCTGTTGTAATTCGTTGTCGCTGCTGTCGTATTCTTGAATGTGTAAAAGCAGAGTCAGCGGAATTGTGTTTCCAATATTATTTATACCAGAGTTTCCCATAAACTAGAGATGGGCAAGATATATATATGTTAAGAATGGACGAAATATGAAACACTAGCTACCATTGCTTCGTTCAACGCTCCCACGGTCAGATGCGTTAATGGGATCATTATTCGGTGCCACAACCGCAGCTGCATTCCAATCTTTGTTGCCGGCATCTTTTTGGGAATTTCCAATCAGGAGCGTTGTGCCATCCGCCGTACGGGCAAATTTTGTCCTCTTGCTATCTGCAATGATACATTCGGCTCCATCCAGACGGCAGTTGGTACAGGGTGTGCTCTTTAGCAAAACATCACAGCGAACTTTCCTAGCACGACAGCTACGACATGCTGCCGAGGCTCTTTTCTGTGTAGGCCTTTTGGTCCCCGGACGAGCATCGTCCTCAGCTTTCCTCTTTCTCTGTGGGTGCATGTTTGGTGTTGGCGTATTTGCTGCCATGGTGGTCTGCAGATTAAGGAGTACAGGAAGGGTGGAATATGAAGGACGGGGTTGAGAGGGGAATCCGGGGACGTTTTCTATCCTCGTTCTCGGAGCAGCAGAGCAGGGAGCTCACCCACCCACCTACAGATGCCACGCTAATAACAGGCGGGGTGTTTCTAGCCCATTTTTGACCCCAGAATTCGCGATGGCGTCTTTACTCCCAAGCTCTGGGCCTATCCACAGCCCTGGTTCTGAACACCGAGTGGGCCACCGCCATCTCATCTGCATCTGGCGGGTTGGATGCCCGAGTCTGACTTAGCGACATGCCGAGAGGAGAGGCAACAACATTCGGGGCATGACCGATTGGATTCATCAGCAAGACTGCAACGTCAGCAGTCGCAAATATGTAGTTACCGAACCCCCATGACCGGGGGGGATGGGTGAGACGGGCCAAAAGGACTGCGCTGCTCCGAGAAGAACTCGGCCAAGATGTTTGGCGTCAAAAACGCACATGGGAGACGCTGGAGAGCGCCGGAAGCTGGGACTCCACACTTCAGCAGCCTAGGCTGGGGATATTTTGCCCCTGGCTTTTGAGTAGTCCAGACTCCAGAGCCAAATATTGAAATATTGTCGCGGGAGCTTAATCTAGCCTAACTTTACCGCCCCGAGGTCGGAGCCCTGATATTCGGGAGCAGAAACGCGGAGTCCGAGTATCAAACCCCGTGTGGAGGATGTTTCTTCCCCTTCTAATCTGTAGATATACGAAGTACGGAGGGCGCTATCAAAAGAATTGCGCCGCTCAGATTCAATTGATAACTACAGCTAAGAAATACCACTATGTTTTAATGAGTAATTACATTTAGCTTCTAATCACTCTGTATTCTATTTATATGAGATTGTCTGGCTACAAGAGCTCTCGTAGTGGCTCTTAAATCACCCTATTTTGACAAGTCTAATGCTGAAATCATGGAAATCACCCAGATCTCAAAGAGCCAAATCAACTGTATATATAAACATGCAATTGAACGCGGGATTTAATCCTGAACTGCCACATATTATACTTCACAATGAATGACTTAGAGATGCCCTCAAATCTGGCTGAACAACTCAGAGAAGTAGTAGCATTAAAGATACTATTCTTGTAAAAATTTAACATGATCAATAAAGATTATAGAGTTAGAAGGTGACAATGAATATAGAGAAGAAAGACAGCATGAGCAGATGAAGAAATAGAATACTCACCTGGCTGTGAGGTGAGATTGGCAGGCAGATTACACATTAAAAAGATGGCAGTGAAGACAAATAAATGAATAATCAAGAACTGAATATTCAGTATAAATTACAGTGTGAATTTCCGCCAAGATTTATGGCACTGTCTATCATTGGCTGAGACTTTTAAAATAGATTTTATATCTTTTTACTCGGAGTCCTCCCCATCGAACTCGTGTTACCCCTCGCCACGTTTTCAAAAACCCATTCGCAGCACTCGAGATTTCAATACTTAACTAACTATCTTGTTTCCGTTGTAATTAATATATCCACGTACCCCCATCATTGCGAGTAAGAGTCATGCTGGGGAGCTTGGGTCATGTCCGTTATTTGCTCTTCGCCGCACTTTGGGTCATTTTCGTGGTGGTCGATGCTATTCCAGATCGCGATATAGCATCGAACTTTACTTACGACCGGGCGCAACCAATAGTATCCGGAATCATGCTTGGCGGACATTTTTCAAGCCAGACCTCGGCCTAGAAAAGCATGAGAGGAATGAATTTGAGCCATGGATGAATAATATCTTGATTTTCACGCAGTCAGGTCATGTCTGAACAACCAACAAAACTAATAATAACCAGCGGCTCCTCCCAGTCCTTAGAGGAATGCTCAGGGCCTCTTCCTCCCTGGGCCTCTGCCTAACATTGCTTTGATACTCTCTCTGCCCAGGGGTCCATCTTGATCTGGTGACTGGTGCAATCCTGGAGACTGGTCATATCCTTGGAGAACAGTTCCATTAACCGCCCTGACTCTTACGTCGTAAGTGACCCCCGCTGAACTCTCTTTGAACACCTCTGTGGTATCGCCTGTGGACCGTGAACTGCCGGACATGGACTGATACGTGGCTTTGCCAAACTGCGTCGCATCGAATTGGGATGGCCCCGTTGTGAGGGTATAAGGGGAATAATAACTGAAATCACTTTGGTAGTAGAACTGCAAACCGCGAGACATCGAGGCGTTGATTTCTAGACCGCTAACGCCGGAACGATACACTGAGTGGACCTCGAGTGGATAGGAACTGGCTGTTTTGCTAACAATGATATCCTTTTCACTCATAAAATCAAGAGACTCTGACGCAGCATTTGTCACCTGTTTAGTCAATTGCGCCCGACCTTGATCGGAAAGGGACGCGGAGTTGGAAAAAGTGAGGCTTTGAGTCCAACGCGAAGAGGGAGATGTGACGCTTAGTGACCTATAAATTTGAACCGTATACGACAGAGATTCATTCATGCCCGTGGCTGGATTCTGCTGCCATTCATGTGTAATATTCGACGCAAACTTCGTCAAAGTAACCGGCCCGGAATCGCTGCCCCCCTTTATTACGGAATCATTAACCGTCACCTCCCCACCAAGATAAATGAAAATCTTCCCTGTTACGGCCCAGTAAGATCCCACCGTTTCTGAGTTCTCTGCAACTCCATCTTTAATATCTCCAAGACCAACAACGTTTATCCCAAAGGAATGAGCTTGGCCATCAGTCAACAGCGGCAAGAATGGGGTAATATCTATTTCTGCCTCGCGGAGATCAAAAGCATCAATCCCAACTATTGGTCTCCAAAAACCAGGAGCAATCCCCCCAGTGAAAATGATTGGAAAGGGCCATACAACTCCAGCCATTTGGCCATCTATGAAAAGCTGTACCTCCCGAAAAGGGGAGTGACCGTAGAGTGGTCCTGTTGTTTTGTTAAACGTATATATGTCTGATGATAGAACATTGCTATACCAAAATTCCTCCGTAGACTGACCACAGGCAGATATGGACACGACCGCCCGTGAAGCATCGTTGGGTACGACATGTGTCACAGTTGCGTTATCTTCCGGAATATTGAAGGCACTTGGAGAATCCTCTGCTGACCGCCGTGCGGAGATAGGGAGAATAATATCTGCCGTTCGAATATCATGAAGCTGCAAAGAAAACACTGCTGTTAACGTCACATCGAATAGGCCGGTGTATATGTCGTCGATTAGGTTCCCAAGATCAAAAATTAGCTTTTGAGGCTCCGTCCAGAGCGCTTTGTAGAGTGACATGTCTTTGACATAGGTCCAAATAATACCATTAGGTGTGGGCTCTGCAGTCGATGTTCGGAATACTTCGATATCTCCGAGAAACATAAGCGCGAGTCTGTCGAACTGGCGGCCCTTTGATGTAACAGTCATGGTCATGATTACAGTGTCGAAATCACATTGAGGAGGGACATAGTTTCCTTTTTTTTTTTTTTATATATGTGAATCGATGTTCAGTAATGCGATATAAGTAACAATTGATTAATCCCAAAAAAAAATCCGAACTTACCCACAAACGGATGGCCATAGCTAAAACCAAACTCATGTCTCATCAATAGAAGTTCCGTGTTGCATCCGCCTCCTGGAACTTGGTGCGGCGGTTCACTGGCAACCGCCTTGTATACCTGGAATACTCGGAGCTGCGTGCTATCTGACTGAAGAACCTTTTGGCCTGGTAATACTGAACCAGGAGAAGCTGCGCATCCGTACAGAGTTGCAAGAAGAACTGTAAAGATGCATAGAATGAAAGTTGTAGGCCTGAGTCTACTACTCCCCCGACTTAGGGCCTGCATCTCATCTGGGGTAAGGAGTGAATTCTCATCCATCACGAAGCAATAGGACATATTGCAATGGGCTGAATCTTGCTTTGTTTATATCATGGAGCTGGAGTGTCAGCCTCAAAATTGGGCGATGTTTAAAAATGAGAGTTGCAAGAGAGGATTTATTTAGCTTGTCCTTGTAAAATGAGCTAAATAAATAGGCTTCACAACAGCAATTCAAAGATATAACTTAGTGGCATGGCATTCATATCAGAAGATAATCAACTTCTCTACGCCTTTGACATTGAACAGCTCATGTCACAAGAGTGAGGTAAAAAAGTTTTTTTATTCTTTTCTATCCAGATAAGGATTATTTGCTTCGCTTCGCTCCGCAAATATATGATGAAAACCCTGGTCATTAAAAGTGGAGAATTTCCTTTTTGAGGTTCTTGGCGTGAATACAGCTCACTGATTGGTGTAGAATTAAGCAAAGTGCAATTCTATGACATTGCACTATATCTCTGCACACTTACAATGTGTTCATCTTTCATCTCATCAACCATCTACTCTGTACAGATTCTTGAATAATAGATCACACATTTCATCAACTATCTACTCTGTATAGATTCTTGAATAATAGATCACACATCTCATTAATTATCTACTCTGTACAGATTCTTAAATAGATAACACATCTGATCAATCATCTCTCATAGATTCTCAAGAATGAATAACATATTAAAAGTCTGTGTTTACTGCTTGTGAAACCAGTCTCTTAATTAATTCATTTCTTTACAGTGTTCTACTACTTCTACAGCTGTCTGTCTTCAATACTGCACTCAGAGAACTCAGGTATTATAATCTTCTCTTATTACATCTTTTCTATCACTGATTATCTCTTTACACTGTGTAGAACTGTAAATGAATACATGCAGTGAAATCAGATTCTTCTACAGTCACAGATTCTGTGATAAATGAGTCTGAACTCTCTCTGTCATTTCAGACATGTTAATACTTTATATAATTAACAGCAGTCTCTCAGATCTGTGAATAGTCTTGTAATGTAACAGAACTGAAGTGATGACTAGTCAGTGATATTATGTAGAGATAGTTGTTTAAGAAGCTGTATAAATGAGCTTGACTATCTTACTTAAATAGTAAGCTCATAGACTACAGAGTTATTACAAGAATATCACAGATATGATACTTAGTATACTAAGAAGATTGTATAAGATATGCAGTAACTCTTGTATATATTTCTCTAGAAGAAAAATAAATCACTGACTTCTTTAATAAGAAGTCAGTATCTAGCTATTTTATATAGATAATGAGCAGACACTCTTCTCTCATTTCATAAGTAAGAATAGTCAGAGTGATATCTCAGTGATATTTTATTATTATTATTATTATTATTATTCTTCCATTATACTCATATGCAAGCGGAGCTTATGATGAGTCCTTGCGTGATGTTAAATACAGGCCAAGTGTTGGTTATACAGGAGGAAATACAGGTGTTGAGACCATGTCAAGATAACAAGAACATAGGAAATACAAAGGAGTGACAATTAGATACATGCGATAATAACTTCCCAGCCCAGGAACATAGAGCGATTTTATTGGAGCGATTTGTACACCTCTGTATTTATTAGGAACCTGAGGTGCTTGGGTTCCGGATTTAATGTATCCCCTGCGGGTTTCGAACCCACACGCCTTGGTTTCCCACGCCAAGGCGCTACCGGGTGGCCGCATTAACCATTCAGCCACCGGGGCAGTGATATTTTATTATTAAGAAAGAGTAATCTACTGATCTTATATAGAAGTGAGATTCTTATATTTATTAATTAAATCTTTCTATAATATATCTGAATAATGTTATAAAGTATTCAGATAGTCTGTGAAATGAACAGAATCATCTGTATAAAAATAATAAGCTGTGTGAAACTATAACAGAGTCTTAGTATGACTAAGAGTATGATAATACTCTTCTCTTTAAGAGCATAGTTCTGATGTTCTCAAAATTATCAGATTGAGAGTTATTTTTGTTATATAACAATAGTTATCAATCAATTGACAGTATATATACTGTATATGATACTAAGAAATAGATGAGTTTTTCTACTGATTGTATAGATCTTTCTTTACTTATCTTCATTTAAATTAAATACATAATAAGTGAGTTTCTTATATATTGATTTAAGATGTGAAAAATATAGTTAATAAGTGACTTATAGATCTCTCATTATATTTCATTCTATATATAAAATTCTCTATAAAAGTAATGTATTTTAGAGATAAAGTTAATAGTAGTGATAGAATTTTTTGAAAAGATTCTTCTTCTCTCTGTGATATATTTTTCTTCTTTCTTTCTTCAATTGCAACAGTGAGTGCATGAGAGTATTATTCTTAAAGAATAATAAAGAACTTATTCTGACATTTTCTAGTAAGTAAATGTCTTTATAATGCAGCTGCAGTCTTCATAACTGTTAAGAAAGCTTAGTTAAAGGCAGAGACAGCAGTATTGATAAACTGTAAGAGTATCACTTTCATTATCACATCTTCTTCTTCTTCTTCTTCTTCTACTTCTCTTACAGCTATAGTGATAGTTGTTATATCTTACAGTGAGATATTATCTCTTCTATTAATTAATTCATTCATGTTCAGTTCTTTCTCTGCTCTCTTTATCACTGTTGTAATATCATCTCTCTTCTTAACTAACACAGTGATGTATGACTCTATGTGATTATTCAAAGAGAAACTCAGAGAGAGCTTGATTTCAGAAACAGTGACTCTGAGAAGCTCAATCTGTAGTTTCTCTTTCATAGCACACTCAAGCTCTGCTCAGAATACTGCTGAGTTGAGTCTGCAGAATTCTGCAGTTTCTTTATCTTCTCTCTATAAGAAGACTCTGATACAGTCTCTAATCAGCACTGCTACTTGTCTGCACTGTGTTAAGTAGCTGAAGAAGAGAGAGATTTTATATATCTGTTTCTTCTCTTACTTTCATTATTTCTATTATATCTGTAACAATAACTTCTGTCTCTCTATAAGTATTATCTTACAGAAAGATATCATATCAGCTCTGATAAGAAGTCTAGATACTCAAGCAGTACAGAGTAAGAATCTCAGAGCTTTAAGTATTGATAAATTCTATCAAGACTGAGAAGATTCTTCTTACTCATCTGTAAAAGAAGATGAAAGTATGAGTCTCTGAGATGAAAAAACATCTTAGAATAACTGACTTCAAGAAGAGATCAGCTGATGCTGCTATTGAAAGCATTACAGAGATTAATCACTGATTGAAGAGAATCTCACTTCAGTTAAAACAGATGACTGAGATGCTTTGTAAGTTAATAAGTTAATATTTTATACATTTCTTATACTCTTCTGCAGTGCTGCAGCACTAACTTCTCAGCAGATAAAGATATCAGTATCAGAGACTTCAACAGTGAAGAATAAGTTTAATGAGAATATAATTATTAATGAGTAGACTCTGATCTCTCTTTTTACTTTTTCAGCAGACTGCAGTCTTATTAGAATAGCAGCAGTCTATAAGTTAATAATATTAATCTTTTTTATTGATTTTAAATATTTCTTTCTTTTCTTATTAACTGCTTCAGAAATTTTACACTTGTATAGTCTCATTAAACTTCTAAAAAACTCTTTGAGAGAAAATAGAAGAAGAGTGCTATAGAGCTTATAAGACACTGACTTATTATTACAAGATTATCTCTAAAAAAACTCTTTGAGAAAAAATGAGAAGTTTTAAGCAGTATTTCTTATTCAATATCTCTGACATATAATGAGATAATCTCTACTAGTCATCTCATAACTTGTAATCTCTTTCTCAGCATTTTTCAAATACTCAAGCAGTTTTCATGAATTCTCTGACAATGAATAATCTTCTCATTTAATGAGATATTGAAGCTTATTATAATATATTCACTTATTTAATATTTTCTTCATAAGATATTCAATATCACTCTTAATCTTAATACTATTTAGCTGAGACAGCTCTGCTCTGAGATAATGCTTATAGAGCTTTAAATAGAAAATGTGAAAAATAGAATGAATTGATTTCAATTCTGTGAGTAATTTTAACTTATATATCTGCTTACTTATTACTCTTGTTACTGAGAAAGATTCTAGTCATTACTTACTGAGCTTCTTACACAGTCTTATTATCTTGATATTCTTTACTGAAAGTAGTACTTGATTCTCTATCAAGAACTTCATTGAAAGATGTTTTTAATTATAGTATTTTATCTACTGCTTCTAAGTGTAGTGAATACTTTTTATCATCTTCTTATAAATTTTATTTAAAAGTTTTAATCTTACTTTTACTTCTAATACTGAGAAGTACTCTATTCTCTGTATCTGTTTGATATTCTGACTGTCTATTTCTCTCTTTGAAATATTATCTGTGATATTACTGAGTAATAAAGAATTATATTTATAATAAGCATAGAAAGAAGATATCTTTAAGATTACATTCTTTACATTGTTATATATGAATTCAGTGATTAGAAGATGTTTGAGTCAATCATTCTAATAATATGAATAGAATACTTAAAGATACTGTTCTAGTATCTGATTCTGATATTCAGTCTGACTATCTGTCTGTGAATGAAATGCAGTACTGAGAAGATATCTTATTATAAGATAATAGTAAAAAGTCAATTAGTATTTACTGATGAAGAGGAATTCTCAATCTATTATTAATGATTTCAGAGCACTGTAATCATAAATAATGATATCTAAAAATAGATCAGTTAATTCAGAGACTTTAATCTTTTTATAAATAGAAATATATTTAATCATCTTCATGAAATAGTTAATAATGATTAAAATTGAGTCATATTCTTTGACTCTTATTAACTTTAGCAGATTAACTATGAAATTCATCAATAGATTCTGTTATAATCTCTTTAAAATAGACAGTGATATCAACTTACTATATTACTTATATCACAGAATCTTTATTCTTTGATAGATATTATAAGTCTTAATATACTCTTTGATATCTGTTCAGAGCTTGTCTTAAATATATTTATATTTTAGAAGCTTCTCAGTCTTCTCTAACTTAAAGTATCTCATATGAGAATTATTATAATGAATTCTCAATAACTTCTGACACACTACTCTGCTATAAGAGATAAAAACTGAATCATTTAACAGTAGAAGTTCACATTCTTTTAGTTATCAGTGACTTGATTTCTTAGTAGTACTACT